CTGGGTATTGAAGGCCTGGTTTTGCCTCGATGTTTAGGCCTGTCACCGCCTGCCATCTACGCAGCAGGCTACCTTCTCTTCGAAATTCAGACCTTCGCTATATGTGTCAGGATGTTAATGCGTACGACGGGAGAATGCGATCAATACGATTACGATGGTCCTAACAACCAGGTGCACGCCAGTTGACCAAGATAAACGACGGATGTATAAATAACGGAGAACAATGACACATTCGTGACTCTCCCGTTTTCACATGTCGTTACATCCACAGAAAGTGGGTGTAGAGGTTGAGACTGAGGCTGAGACTGTTCCAAAGCCACACGGTAGAGGATTGGGTGGAGCAACGAAACAAAGAAGAAAGAAATCAGAACTGCCTTACCCCATCATCAAGAAGGAAGAGTTTGGATTGGACAGAGAGTGTATCAAACCCACCTGTGATCTCGCGCAGGCGGGCAAGAGGGGGGAGAAAGCACAACGGGAACATACGCCCCGTCTTCTGCTGCCTTGCCATCGTTTTCCCGTGTCTTTCCCCTCTCTGGCCCCATCTCAGGACCCAACAGCTGCTCTCTGTCGTCGCGTCACGTTACCAGCTCTTCCTGATCAATCGTTGCTTACCTCTTGCCACTGCGCCGTTGGTTCTCAAGGTTGCGGTGTTTACTGGTCTTTCGCATCCACAGGTGGCGTCAGATAGTTCATCTTTTCCCCTACCACAACATACCGTACAAAACAGTGGAAAGCCAGTCAGGAGGTAGGACATGACGAACAAAGGCCACGAAGAGAGATATGGTAGGACTCTATGTAGGGGAACACAAGGATCCAGATGAGAAGGAGTCTTTCTTGCATTTGCAGACCGGTTCGAGTGAGTCAGTCTGGAGCCAGTCCGTCGCTGGATAGACCAAAAAGGGGAAGATGTCCGTCTTATTTTTGTTTTTTTTCTCCTGCAGTGTTTTATCCTGGATATGAGGTTCTATATGCTCCCTCGAACATTGCAGCCTGTAATAGGGAGAAGAGATGGGGGCCGGCAGTAGTCCTATCTTCGTGTCCTCTTGTCTACCTAATTATATTGAATAGGGCTGCGCGGGTAGTGTGGGCGGCAAGATGCGCAAGAAAGAACTGATGCATAGCTGGTGCGTGACTGGTAGATTATGGATTGGAGGAGCAAGGAAGGTCTTTGAAGGTATTGGATGGATACGGTATTCTACTGGCAGTTGAGGTTTCGTCCTTCTCCCATAGCGCGCTTCGACGGTCACAGACTTCCAAACTCAGGGCTATCAGTGGGTTGTCAATAGAGGAAGGGGGGTAGTCAGCAAGATGAGGAATTAGCCCCTCATTCGACTTCCACAAAGCCAGAACACTAAGACTCAACTCTACCTCTATGGTCATAGAGATTTCCTGATCCAAAGATCTACATGTCCCCTTCAAGCTCTCCCAGCAACGTAGCACGCCCTGATCCTACACAGCCTTTTGGGGCCCCTTTCGTATCCACGCTCCCGGCGCTCAGTCAGCCAGCCAACCCGAGGGACGTGTGATGCAGGACGGTAGGATCCCAGAGTTGATCCACACAGCACATAACACCTTACGTACGCGCCCAGTCTGCAGGACCAAACAGGTTGTGATCAATAGTCCCAAGCAAGAAGCAGGAGTTGTTCACCCATGATTCAAAGAAGAAAAGTAGTAAGCACGTTGGCACATCACCTACATACCCGGAGGTGCCAAGGATGTTGAGGGATGCATGTGCCAGGGACCAAAGCAACAATGGGAACAAGGCATGCCAAACGTCGGAGCCAGGTGGAGGATGAGGAGGGCTGCTGCCGCGACAGGAAGACGACGACCCGGCGGAACTGCACCGTAGTTTGGTAGCATTGGGGTTGTTCTCGAACGGAACGAAGCTTGTGTGGTGCTGGGGACCACGGTGTCTGTCTGTCAGTCATAAAAAAAAAAGCCAACTCTTTAGATAGGATGAAGAAAGCAAAGAGGTTAAAACTCCTGGCTGGAGTTGGAATGCTACCTAACCATTCATTTCCTTACCAAGCGCGTTCCATCCGGGGCAGTGGAGAACGGGGGAACATGGCACTAGGTAGCATATTCTCCGAGTTGTCCTTTTCGAGGGTCCGATGTCACCATGAGTAGGTAGCAGAAAACATATGAGAATGAGGTAGCGTGATGATTGAGCAGTATTGATGATGGTGTGCGTAGATGCGTCAGCAAGCCTTCAGGAAACCACCTGAGATACAGTTGTAGTGTTTGAAAGTAGGGAAAAAAAAAATCGACAAGATGAGCCAACATACTGACCTCACACGCTGTAACCTTTGCATAAAGGCTACTAGCACGGTAAACAAATTCGGCATAATAGTAAACATGAGGAGTGCTTCAGATATGAAGAAACCAGTCCATGAGGTGATGTGCTCATGACATGGCCTCTCTCAACGGTCCGGCTGCATCAATTCGCCTCACCGGCCGCCTCGTTCGCTTCCATCTTTCCGCTCCCTTGTCACTGGCGCCGTTGCTGCATCCCCATCTGCACTTCAAATTACTCTCTTATTCCCTTCTCCGAGGTAACTCCTTCACTACAGCACTGAAGGTTACCGGCAGGCCGTGGCAGGGCAGACGATGTGATGATAGGTGCTTAGGCAATGTTGCTTAGCTGCAGCTTCTCTCCCTCCTCGGGACCGGAAATCCACGAACCCGCTCATCCATCCATAACGCCTGTGTGTGTGTATGTATGTGTGTGTGTGTGTATGTATGCATACGTGGACAAGGCCAAGATATGGACATAATTCCCAGAAACCACAAGGCGTATCGACCGAGCTGAACGCCAGCCACATGGCAGGCAGGCGGGAATGGTTGCCTTCCGAGCCGTCGGCGATGCAAGAAGATCCCAAGAAACCCTTCTGTGGAGGAACAAAAACAAGCATGCTTTTACTTAGCCGAAGATATCCAGAGTTGGATAGGAAAGATAGCCAGATATCTTCTCCACTTACAATATATGCGTGCGCATGTACCTGGATAGGATTACCATGGGAGGGGCATGTGAGTCGACTGGGGTGCGTCGACCGAAGAGATCACATTCTTGGTACGATGGGGTATCTGACAAGTGTCTACTGACCAAGAGCAAGGCAACTGAATTCAGAGCGACAAGGCCGGCTAAAATGTGTGGTATCAGGACGCAAGAGAAAATGTCGTCATCATGGCAGCAGCATCATGGCTAAAACTGAAAGAGAAAGGGACAGCTTGACAACACGTATACCTGGATATAGCCCAGCGAAACATGAAAGTAAGAACATTAAATATGCACACCAACCAACGGGATAGCGATGCAGAGAAGAATATAAGACTAGGGAGCCTTCCTGGCAGGCATGATATAGATGCGGACTGGTTGATCTCTCATTGTTGAGTATTATATTAACGGATGTCAAAAGATGAAAAGGCACTGTGATAATCAATATAGAGTAAAGCAAAGACGTGCGACCGCAACAGTTAGCAGAAGCAGGCAAAAAAAAAAAAGGGTATCACTATCTTCAGAAGCCAGCCAGGCCTCTAGATCCCTGGCCGTCTATGGAAGTAAACATCAAAGCCGTTATCATACACAACACCTTGCCCATCCACTGTTCCCTCGTCATCCTGTACAGTAAATTGGATTCCAGACCGCTAACGCTGTCCCGAACTCCCTCACTACAGTTCATCTAGATGGAAACCGCGCAAAGCATTCTGGAACCAATTCATGTTATGTCCTTGATGATTAGGAACAGGCCCAGCTCCGCGACCACGGGCAACTCCAGCTCCTGCACGTCTACCCCTCTGAGCATCTGCTCCTCCTCGACCAGCGGGCCTATTATTATTCCCTCCTCTTCCCTGTCCTGCTGCTGCTGCTCGTCGCTGACCAGCGGCTGCGCCACCTCTGCCAGCAGGTCTATCAATCTGTCCCCATCCTCGTTCTCCTCGCCGCGCAGGAGCAGCAGCCGGAGCAGGAGGACGCCGCTCTGCGTTGGCCGGAGCCGGAGCTGGAGCCGCAGCAGGCTGGTCAGCCGCGAGCCTCAGCACAAGTGGAGCCTCACGAGCGACCGCAACTTGGCCAGGGTCTTCTGGAAGACCGTGGGCTTGTTCCGCCTCGTCCTGCTGCTGCGCACCGGCAGCAGCTGGTTGTTCAGCAGGGGGAACAAGTGCAGCTTGCATCCCTAGAACCTCGTCATCATCAAAGCCAACAAAATCCATGATCGCGGCTCGCATATCGAAGCGCGCATCGTCCAGGGCGGCCGCACGTTGCTCGGGCTGGTCATAGTTAAAAACATGGGTGGCAAAAGGGTCGCGGTTGGGATCAGTAGCAGGGCCACCTTGCAAGTCGCGCTCGATGTCAACGTCCCAAGCTTCTTGTCCGGCCTCCAGCTCCCAGAGGCGCCCTGTGCAGTAGGGCGAGCCACCATTGAAGTGCCGGTAAGGGTTGCTTGGTTCGAGCCAGGCAGAGCAAAGGTAGCAGAAATGAGTATCGCAGCGAGAGCAGCGCATGTGGTTGCAGCCCGCGGTCTTTTGGACAGGAGCGTCGCAGCTTGGACACGGGCTGGTGTAGCGACGGATGTACTCCAGCGTGGCCAAATCCTCGATGGTCTGTCCCTGATTTTTCTCCTCGACTGTGCGCTTGCAGTAGACGAACGGGCCGTGCCACGATTTCTTACATCGCTTGCAGAAGGCGAAGTTGCAGTCCACGCAGATTGCCAGCCGTTCATCGTCCTCCTCGGACTCTTCGTTGTCCTCGTCGTCCGAGGCCTCGGGTAGCTCCAGGCCTTGGGGCTTCTTGTGCCTCTTGGACCGGGCGGCGCCATTACACCAAGAGCGAGGGCAGTAGACCGTGTTCTTGTCGGTCTCGAGGGCGATCTTGTATTTCAGGTCAACGTAACGCTTTACGACATCCTTATCAAGGGGAATCTGGAGCAGTTCGCTGGGACTGACGGACTCAGCCTGCTTCTTGCGCCGCTTGTCGGAGACGGCGTTGGCTCGCTCTTTCGCGCAACCGGGCTCGAGGCACCGTACAGCCGCGATGTCGCCCTCTTTGATGGCAGCATTGTAGAAGTCCTGAAGACATTGGACGCAAAAGACATGGCCGCAGTCGAGCATTCGGTGACAGACGGAGCCTTTCTTGGGCTCCAAGCATATGCCACAGTCGAAAGTTTCCTTCGCGAACGCGGCTCGCCGCGCTTCAAAGTCGTAATCCAAAAGGGCAATCATAAGCCCTGAATCGACCTCCAGCACTCCCTTTTCATTAATCAATCCGAAGACTTCATCCGCAGCTTGCTGGACATGGTCGATGAAGCTGAAAACAACCATGTCCCTCCCAAGTGATTCCCACAGGTTTGACACTTCAGCCTCCAGCTGGCTGAGCTTGTCTTGAGGGACCCATGCCGGCTGGGCAGAGATGGTGACTTTGGGAGGTTCCGTTTCAGGATAGTTCGGACCCAGGGAAACCTCAAGGCGAAGAGCTGGTAAGTGCACTACTTCTTGTGAGTGACCAGCATCTGTGTGGGCTTGAGAAGCAAGATCGCTATCAGGCCGTCGGGAGAAGACGGTTACGGGCTTGGGTGGGGTTATGGGGAGGGCGAGGACGAAGGTATATGGATTGTCTGGAACTGGATGTTGAATCTCTGGATAGATCGCTTCAAGGGAGCTAAGTTCTATGTCGCGTTGGCTCTCAGGGTCGGTGGCCATGACAGTGTTCGAGGTGAGGCTAGGATAGTTTGTCCAAGTACTTAGGAAGGATTACTGAAAGAGGGACGACGTCCAGGTCGTGGAGGGATATTGACAGAAAGAAAGCTAAAGGCAATATGGAGCAGCTGGTTGATATTAGATGCCCAGAATAGGTAAGTCAGGGTTGAAGTCTGCTTTATACAGCTGAGAAAAGCAGCCAGAGATTTACTTGTTCCTTGCGTTGGTGTTGTGAGAGTCTGTGCGGGAGCAGGCTGTGTGCTTGCGACTTTCAGAGTTATGAACAGTAGGATGAAATATAGGGCGATTGCAGAGGTTAGCTCATAATATGGCAGTGTTCGTGAAAACAAGTCAGCTCTGCGATTCCGCTATTTTGTGGAATGTGAAGTTGAATCAATGGCAATCTCAATTGGCATCACCAAAAATCCATGATGACTCGTCGGCGTCGGCGACACCACTCCTCCGCATCAAACGTTCATGTGGGGGGGGGGGGCGGAGATTGGGTTCTGAACCTTAAGCCCATGCCCCTGTCCTAAAATGGGTCCGCCAGCCTCTGCAAATGAAGCTGCCGATTGGCCATAGCGTCGCGTCTCAGCGGCCCACCCAGAGCTCTGGAAAGCTAGCAGACGTGCGAGCTTATTTTCACTGTTCTCTCACTGTGCTCTGTTTGACGACACCAATTCAGGCTCGTTTCTCAACCATTGCTTTTATCGAGTCAGCCCATCCTATCCTGCATTTGTGGTCTTTAGGAGCTCAGAACGCCAAACATTATTGAATTTAAAGAAGCTTGCATCAGTTGTATTCTTTACATACCGCTGTTGAGATACTAACACGCCGCTAAACAAAGAACTACACGTGTTCTTTGCCAATCATCTTGCACCAACAGCTCCCGTGAGACGATGAGGTTGCCGTGGTCAAGTCATTGGTGATCGATTCGGCTGTTTCATTGATTATTACCACTTTTACCCATTACATCCAACTAAAATGGCTGACAATGACATCACTCCCTTGGCTTCACTGTCCCTTACTCATGTCTACTATGTGGGCTCTCCCCCCCTTCGCTGAGGGAAGACCATTGCCGTCATCCAGAAAGCTAACCCAGCCTGTCAGGACCCAAACGATCCCATATCACATGCTTGTGCCTATATTTCCCTCGTGCCACAAGCCCTCCTCGTGGTCTACGTGACCCTGCTCTGGGCAACCCGCGAGGCCGAAGTCTTCCTGACCTTCGCCGGCCAGCTGGGCTGCGAGCTGGTCAACTACATCTTAAAGCACCTCATCAAGGAGGAGCGTCCCCTCCGCAAATGGGTATTATCCGAAAATTTATCCGAAGATCGCGCCGTAGGCAGCGGCTATGGCATGCCCAGCTCGCACGCCCAATTCGTGTTCTACTGGGCCTTCTCTGTCACCCTCTTCCTCATGGTGCGCCACAACCCGAGCAGATTGCATCGCGTTGAGGGCATCGCAGCGGCCGCTTCCGAGGATAAGGACGGCGAGTGTGACAATAACGAGCAAAGATCTACCTCATCAGAACCCCCTTCCCTCCGAACCATCCAGCAAGCCTACCGTGCCGGCGGGCTCGCTGCCGCTAGTGCGTCCATCGAAGCTTACTCCCACGGTCCCTGGACCCTGACCCAGCGCGTAATCGTGAGCGTTGCTGCGTTCACCATAGCAATCTTGGTTTCCTGGAGCCGTGTGTACCTGAGCTATCACACGCCGCGACAGGTAGTCGCTGGGGCTGTCGCGGGGACGGGGTGTGCCATCGCCTGGTTCGCTGTGACGTACGTGCTACGCGAGACAGGCATGTTGGCGTGGGCGCTGGAGTTGCCAGTTGCAAGGTGGCTGAGGATCAGGGATCTGGTTGTGGAGGAGGATGTGTGTCAGCCAGGATGGGAGGTTTGGGAGAGTAGGAGGAGAGTTACTATGCAGAAGGAACGGGAGAGGGAAAGGAATAAGAAGAAGGGGGAGTGAAAAGGGAAAAGAAAATTGTAAAATTTCGGTATATAAGAAGCAAGTACTCTTGTAATTTTGTCAGATTAATTCTTCATCTTCTGTAAGACAGAGAAAACTTCTTTCATGCGCTGCCTAATTAGACATTGCTACAACATACCATTAGAACCTTTCCGCATATTCCAAGCTTTCAACCAGAACCACCAACATTATGTACAGCCGTGCCTACCTGTGTCTCCTTATCAAACCACCCTCCTCAGCGATACACCCCACTATTTTCATAGTGCTGGCTCCCATACGGGTTCCTCCCAGCCTGGTTCATCTCGTAGGTCTCACCCCCATAAATGTTCCCTGGCTGATCGTACCGGTTCTCGTACTGATCGCCGTACTTGTAATTGTCCATTTGGTCAAGGCTTGCATAACCAGTAGCGGTGTTGTTATTGTTGCTGTCGACACGGGTCTGCTCAGTGGTATAGCTGTTCCTAACATCATCCGGGGTCGGGTGATTCGGCAGGGCATTGGGGTTGAGCGCCGCCGCGTCGCCTGCAGCAGTGCGCTTGTTGCGGCCAAGGCTTGAGTACAACCAGCCTTTCAGGCCGCCCTTGCGCTGGGTCGTGCTGCTGTTGTCGATATTGTCAGGCAGGATAGGAGCTGGCTTCAGCTCGCTGCGCTTGCGATTGCGAACAATTGCGAGGGTGATGGGCAGCGAGAAGAGGTAGAAGAAGCTGAGGAGCTGTTAGTCTAGGCCCAAAGGGCCATCCTGAAACACAGACAACTTACATCGAAATAATCGACACTGCCAGACAAGCAGTTTGGATCTTACAGGCCTGTCCCAAGCTCTTCGGTAGCGGAGTGAGATTGTCCCCCTCCTTGCCCACCACCTTCTGATCGGCCTGACCTGTTCCAAACACTGTCTTGACCTCCCCTGTGCAATTGCCCGCTCCGCCACGGTTCGCCACAGAAACGTAGATAAATGCCACGGCGAATGCAACATCGAACATCATGGTCAAGAATGAGGGGAACTGCCTTCCAGGGAAGCACCACAGCAGCAGGGTGGATACGATTCCGTACAAGACGGCAGCGCCGGAAATGCCCTCGACGGCGCGAACCCAATTGTGGATGGGCAGCGAGTGGTTTGAAAGGGTCGCCAGGAAGTATGAAAAGAGGGCGAGGACGATGATGGCGCAGAGCAAGTGAACGATGCGGATGAAGAAGTGTAGGCCCCGGAGGGCGACGGAAGACCCTTTGCCCATGGTTGGCTCGGTTTCGCTGGTAAAGAATTTAAAATTATCGATTTATAGGGTATTCGTTTCTGGCAGCAGGTATAGATTGAGGAGCTGTGGACGAAATGTGCGGTGAGCGATGGAAGTCGGTCAAAAAAAATGGAGTGCCACAAAAAACTCAGCAGCTCGTCAAAGAGATCGACGTTGGAGGAATGGATGGAACCGCGGGCGCCACAAGCGGGGCAGGTCAGGTCGAGAGGCCCGAGTCAGAAAATTCAATGGAAGGGAAAGAAAAAAAGCTGGAAAACAAAGGGTATTATGTTGTTTGGAGGCCTACACCCAGGATTTTAAGAGCTGAAAGGAGGAAGCTGAAAGCTTGCAACAGACCGCGTCGATGTCCAATCCTGTCGTGTTTCTCGTCGCAAAAGATCCCGGACACGGCCACAGCGCCACAACCGTATGTGGGGCACGGGTGCACGACTTCGACAGGAGCCCTGGAACCTGTCCTCTGCTGTTCCGGGCTCTTCCCTGGCCTTGACATCAGGCCCTACGGCCTTCGCGGCCAACGTCCTGTTGCATTTCTGTGTCCAAAGGCTCATGTATGGCTCTTTTGACAGGTCGTTTCAGCTGGCCCAGACATCTGCCGACCAATCAACTCAAATTTAACCATCCCTTCATCATCCCACGCTTATCCCTCCCTCACTCGTATTACGCACTCTAAAACCGAACTTCCCGGACGCAAGCAGATCGCCGGTCATGTCGCTGAAACAAGGGTAAACACGATCAGCTGCTGTGTTGCCTGCATCTTCATGTGTTGCTGCGCCCGCAACATGACGAATCTGTTGTGTTGATTTTAACCGAGACCGCCTTGCCATTGGGGTCGGGTGACGTCATGCCAAGGCTCTTGAATCTGGCTCCCGCCCCCTCCTCCAGAAGCACAGCCACTGTGGCGGGCATCTGGGATGACGACGCCGTCTCCTTGGGGCCAGAATCGGCGACAAGAATGAATTTTGGTGTCTCGGAAAAAATTCGCGAGTTATGGTATTCAGACATTGAAAAGTGCATTCTCATAAAGAAAAGCTTTACTCAGTTAGAAGCTGAAGACACCCTGGTCGAGGGTGGATTCCGTTGTTGTGGAAACGTTCCGATTGTTTATTCAAGGAGGGACGCTTCAACCCCACTTATGCAGACGACAGGTGAATCGGTAAGCTTGCTGACGTAGAGGTCTTGCATGAGTCCAATGAAACTGAACTTTTGCTGAAGGAAACGTGACGTTCGCCGAGGGCTTGCGAATGTTACCTTTGAACCAGGCCCGGGTTGACCGATATTGTTTCGTATCTCTGGACCAACCCAGACGATGAGGAGGCACAGATCTTTGGTCATCGACTGATATGCAGCATGTCTTTAAAAAGACTGGTTTTGTTACGTACGAGTTCCTCTGCCAGCAGACAGGCGATAAGGATTGGCATGCTACCTCGAAGTTGTGTTGGGAACCTGGCAGCTCAGCTTAAAGTAATACCTCCACCGACAGGAAACTGCTATGAGAGGAGGGTCATGAGTGGCTTTATCTCTGAGGGTGAATGCGGTTCGAAAAGAGATTGGTCCTCTGCCCATAGCCACCTAAACCTCTTCCGGACTGTTTCGGGTAATTGCCGGGAGGTGTTCGCTGAGTTGCCCCTTCCGTCCTATGCCTTCTCTCGCCCATCTCTCATAAAGCCCACGGAAGGCGTCGCCCAAACCTCTCCAGGCATCACTCGCGCCTCTTTTCCTTTTCCAAGTCCTTTTATCAACGAGTCAATGACCTCTCCCTTCTGACAAGCAATGAAGCAAGCACCTCTTTGGTGTATCGGTTAACATGCCGGATTCTCAATGTTGAGCATTCCGGTGCGCGGGGTTCGACTCCCCGGAGAGGTATTTTTTGGTCTATTTTCATATTCCTAACTTGTTCCGAAGCTTTTATTACCACTTCGTTGCTTTGAACAGACATGAGCAAGGGATATCAGATAGTAGTAGGAACTAGGCATCTACATTTCTGGCCATTCTCCTGGTTTTCCATCTGCTATACTTATGTCAACAGAAATGGGAGTATTACGAGCTCGAAACATGTAAATCAAGCAAACATCTATAAAGGGCCGCTGCATTTAATACTTCAAATGATCGTGACCACCCTTTCTGTGAATACAGAGCTCTTCACAAGAGTTTGGCATTCCGATTCACCATAAAGTATGATGAGAGAAACTCGCTCGAACACATTCGGCATTCCTTCCACCTCCGCAAGGACCAATATATGGTTGATCCCCAGGAGTAAACAGGTAACATTTTGGGGTGTTTCAACCAGCCCCCTGAATTTGCTTTTTATATCTCCATCGGTACGAACTACAGTGGTATCAATCGTATCAGTGATAACGCGACCAAAAGTTATTCCACCTGCTTCCACTTGGCCGTATCGGACCCGGTAGTAAGAATCTCCTGCTTCTGGCTTAGCATGGAAGGTCATATTTGCATCTAAGTCCGGCTCGATTGCCGTGCTCTTCTTCAAGACCCCAGGTAAGACTCGGCCTTTTAAAACCACCTGCCGATCGTCTATGTGCAACAGAGAACACTGCCATGATTCTTTTCTGTAGTGCGGCTTCAAGGACACTTTTCCATTGACTGAAGCCCAGGACCAGGTTGGGGCTCGGTATCGTTCAGGCCGAGTCGGCCATTCTGTGCCGTTTTGGATCGAGTCATGACTAATTTTAAATCCACGGCGCGCGGGCAGATACGGTTGCCACGCAAGCATCCAGAAAACGTGATTTCGAAACAGGCCTGCGAAGTACTCGCCAAAGATACTCGCGCTTTCCGCATCAGAAGTGATCGCTGCCGCGATGCCTGAGATTGCGGGGAGTTTGTCTGATGATATCGTCAGCTTGCGGCTGGTATATTCTTCCAGAATTGCAGCCCACACGGCAAGCGGATCGTTCTGAATGTCCATAGTCTGAATATGGGGGAAAAAGTTGATTTTCCGTAACGCTGGGATTTTCCCGGCCAGAGTTTTCGATTCCATCCCTTCAAAGCTAGGGTTGGACTCGGACGAATTAGCACAGCGGCATTGCCAGATAACCTCGTCCATAGTAAAGCCAACCACACGGGGTGATAGGATGTGTTCTTGCAGAGTCCAGGCACGGTACGCCAAAGCACGGTCCGCATAGAAGTCCTGATTGTAGCACACTCTGGTGTATATTCCGCCAGGAATGAGCGAATCTGAATCAACAATCTCAAGGTAATCTTCTCCTTCTCCCTGTTTGAGAGGCCAGATACGAAGATGCTGGATCGACACAGTTCGCTCGAAAAAGATACCTTCATCACAGCTAGAAGAATCTAATGCAGCAATCGTGAAGTAGGCATTACCGTATACTTCTGCCATTTTTTTTCGATTCTCGTTCCCAATCTCTTTGGTCGTCCTGGATGATCGTTAGGGCATCGATCCATAAATAGCGAAGACCAAGATTATGGGTTATGATCATAGCATGCTGTAGTGTTTTGGGAACATCTTCCCAACGAATGCCTGACTTGAAATCCTCGAGCCTTTCTTGTGTGAGTTTCAGTTGACGAGCCGTACCCCAGCAATAACTCAGCGCGGCGTAACGACCAGCTTGGGAACCGCCAGTTTCAACGAGATAAGGTCGCAGTCCATGAGGAGTAGGATTGACGTCGACGATCCGAGTTGGTAGGGTTGGTACGATATTCGAAGGTTTGCAAGGATCATGGTATCTATCGCATTCAGCGATCCATCTTTTAATAGTCTGGAAGCATTGCGGAGAGTTGGCTGATCTGGCCACAACGCCAGATAGCGGAATTTCTGGAACCATCTCAGGGTGGGCGCCAGGGACTCTGAGAATGCTGATTCTCGGGCTCATATGCACACCGATTGGGTCAATAAGGAACTTGATGCCAGACAGGGGACGGTCGGTCAGATACACCCTGGACGACGGACGGGAATCAAAGTGGATGAGGAAGCCTATATCATCGTTTTGTTGGTGAAGATCGTCAATGTCGCGCCCATCGAACTTGATACGCTTCCAACGGCTTGTGCGAAAGACAGAGAGCCAGAGAATAAAGCAGACCCGGCATCCATTCTTGCCTGATTTATATAACTCCCAGTACGATGCAACAAAGTGCGTGTTGGTAAGATCCTTGCTGTGGCAGGTTTGACATGGCATTTCGAAGGAAGTTCTCACGGCTGGGTGTCGTCGACTTTACATAGTTTAGAAAAGAATGAGAGAAAAGCCCTGGAGTGAAAAAGACAACCGATGGGTCGATGCCTGAACCTCCAGACGCAAGCAAGTGGATACCCAAACCTTAATATTATGGCACAGCCGCACACCCCCCTCAGTTGCCCTTATAGATGGGCCGAGCAGCTGTCCAAGGTTAATACATCGTGTAACTAGGTATCTTCCTGATAACTGTCATAACATATTCCTCGTACCATTGATCACAATCCGAATAGACAAAATACAGTAGCAGAAGATGTAGGTACGATTATACTACACGCTCTTAGGCATGACAAGCCGATGTAACGTCCTTGTCATAGGCTAACCCACGGTGAGCATAGGTGAGATCAGCTACTCGGTCGATCTCTATCAGTTTCCAGCCTTATCGTGACATTTTGTGGAGCAATTCTCTTAATGACGCTAAAACGAGTGAGCAGAAAAGCTGAAACCGTATTCCAGGGTTTGCTGAAGCCCTCTAGGCAGTATGGCTCAAGAACCTGTTGAAGTTCGTTCCTCGATGGCCACTTTGGGAGACCCGACAAATGGGCGTGGGAAAATACGGCAGCGGACATAAAGCAGACCAACTGCCTCATTGTCTGAAGAGCAAGCAGAGAACCCGAATACCAAACGCTGAGGTCTTGGCTTGCCAAAAATTGCCACAAAGCAAACTGACCACTGCAGTGTCAAATATTCAAATTAGCAACCAACAGATATACGATTGGTATCTCCTCTACATGATACCTTCATCCGCAAAAAGATCCCGTTTACTACAATGTTGAATCCTTCCAAGGAGAACACTTGCTTCAGTTCGGGGTATTATCCTTAGGACGACCAACGTGAATATTAGGGAAGGAAATGACTTTTGGCAATAAGGTTGCAAAGGAGACATGCAGCATAGGAATAAGCCCAAAAAAAAAAAGATAAACTATGCGATTTGCTTCATAGGACTCCAACGTCACCGGAAAAAAAAAAAAAAGATACTTCAATACCAAGCCCACAGGGAACCAGCCCCATCCCCAGTTATTCCCCTCAATCCGGATTAGCAATATACAACCTCCCATGGGTAAGTGTCATGGTCCGTTCGTCCACACTACCCCTCCTCCGCAGCTCATCAATGCTCTTAACGCTCTTCTCACGCGTCAGTACCGCGTGCTTGGCGCTGTTTCCAGCCAGACCAGACGTGTTCGATGCCAGCTCCGGCACGCTGTCGAGACGTTCGGCAGCCAGCGCGCTGCTGCCGCTCGCAAAACTGTTAGCCTTGCTGCCGCTGCCGCCGGTGTCATTATTTCCTCCTGCATCAGCGCCGGGCGTGGTGTTCCCAGCGCTGTTGTTGTTGTTATTATTATTGCTATCCGTGCCCTGTTCAACTACTGAGCCTCTCCGAGAGGGCCCATCAGCAGGACTCCAGCGCGCACCGCCAGACCGGTACGTCCCCGTCATAGTCATGTTCCTTCGCCCGCCGCTAGCGGCGCTATTTCTCCTATGATACCGATCCTCTTCTTCGCTATCCTCTCCCTCAACCTCAGTGGCACTCAACCGCACCGGCACGCCACTAACGCCGTTGATATTACCCCCAGGAAAGTACCCCATAACAGTAGTTTTCCCATGATGCCGGATCTTCATCTTTCCCCCTCCGGCTCCGATGCTCAGCCCCGTCAGCGTCCTGCCCGACGCAGTTCCCGCGACCAGCGCCTCGACCTCGCGATGCGCGCGCATTTTGGCCGCGCGTTGCTGGGCCAGAAGTCGCGGATCTTCAAACTGCGCGCGCTCGCACCACACTGTGGCCTTCTGTTTGCGCAGCAGGGCGACGTAGCTGAGGCCTTGTGAAGGATGGGGTGAGCCGGATCCGCTGTTACCGTTGCCGTTGGAGCGACGCAGATCGAACACGGGAGACGTGCGGTAGGCGGCTGGAGGAGCCATGCCGCCACCGCTGGCGCCGTTGCTGGAGACGGTGCTGAAGGTGTTGACGCTGGGCGAGCGGCGTTGATGGATGGCTGGGGCGCCTTGGGGCTGGTTTAGGTAATGATGTTGTTGATGATGCATTTGCTGGTGTGATTGAGGCTGAAGAGGAGGAAGCGGTGAGGTTTGCGGCGGAGGCATGTAGTTGTTGTAGTTGCTGCTTCTGATGCTGCTGCTGCTGTTGTTGTTGTTGTTGTAATTATTGTCATAGTTATTGTTGTAGCTGTTGTAACCGTTATTATACCCATTGCTATTGCTGTTGCTGGGCGGGGGATACGACGGCATCGGCGGGGGCATGATCGGGAAGATATTGGACGAGGTAGTTCGAGTGCGGCTATGGCCATAGTAGACATCATTATTCTGGCCCGAGTATTGATGGTCTATCATGGGGTCTGCTCGCCCGCGAGCGTAGTGGGGGTCGGCTGTTGGGGACGCGGCCTGCCACTCGTACGACATGGTGATGTCGCGAGTGCAGCAGCAGAGGACGGCAACTGGGCTCCGTGATGGCAATTCCGTAAGAATGGCGAGCGAACTCTAGGGAAGTACAAGACGAGATCGAGACCGAGATCGGGCAAGTCAGGACGATTGGTCAAGCGGGTTTTTGACGATCGTTGGTGCACCCAATTGGCGATAGGGATGAAGATGGTCGCGCTTGAAGGATGCCGGGACTCAAGGACACCCGTTTTCCATCGAAAGTGCTGTGACAGGAAAGATCTGGAGAGACAGAGGTGGGCGGTCGGCAACAGATGTAAGCGTGGTGGAGGGAAGGCTGCAGAGAAAGTCGGATGTGGATGTGGATGTGGATGTGGATGTGGATGTGGTTTGGTTTGTGGATGCTGCAGTACTTTTAGAAGAGACGCACCCCATCGGCGGGTTCGGGTTGCGGGTGTTCGCGCGCGCTGTGCTGCCTTCTCCCCCGAAAGAGATCCATCCACGCCCCCTTGCCAATCAACCCAGTAGCCTCCAGAGCGGCGGGTCATGGCTCGTGCCCTGCTTGTTGGGTTGCTGCTGGCTGAAGCCCGGCTCCACAGATGATTTCATGCTCTCCACATGGCCCGAGCGTCCGCCTTGGCGCTGCAGCCGCCTCTCTTTTATGAACTGCGAGCCCGGTGAGTTGGGAAGGAGTGCTTCTGCAAGTTGTTGCTGAATTAATTCGAGAAAAAAAATTTTTTTTTTTTCCCTTCTTGCAGACAGAAATTAAAATTTTGGTGTCGTTGTTGCTGAGACATGAGCCACGAGGCCTTAAACATCTAATGCCAAAAATTGCGAAAATCACCGATACATGTGGCAGCTCATGGCAGGCGCTGAACAAATTGAACCAAGAACCCGTGGACCACACCACAGTCGGACCCTTCACAACAGACTCAGCCCAACTGGAACTGCAAACAACACACCACAGCGGCCACACAGCCTGGAACCACAACATCAGCAAATTTCAGTTGCAAATTGCAAATTCACTGGACCATATCCGAAGTGAAGCAGGCGAATCGTGAGTCAGGCTCGCTTTGTTCTCCCACAATGAATTATCCAACTCCTTCGCTCTACGTCCAATCAAGTCCCCTGCCATGATCGTTCGTGGTGCCCCCTCTTCATCTGAAGAGCCAGCTGCCAAGGCACCGCAGGCACAACACCAAGTGGGGTGTGCGAGGGGGCCTAAGCGGCGTGTTTGGCGTTTTCCCTCGCAAGGTCGAGGTGCTCCCGTTTGGTTGCATCGGCTCGGCGCTGTCATGGAGTTTCGATCGGCTGGCTTCTGCAGCCTTCTCTCCAACCGAGCGCGGGAGTTGCGTACAGAGAAGGCCAAAGAATTTTTACAGGCAGGCTCCGGGACCAGCGGGACATCTGCTACCTTGGCCATGAGACATCACAATGACCAAATCCAGGTACACGTCCCAGTGCGTTGCCAAGGAAGCGATATCTTTGTCCAACAATGTTATCACAACTCTAAGGGACCATCCATGCAAATTGCCAAAGGGGTATCACAATTGCTATTTAAAGCCCTCAGGCGCCTCTAACTCCGAACTCCATCCCCTCTATAAACCCAATACGAGTTAACAGGTATATGAGTACCAGATAGTACAATGCGTTTCACTCATTCCCTAAAGTCATCCCCCTCAATCCATGTTCCCTCCACCCCCATCAACCATCCTCATCCGCATCCTAGTCCGATGCTCTCTCATCTCCTCGCTCTCCTCACCATCATCCTCCTCGTCCTCATCCTCATCATCATCGCTCTTGATCCCCTCAGTAATAGACCCCGCCTCATGACCCCTCTCCTCCTCATCATCTTCCACAGCGACCTCATCCTCGTCCTCCTCCTCCGCAGCCGACAAGTAGTCACCAACCCCAACAGTCGCCGTCCCGGTACAAGCCCCAGCAGCAACGACGGCACCAACGCGCTTCGCCGGCGGCTCTTCATGCGAGTGCGACGAGCCAGCTGCAATGGAAGGCCGGCGCTTCTCGAAATCCTGCCTGTGTGCTTCGGCCATGGCCTGCAATATGGACCGCCTGCCCGCCGTTGACGTGCGCCGATGCCGACGAAACGCGACACCCAGACCAGCTTGCTGTGCGACACCAGTGGACGTGGCACCGCCTTCTTCGAGTGTCGGGGCAGCAAGATGCGCTGCTGTCGTTGGCGGGACAGCAGCGTCGGCCGACAGCAGTCCCTGCAGCGGCTGAGCCTGACCGGGGAAAGCCGCCTGGCTGTGCGCAGTGCCCGGCGGCGGGGTAGGCGGCGAGGGCGTAACCAACGGTGTAGTAACAGCGGGCTGGGCAGCAGCGCCCTCCTCCTGGGCTGACCCAAACTTGGACGCCAGTTCCAGCTTGTACGGCAGCGGGGTTTCGCGGGCAGCCTTGTACTGTGACACATTGCCGCAGTGTTCGTTCTCGACACGCAGCAGTGTCCACAGGCCACGGCGGATGACCTCGGCCAGTGCGACGCAGAACGACACGAGTGTGCTGTGCTGCGTGTTGTGCGTGAAGATGGCGTACAGGATCCAAGAGAAACGCAGCAGCGGGTCGAGGAACATGATGGCGTAATAGATCCAGACCGGACGCAGCGCCGTAATATCGCGGAGCAGCCGACGGCGAGCGTTGGCCTGCAGCAGCGAGAAATCCATGAAGAGGTCCCAAATGGAGCAGTAGATGGCGTTGACAGCGGCAAAGGCGATGTAATGGCTGAGGGTCGAGCTGTTGTTCTCGATACGGTAGATGCTGAGGAAGACGGCAGTGAAGATGGTCATGACATACTTGCCGCAGTTGGCCAGGTGCGGGAAGACATTGCGTGTGTCGTAGTAACGGCGCAAACACTGCAGAACACGCCAGATGGGCGGTAAAGCGCTGAAGAAGCCGAGTAGTCGCGAGTGTGACGAATTGCACTGCGCTGGATTTTCAAAAGAATTGGCGTACAGACAAAAGAACAGCTCGACGTTCTGCGAAAGTTAGAACCAAGCATAGCTCAGCTGAGGCTAGAGAGCGAGAGACTTACACTCGTAGCATACGTCAGCGAACACCAAATATCGCCGAGGAAGAAATCGCGAAATTCGACTGGATAGTATCCCGACCAGAGTAACCGCCACTGTAATCGTCAGCCAACGAACATGCCGCATATGAGGGTGGTTGGGACGCGCATACATGGGAGTACAAGAACCAGCGCCTGGCCTTGTGGTGCAAAATCGGCGCCGGCAAGAACAGGATAGCTAAGCTGATGCAGATCAGCACGACCGGATAATAAAGATACATATCCTCCCAGTCGCCGAACCGCGAAAAGTTAAGCCACATAACGATGCCGAACAGCGCAAAGAAGAAGCACGGGAACTCGGCCAGCTGCTTCCAGTCCAGAAAGTTGCGCGAGTCGAACTCGAAGATAAACGGATAGTTGACCCGATTCTTCGTCCACGTCCTGCACGCGAGCGTAAAGAGGATGAACAGCAGCAATATCAAGAAGTAGCCGCCGTACAACTGAAGCAGGTAGCCCGTCTTCTCAACTAGCTCCCTGTCCTCGTCAAACAGCAGCTGCACGCCATTAATCAGCCCCTGGACGGCAAAGACCGCGCCCAAGCCGATCATTACGCCGCTACGGAACGCGCTATCGCTCTGATCACCCGTGCGCTTGACGCCCAGATTGCGCAGCTTACCCGCAGCAATCTTGTGGTTCCCCTTCTCGAAGTACCGCGCATACAAGTCCTCTACGGCACGCAGGTGTCCATCGAGGACATCGCTCGTGACGAAATAACTTTTGTTTACCTTCTCGTTCATGTAGCGGTACGCAGGGCGCGCATTGACCGCCTTGTCGTACTTCTTGTTCAGCTTGCGGAAGGCGGTACGGTTGAGCAGGGCATACGACTTGAGCAGCTCCAGGCTGCGGTAGAACTCCTGCATGGCCAGCTTCAGCTTGCGCTTGGCCGTGCGGTAGGGCACGTCGTCGCCGGGCGCGCGGCGGACGTAATCAGCAAGGCCCCGGATCGGGACCTGGGGCTCCTGGCCCGCCATCACTGGGGTACGAGCCATCTTCTGCAGAGCCTTAGAGTTCGGGCCGGGCTTGATCAGCAGCCGGTCCTTAATCGGGCCGATCCAGTCGAGCCCTCCTCCCTTTTTCTCCTGCTCGGCAGCATCAGTAGCATCAACGGGAGTGCCATCGGCGGCGGTACGAGCCTGGGCGTTGCTACGGCCTTGCTTGCGCCGGCGCTTGGCCTCAGCGATCTCAGCAGTACGCCGGTTGCGCATCTCGTGCAGCTGGGCGCGTAGCACGGCCAAGCGCTCGGTCGCCTGGTCCTCCTTCTCCTTGTAGAAAGTCTCAATCTTGTCGAGCTCATCATCGAGGAAGTCGTAGAATTCGCGCTCGGCGGCGCGCACAGCTTCCATACCCGTCGCGTCGTTCCGGCTGGAAGCCTGGCGGGTGAGCGTCGAGCCGCCGGTGGAGAACAGACGGTGAACGCGACCGCGGGGCGTCTGCTCCGGCCCAGCTACGCCGCTGGCCTGCGCGGAGGTGATCCGGTGCAGGCTCAGACCCAGCCGGTCCAGGGTCTTGGCGATACCCTTGCGGCCGGACGAGGGGACGCCCAGGGCGGGCGCAGGCAAGGCAAAATCGTGCTTGTCGCTGGCAGCAAAGCTGCCGTAGCGGGTGCGGCTTGCCGGCGTCTGGGCCAGGCCGGAGCGCTCATCGCTGATGGCTGCCGGGCCCGGACGGGGCGTGCTCACTTCGGTCTGGAGAGGGTCGGGTTCTTCATAATCGAGGGCGCCATCAGTGGGAGAACGGGGGGCAAAGAGCGTGGCGGGGGCGTTAAACAGGTTGTCGAGACGACGTTGTTGGGAAGGTGTGTTCGCGGCACGATTCAAGGCGCGCACAATGGCCTTGATGTGCTTTTTGCCAGCTTTGTAGTTGAGATACTTGACGCGCCATTCTGTTGGTTGACGTTAGCTTTGAGCTTTTATCTTGCCTGTCTTAGGTGCGTTCTAATCGGCGGTGAGTCGACGATCGACAGTGCCCAAGACGCAAATGCGGGTGAAGATCTCGAAGACAGCCGCCTCGGCGGAAGGCATCATTGGATAACCCGTAAAACAGGGCGGCATACCTGGCACAGCGTCTGCTTCGAGCTCTTTCGCGAACCTTTGACGGCTAGTCAGCGACTGAAAAAGGCCGAATGGCATTGATTGAGAAAGCTTACTTCATGACGTCAACAGGCGCGACATTCGGCGGGGGAAAACAATCTCAAATGCAGATCTCGGTGTCGAAAAAGGCATTCCCCCTGATTGGGACGAATGAGAGGCGACACGGTTCTCGCAGTCGTCGGTTGCTGGCCTATGGGAATCGACGTGTGCGAACCCAAGAACCTGGTTCTTGGAGATTTCGTCCGATCCAATGCTTTTGTATGCGCAGGAAGGAGAACCCCGGATTCTAAATTTTTCCTTCACTCGACCTCGAAACCGACCCGTCTTTTCTTTTCTCAGCTGATGAATGGATATTAGGGTCCTTTTTTTGCCTCTTCCTTGCATTCCCGTCCTATTCTCGCCCTTTTGAAGGGCTGGTCTCGGCATGTGCTGCCTTGCAGCGTCCCGCCAACGGCAAGCCAGGGGTGCCAACTGGACAGGGGGCCTGGACCTTGCCGACCGCTCGCTGGAGCCCTTCGCCTGAGCGGCCTGGCCCTGCCCTGACGCCACCCCTTGTCCTGTCCCTGGTCGGTGGATCCATTTCAAAGTCAGCACGTTGGGCTCCACAGCGGGCGGACTAGCCGGGCTCAGACGCTCCACGTTCTTGAACCAGTGGGTGACAGTGGGCATTGGCCTCACAGTGGACCATCCGTCGTTCCATCTTGTGTCCTGTCCTTCGGAGGTGTGGTCACGTCATCGACGCCGCTGTTCGCGCTCTCACCTCATCGAGGCTCACCGAGGCAGAGGAGGCTTAGAGGAGCAGGAGGTTATCTGCAGACTCTGCCCTATCAGTAAGCATCCGTCCAGCTGCCGTGCCGGGCGTGATGACTGCTGCAGGATGCAGACTCGGAATCGTACGGCGCCATTTTCGCGACATTCTTGCGGGGTAGGTAGCGGACAAAGTGAAGAACTCATGCTTGGATGTCTCTGTTTCTGCTGGACCCGACGACTGTTCTGGATCCGATTTTACTCAGTCCGAACCCCATGTTTCACTTTTTTTTTTTTTTTGCTTCCAGGCTGCTTCTCTTGCATGCTCACATGGCCGTTTCAGGTTCCTCTCCCTCGTCAATCAAGTCGTGTGCTATTTTGGCCCTCCGAGACTCGTCCCAGAGCTTCGGGTCCTGCTCACCGCCGCCATCAGTGTCCGAGCGCCATAATATTTTCGGACCAGTCAAAGGAGACGGTAAGCGATGGCTTTGCGGTGCGTAGCTTGCTTCCCCTATCGTTTAAAAAGTAAATTTCTGACCTCTTCACGGCTGCGCTGCCGGATGCGCCGCTGCCGCTGCGGTCTGCCGCTCCTATCGCCTGCGTTGTGCGACCTGTCAAAAACATGCAATGCTGTGCCAGTTGCATCCGTTCAAAGATAGGGTGTCGTCCCGCCGGATGGGATTTTTAGGCTCGGATCGGAATCGAAATCCCATGCTTACCAAAAGGGAGCTTCACCTGCATCCGCCGTCTGCAGCGCCAATGTCACCGTGGCTATCTCGGGCTATCTTAGGCCGTGCATGCCGGATATGACCGAACAAAGTTTGCTGTCTGCCTTCTGAAAACCTAAACACTGAGTAGCCGCTATTCCGGGCAGATAGGAAGCGATTACTGCCCAACAGGAAGGAGGCTATGCGATGCGATTACAGACGGAAAAGCTCATCTTTAGGGTTGTTGCTTTTACGAGCCATGGGCTAGGATCTAATGCTTCGCCGATCGGACGAGAAAAAAAAATCGGACAAAAAACGCGCTAGTTTTCAATGCGACCCTGGGGCGAGATGCGATTGGCATGCCCCTTTTTTTATTCCATTTCTGTTTGCGTTCGATTCTTTCGAGCTGCTCTACCGTCGGATGAGTTCGTGGACATCGGGTAGGACATCCGACGAAAGCCAACTTCCCCAGGCATTCTTGCTATTTCTATCTGTCAAGACCTTTACCTCGAGCTCCTTGCATGCTATTTGCAGTTTGCCCAACCTGCATCACCAAACCCTCAAAAGACAAAGTCAGCAACCCTTCCATCTCAACACATTCTCGTGCTTTTCCCCAAATCCGGATCCCAATAGAGGCAAAGCAAATTCTGTACAACCAGCTTTCACCCAATCCAGGTACCTGGACACCGTCACAGTCACACAAACCCACCTCCACGAACCCCTTCCAAAATTTGAAGCCTGTCTATCCTTAGTTTCAGTAAAGTTCACTTGCCCACGTTTCCAAATCCCGAAGATGAGCTTGGCCCGGCACATCAATAATACCGATTGGCTGGCGACATCACACAACAGTGTCACGGCAGTGCTTGTAGCACGCTGTCGAGTTGTACAGGCTTAGACATGACAGTAAATAGAACTACATGTTTCGGCCGGACAGAGCCTCACATGTCATCACATCAGTTGTGGAACGTCCAGTTCGAGGAAGGAGACATTTCAGTACCTTATTTAAGGTGAGAGGTTGGCTGTTGTGGTGTATCATGCATCGGTCGATAATAATCTGGAAGTGCTTGGTTGTGAGGATGAGAATTATTCGCACCTGGCTTGTGTCATGCTTCGGACGTTACAGTCTCAGTCTCATGGATAGTCTCACATAATGAAGCTTTCATGATGCAAGCCTTTGAAGATATCACCTCAACTCCACGTTTACCTATCTATGGGTAATGATCTTCTTTCTCAGATTGCTAGTGACATCAGCAATCTAGGTATCACAAACTCTTTAATCATGCTCTTCAGACTGTATAGATTCTCAGTTCCATCAATCTAGCCACATTCGTAAGACTTCTCAGGCGAAGAGTGTTCGTGAGACGTTCAATCTAGGGTCTTCATATTGGATCTGCTTAGTCATCAACTCCTTCACCCCGTCCCCAGCTGACGAGAGCTGGGTACCTCCTCGTCACATCCCACATCCAAGCTCAGCTCGGCGTTCCATTTCACCACTGCACGTGAACGCTAGCCTGGAAAAAGCAAATGCTCTCAAGATGCCACAAGAAGAACGCCAAAAAAACCCATGGCCTCATTGATCGAGCCCTAAGGTACCGTACCCGAAGCTGGGCTTCGTCTCAACAGCCCCTCTTCCCAAACTTGCAGAACATTACCTAAGATGTCCACGAAAATAAGTGGATGGAAACAAAATCAAAACCCATTTATTACCTAACCCCGCTACCTAGTATGATGAACCACCCCCCCCAGCCGTCCAAACCGAGCCCCTGGTTACCTGCTCCCTCCATATGTATATCCCTCCAAACCAGCAAGAGGGTATCTTATCAGATTGATCCATATATACAGCGAAACAACAAAGAAACATGCCAATACATGACTCAAAAAGCACGTATCAACAGTCCACCACAACTCACCTAAATTCAAGGCCAATCGCTCCCAATCACTCCCAAATGGTATCACATCTCTTCCACCGACATCTTCTCGTCTGTCTCTGAGCATGCTCGTTATCTCCCCTCTCTTAAAACACCCCCTTCATCACTTCTAAGTATCCTCCTCCTGAATCTCCGTTTTATCCGCATAAACCTCCTCCCAAACCTTCCTCATCTTCCTACACACCCGCTCCAACAACCTCCACCGCCCCGTCAACCCCCCCTGACAATAAATCTCCATACTCGCTTCCCACAATAACTTCTCCACATCCCTCCCCAGTCGCTGTACAATCCACCCGGGGTCTCCCCACATACGGACATATTTCTTTTCCTTGTTTTTTGCCAGAATCCCCGCGCGGGAGTCGAGGACTAGCGTGAAATCCGGTTTTACTCCGTTGTGGTGGAAGAACATGAATTTGGATTCGTCGTGGTGTAAGAGAGTAGAAAAGTCTGGGGGGAGGGAGGAGAGGAAGGTCGAGTCGGTGAGGTAGGATTCTTCGTCGGCGAAGGTGCCGTTTTTATCGGTATTAGAAATATTAGAATTATTATCGTTGCTGTGTGGATTATGTTGCGGACCCGGGGGGTAAGCGGGCGTGTTGAGGGTTGCGGTGTCGTCGGAGTTAGAGTCGGGGTCGGAGCTGGTGAAGGCCCAGATTTCCCAGCTGCGCTTCCTCTTCTCTGAGCTCTGTGCGTCTGTGTCAGCCTCCTCGGCCGAATTATTATTATGCGAAGCCGCCTTTGCTTCGCTATTACTCTTCTCCTCGGTATCACCCGCCTTCTGAGCATCTTCCTGCTTCCTTTTCTCCAGAGCAGCCATCACCGCTCTATAATCCTCTATCGGATCCATCTGCTGCATAAACATGCCCCTCCACTGGTCGCCAATCGACCGGCCATGCGACCGCGGTAACATCTTCACATCCCAGTACCCCTTCTTGACGCCCACACCCGGCTTCATCCACTCCGTCGGCTGCTTATATACACCCAGCTTCCTCAGCCCTTCCAGCACTAGCGCCGCCTGGAAGAAGCTCTCCTTGTCCCCCTCGCCCGGCCCGTGCTGCGTCAGCATCGGATAGTAGTGATTCGGCCCATTATAATTATAATACGCCGCCAGCAGTATCGTGTCCGCATGCCTCGCCTTATCAAACACCATCACTCCGCTTTCACTCGTCGTCCGTGACGCAACCGTCGGCACGTCCAACCCACCGGCAATCTTATAAAACAACGGACTCGCTGACGGAGCCCAGAAATCCGGCCACGCAATAAATCCGGTCGAAGTAAACGGCTCGGCGCCGTCGTCAAAAATCGGATCCGGACTCCTCACCGGCAAGCAGTCCGCGTCCAAGAACATAATATTTTGAAACGTCGACGCAATTATCGCAATAAACTTCCACTGATACCTCTCCAGCTTGGGCACCAGCTGCCCAATGCCGACCCACTCATCCTCCAGGTACAGACACGTCGCGCCAAACCTGGGCATGGTATTCTCACACACCCAGTCAATCCAGGCCGTCGACGAGTCCAGCACAATCTCAATCGGCAGCTGCGACCCCGATTGGCGCGTCATCAACACCAACGAAATCGCTTGCCCAAAATTGGGTGCCCCGGCCGTCGTGACGATTCCCGTCGTGTTCTCCTTGTAAGGCAGATGCTTCGCAAACAGGGGAAGTTGCCTCACAAAGTTCTCATGGCTCTCCCTGAAAAGCGCCTCATCCTTTTCACTCAACCTCAACAACTGAGGCCTCTCTTCATCCTTTAAATCCGGAGCCCAGTTCAACAATGGCGCCTCGCCCTTGAACTTGACCGGCCGTGCTTTAACTCTAGTAGCCTGCAGCCGCGTGAAAAACTCAACCCACCAGTCGGGTGAGTGGGCGGGTTGACGACCCGGGATCCGTAGACGCGGGCGTTCGTAGTATAGCTCGTAGAACTCGGCGCGGGAAGAGAAGTAGATGAGGGTCAGGACGAGAGGGAAGGCGAGGAGGAGCAGACGGAATCGGGCTTTGCCGAGGTGGTGGAGGAGCAGGCGGAGCATGTGGAGAGGGAGTGATGTGCGAGAGCGGTGGGAGGGGGGAGGGTAGCCCGTCGGGAGCATAGGTCGTTGCTTCTGTGGTAGAAGTCGGTCGAGTCGCTGCTGGCTATGATGATGGCTTCGTTCTTGCTATGAATGGAGGGTAAATTGTCGGCGCTGTCCTGTGGCAGGCGCGGCTAGGCTAGCTCTCGGAGTAGACGGCAGCTCGGCAGGCAGGAGACGGGGCGGCGGGCAAAGGCAAGGGCAATTGCATGATGGCAGCGCGTGCCGAGTCGCGGACGAGTTGGCAGGTGTGATGGCCGCTGCGATTGAGTGAAGAAGCCGCGTGCTGGTGCCACTGCCGCGCACTGCAGCCAGCAGGAAGGAGGAAGGGGAAAGTGAAACAGTGACGGAAGTCGGAAGTCGGGAAGTTGTTAACGAGAAAGTGTGAGCTCTTGGGAGAATTTGTGGAGCGGCGGGTGAAAGTGAAAGTGAGTGGAAGGTGAAAGTGAGGGTGTGGATCGGTGGAGTGTGGGTGTGGGTTCAGCGGAAGGTCCATTGTGGCCTCCACTGATACGCCCGGCTTTATCGCAATAGGACACGGCCAACGGCGAGCCTTGGGCATTGAACCTCAAATGAACAGTACAATCAACACAATCACTGGTACAAGCAATAATACCCATCCATCCATCAATGATGCCATGTGGATGGCTGGCGTCTTTGCGTCGCTAAGCTCCGCAAACCTCTCCCTCGCACAGTGGCTGTACCTGCAATGTCTTCGCCGATTGGCGCGCCGCCAGTGCCAAGTGTTCCTACGAGTCTTGGTTCTTAACCCTCACCGACCTCCTGCGGCGATGAGCTGGCACTCTTGCTGGCGCTGATTGACCCTTCATTAAAAACCTTGACCCTCTCAAGGTGACCTCTCGAATCTGCCGTTGTTTCCGTTCATTGTTTCTGAATCAGTGGGCCCATGAGTACTCTATTTTTTTCTGGCTGACCAATCGCCGCGTCAAGACTCGACGGCATGAATGAGGGCTCCTTTCGCATCGACTGTTTCTCGTGCTGCCCGTTTCCTTGACCCCCACTGAGCAGGGGTCGAAGCCAGTCGTCAAGTGGGTCCCCTGCAGCACAGGTCCGCCGAAGCTCCCTGCGGCTGTCAGTGCGACCACGCAAACGTTGGGCATCTTCCATGTGAAATTCGAAATGCGTCTGCTGTTAAAAGACAAGCAAATTCAAAACAGCTCTTCTCTGGTGGGATAGGGCTCGAAAATTAAGACAATATCGAACTTCATCTGAGGTAACACAACCAAAATAAATGTTCATTGGGCCAAATTTATCCTATCTGTAAATCTGTTTGGATTGTTTCATTGTGTTTCAATGGCCGCCCTCCACCGGGAATCTGTTCGTCTGTCACGAGTTGCCACGAGACGCCGGTTGCAGAGCTCCAAAAGCTCGCAGCTTGGGAGGGGCGGGCTTCTCATTTGTTGCGATGACAGTCTCCCTGAGTTGTCGTTGAAACACCACCCAGACTTTGACTTTCGAGTGTCACACATTGAGATCTGACATGGAGGTCTCAGACTTGGGTTCAGTTGATAAGAATACATAATGTCTCATCACAACATGACAGGTTACACGACTTGAGCCCCCGAGTATTGCACTTCAGATAGTAATGGTGATATCAGACAAACTGCATGTCGTTGAGCTGGTCCGGGTTCGAGAAAACAAAACCGTACGCTGACCGTTGTCCCAGAGCCTTTTTTTTAAAACTCTTAACAGTTGGCACCTATAAAAATGATAGGAAGTAATACGAATGCTGAGTGTAGACAATGACTGGCTCAAGATTACTCAAGTTGGGAACAAACTTGCCAGAGAAACGTATCTTAAGCCAAATGCAACAGTGAGGTCATATCTGGAGCGAAGATTACATCCATTCATGACCTGCCTAAAACCATGCATCTTACCATGCATCTACGTCTACCCTCTAGAAGCCCACTGCTCTCAACCATCCAGAACCCTTACCCCAAGCATTACCCTGTCGAACTACAAACCATCGCATAACAAAGTATGTGACTCCCTCAAGACTAATGAGACCACTCCAGATCAACCTCCTCCCAAAAGTCCAAAAACCCCTTATAAAATTTGACTCCCAGCCCCGGATCCAAGCTCCCCGTCATCGCCCTAATACTATGCATACTCAACTGCGGAATCCCCACATCTGCCGCCTTGACGCCCATCGCGGCACTCAGCATCGGCCCCACGGTGCCGCCACTCCGCGAATCATTCCTAATCATATGCCTTTGGTTGACGCAGCCAGAGAGTTCCGCTATCCGGTCCAAGATGGCCATGCTCACGCTGTCGGTAGTCATGTGCGCGGAGGCGTCGACGCAGAGGGCTACGCCGACGTTCAACCTAGGTGAATGACCAGGGAGGTTGGTCTGGGTGAAGTTAGGGTGTGCTGCATGCGTCACATCTGACGACACCAAGAACGAGCGAGCATAGGTTTGCCCCAAAATACCCGGGCCGAAGGGGACAGAGTTGGAAGAGCAGAAAGACTCGAGAATGCGCTCAATCGTGATGGGGAGGAAGTTACCCCTTGCACCTTGGCGCAAAAGGGAGCCGATTTCTTCGTCGTCGAAGAGCGCGACGAGCTTGATGACGCCGTCGGTCGGGGCGCGTTTGGCGTGCAGCAGAGCCATGAAAGCGGCCCAAGAGCAGAGCTTGTCGTCAATGCGGCCAGCGAAGATGAACTCCTTGTCGAGGCCGCCTACGGTGGCGGGCTGCGCGTCGAAGAGTTCCAGTTCCCAATTGAGGATTGAGTCAGGGTCGGAGAGCCCGAGCTGGGAGAGGATGAGTTTCACCAGCTTCGGCGGCTGCGTCGACGCAAAAGAACCCGGCTTGCCAACCGGCTTTTCAGACTCTGCTTTCTCCCCCAACAAATCGCTATTATCGATCCCAATCACCGGCACCATCTCCGTCTCCCTATTCCCATGCCCCGTCATGCCAATCCCAAAATGGGGCGCCAGCGTCGGGATCCTTGCCACAGGCCAATCCACCTTCACCAATTTGACGGTCGTCTTCCCCGTCTTGGGATCCTTCACAATCACCCTCCCGCCCACACTCAAATCCCGATCCCACCACGTCTCATTCAGTGCCCCCGCGTATTGCGCCACACCTAGCTGGACATACCCCTCCTTAGTGGGCTTCACACTCGTCGGCTTGAGCCTCGCTGTCAACGCATCAATATGCCCTGCGATCATGGCAATCCCATTCCCCGGCTTGTAAGCCTGCCCGACGGTGAAGGCAATAATTGAGCTGCCGTTGCGCGTGGTGAAATATTTCCCACCCGGAACAAGCTTGCCGGTCCAGGAGTCGCGCGCGGGCAGCTCAACGTAGCCGGCTTTGAGGAGCTTCTGCTTGCAGTAGTCGACGACGTGGAAGACGGTGGGGTTGTGGGTCATGAAGTCGAGGTAAGGCTGTGTGAAGTGCTCGGGGCGGAGGTCCTTGGCCTCGAGGGGAACGGTGGGGGCTTCGTCGATCGTGGGAGGAGCAGCGGTGCGCTGCTGGGGTTGTTCCATGGCGAGCGAGCGCAGAGACAGCTGGGAGCTGCGCATGCGCAGGACGTCGGGCGTGAGACGGGTCATTGCTGCGAATTTCGGGTCAATGCGATAGCTTGGATGTGAGGACGTGCGGAGGGGATCAGTTGAAAGAGTAAAGAGGAGAGACGGGGAAGAGAAGAAAAGGTTGGCGGTGTCGAGTCCGAGCGGCACAGCCGACGACAGGCACGATCACACGTCACCGTCGCTGATAGCTGATAAGCTTAGCTCCCGACACCCTTGCGGCTGGTTATCGCTTATCTTATCCATTGGCCTATCGGAGAGAGAAGTTGGACTGGGCGTTGCTAGGGTGATGTCGGCGCCGACAACCGCCGACGCAAGGGGTACTTGTGGTAGGTGGGGTTGCCGAGGATCTGAGATCGGAGCGGGTTCGGGATCGAGATCCGAATCTCAATTTCAGGGTCTTGGGTTTGTTTGGGATTTTGAAGAAACATCTATGAAAAAGCAGGGAATATTCTTTTTCGACTGTTTCATTGGAAAGATCTGAGTGACTTCTACTCTAACCTTTAATTTATGTCTTATGGTATGCCACTCAGCTAACCAAGAGTTCCGAGTTCTTTTCTGCTGACTTTTCATCCAGGCCCTCACTCCCTCTCCTTGATCTCAAGATCTTTGTCCAGACATACACCCTGCTTTCTCATCATCCCTCCTTACCATCTCAGCCTTCGACTCTACCATCAAACCTTTCGTCTCAACCACCCTAGACTTCACAAAATGTCCTTCCTTCCCTCCCTCAACCCAATCCCCTCCCTCCCCAAATACCCCGGCCCCTACACCGTTGGTACAATCGACGTCGAGTTCCCCCTCTCCCTCCTCCCTCCTGTCACCCCCCACACTCCTCCTGACACCTCCCACATCAAAACTCTCCTCTTCCGCATCTTCTACCCCGCCATCCCGGATCCCCATCCCCAACGTGCTACCTGGCTCTCCCACCCGCAGCGTCAGCACATTGCTGCTTATGGAGGGTTCTTAGGACTAAACAAGGCGCTAAGTGAGGTGTTGAGTTGGGTACCGAGGCATTTGCATTGGACGGTGTTGCCGGCGCATAAGAATGCTACAATGGTTCAGCCACCGCCGGACGGGAAGTGGCCTACGGCCATATTCTCTCATGGGCTGGGAGGGACGAGGAATACATATAGCCATATTGCGGGGTCACTTGCTTCGCATGGTGTGGTAGTTTTCTGTATCGAACATAGGGAGCAAAGTGCCGCCCTTACAACCATTAGGGATCCAGATGAGAAGACGGGAAGTAAGGTCGTGGAGTATAAGCGGCTACCGCATGAGCTGAATAAGGAGGTTTGGGGGGTCAGGGATGCGCAGTTGAGGGTAAGACTATGGGAGGTTGCATTGTTGTATGAGGTGTTGGTTAAGCTTGGGCGGGGGGAGGGGGATGTGGTGGAGGGAAATTTGAACTCCAGCACGCCGAGGGATGTGTTTGCGCAATTTCTGGGCAAACTGAATGTCCTCGACCCCGGGAGGGTGATCTTCGCAGGACACTCATTCGGCGGGTCGACAGTCGTGCAACTTCTCAAGAGCGTCTTCTACGCCGATCATAGCATCCTCAAAGACAAGGTCATCACCGAACGGCTCTTCATCCCCTCCTCAACAGCCTCCATTCGCCAGCAAATCACCCCTCACACACCTACAATCCTCCTCGACATGTGGTGCCTGCCCCTCGTCTCCCCGACAACCCGCTGTCTTTACCATCTCCCCCTTCCCGCATACACCCCCTCCGGCCCCGGCGGCAGCACTATCCTCGCAATCGAATCCGATGCATTTGTCGTCTGGCGCCCGCATCTCCACACCAAAGCCCAGTTGTTCTCTCCCTCGCCCTCACTCTCTCACAAAACCCCCATCACCTTGGAGTCCTTTGGCGACTTCCCCCAGCCGTACTGGTTCTACCCCGTCGGCAGCGCACACATAGCGCAGTCAGACTTTGCCCCGCTTTTTCCAACACTCATAAGGCATGGATTTAAGTGTGAGGCAGATGTGGGAAGGGTGTTGAGGCTGAATGTTAGGGCGATGGTACAGTTTCTGAGGGGGAGGGGGTATAGAGTTACAGGGACGGCGAGGGGGGAATGTGTGGAGGGGTTGGGGAATGTGGCTAGTGAAGGGGACTGGATTGATGATGACGCCGTGATTCTGGAAAGAGGTGATGGGAAGGTCGAGGGCTGGAAGGCAATCGAGGTTGTTGGGCTTGGGGGGGAGAGGGGATTGATTAGGGAGGAGGCGAGGATATAAGCTTCATGAGCTAATAAGGAAAGAGCTTCATAGACTTGACTACTTATTTCAAGAGGATATATAGACATTAGAACTCCGTTCTTCAGACTGAACATACAAAACAAGCTACATAAGAAACTACATTCTTTAAACACAAAAACAGACTGGGTATCATCCTCTAACATCACAACTCCCTAACCCAACACCAATGTCAACCCTCTCTCGACTTTCGCACCTCCCGCAGCTCCCATCAACATACAAAGGAAAGCAGCCAAAAGAATGACTTCATATTTCCTTCCCTTCACTCTCTCCCTCTTCTTAAAAAACCAAAATGATCATCCCTACCGATAAATAGGCAACCCCTCCCCATCGAACTCTACCTCCCCGAACCCCTCCTCCCCTATAGCAGCCTGAACCCCCTTCATCCACAATCGAACCCTCTTCCGAAAATCCACCTGCACAACCTTATCCCCCCTAATCTTCTTATCAAACCTTTTTGCGTAGGCTAACCTCGCTTTCTCAGCCGCCTCTTCCTCTTTCTTTTTTCGCTTTTGTCTCTGTTTCGCGGCTGCGAGTTGCTTGACGCTCAGGCGCGTGTGGGTTGTGTGAGTGAGGGGTCGGCCGGGGTAAAGGAGGAGGCTCGCGCGGCTTCGGACCGCAGGGTTGATGATTGTTGGGTTGACGGCGTTGTATATGGAGGGAGGTCGAATTCTGGGCTGGGAGTGTGCGATATTAAGACTAGTAGCTAGCCGACGAGCTTTCAACATCTTCTTAGAAACCACAACAGGCAGGCCGTTAACGTGGACGATTTGGCCTTGGCCAGATGGGCTGGTGCTGCTCCCGTCCGCGGTCACGACCACCCCTCCCTTAACAATACCGTTTCCAGTCCCAGGTGTGGTGCCAGCCTCCTCGGGCTCAACGTCGCTGGCTGTGAGAAAACCACTCTCTCCATCTACTTCCTTAGGCAAGGTCGGTAATGTCCCCATGCTTGTTGAAGGGGAGAGCCCGACTGTAGGGTACCCCGTAGACGTTGTCACGATGGTAGGCCAAGAAGACTTTGGTGAGTTAGGCCCTGCACCGGGAGCTAGGCTGGGTGTTGGGCTTGGCTTGAGTCCGCCAGACGAGAATGCTTCTGGGGAGGGGGTGCGGGAATGACAGGGTCGGGATCGTGATCGATAAGAGAAAGGGAGCCACTAGTCGCAGGGGAAATGGTGATCTGTATCTGTGGCGGGTTCTGAGCTTGGATGGGGGGTGAGTGCGGGTTGGGGCTGAGCTTGCGTTCATAATCCCATTTTTCTACACCCAAGTCAGCCTTCATTTTTTGTTTAAGGAGAAAAGATGGGGAAAGAGACGTACTGTTTGGTGTCTGCCTCGCCCGCCAGAGGTACTTCCTGTCTTCGCTGACGTACCACTCTGACCAGGGACCGTGTTGTTGTTTGGAGGATTTTGATTTCTTGTATGAGGATGCCTTGGAGGACGACCGCACGGACATGACGACAAGTTTGGTCTTGGACTTCGGCTTGACCTCGTCCTTTGACTTTGTCTTCTCAGGCTTGGACTTGGGTTTGGACGGGGCTGACTTGTCAGAAAATTCGGCGTGCGTTGTGAGCTCAGGCTTGGTGTCCGGCTTCATGAGAGTATCAGCGTCGCCGACCACAGGATTGGCATCAAAAGCCTTAGCCTCAGGAACATCAGCTTTGAGGATGGGAACGGCTTCCGGGCCGGACTCAGCATAGTCGTGCTTATTGTCAACAGTAGCAGCAGCATTCCATGCCATCGTCGAAGTATCAATCCCTTCAGCGCTCTGCTCGACACCCACTCCCCTGTCAACACCATCAACACCCTCAACGCTCACGGTCGCATTCTCCTCAACAACAAATCGCTCCCTAGAAACCCTCCCCTCACTCTTCATGTCATAGGCCTCCTCGACCTTTTCAGTCGCCGTTCCCAGCGGCGGTGTCTTTGGTCTGGCAGGCCTCTGCCCCTTGGAACCAGCTGCCAAACCGTTCGCATTTGCGACTTGGAGTAGTTTCGACTTCGGTGGGCGTGGGGCGGCAGCTAACCATGATAGCCAGGCAAAGTCGCGGCTGGCGGTTGTCGCGACATAATAGCTCTGGGCGTGACTTGGGGGATGGGGTTTGGGGGACATTGCGCACGGGATCAGACTCAGTGCTTAGTATCGATATGTACCTAGGAAAGGACCAGTGGGTGGGGAGTATTCAGGCAAGATTAGGATCAAAAGTCAAGACGTTTTGGTTATTTGCTTGCTTCGGCTGGCGCAGTGGAGAAGAGAAAGATACTACTCCTTGGGCATGTAGCATACGATGGGACTTGGGTTCCGACAGACTGGACAGAGACAGGGTCAGATCAGTTCACTGGACAGCTAGGAAGCGATATGACAGAGAGTTCAAGCGAACTACCGGAAAGGGAGACATGCAGAACTTGCACTTATATGCGAAGTACAGACGCATCACGGCCTGCAGCGTGATGATGTAGGCAGTGGTCATAAGACTTCCGACACACAAAGCAGCAGCACCAGCAGCAGCACGAACCAATCTCGTCCTCACCCGCCATTCTGTGGCAACGGCAAATCTCGATCAAAGCCGACGCCGACGCTGACGACGGGATAAGCCGCACTGTATCTTGTCTGCCTGTTTTCTCACAGCCGCTCAAGGATATCAACCGACAAACCACATCTCGTCTTCATAAAACGTCCCGACATTCCTCATCGGCCTCCAATCCTCCAGGAACCGCGCATGCAAAGCGGGCATAGCTGCCCGATGGTGCCAGCAAACCCACCCACTGCATGCGCGCCAGCGTCCGGAGCCTATCGCTTTTCTTTAGCCCCTCAACAGCGCATCTGACTGGCTAACGGCGCACAGAATGGGGTCTCACATTGGGTCCTCGGCAAGGAGATGGAAGAGCGGACGCGCGATCGGTTCCTATCATCTCTTCCATGTTGTGCTGCGCTGCGGTCCGATGCTTCCGGCAGAGTTTGTGTCTCCTATGGCGGGTGTTGGTGCCGATTTTGGGGTCGGCGAGGGAATTGGGGGAGATAAGTAGCGCGGTATCCGACGCCCTACATTCTATGGGATGGATGGGCTATAGGCTGCCCTACGGATGGAGTGCTACTGCGTTAAGCCAACCTTGTGTAAGTGGGATAGGGTTAGGTATGTGAGGTATGCGGGGTACAGGCCATGATTACGGGCCGGCGGTGGGGGGGGTCCGCTATGTTCTGATCATGATGACCATCGTGGTGCATTTTAGTCAATACCATACTAAAGACAGCAGGTTTAACAATTTATAGAAAACATAATGACTGGTTGAGCTCAAGTAAGAGCGCAGAAAGGCGGTGATGCCCTCTTAAGGGAGGAGTACTTCCAAAGTGTAAGTGAGAACGACAGGAAAAAAGTGGGTCCTACTTAGACAGCACCCACGCCAAGCCGTCCAAGTCTTGGTAACCTCCAGGTCTTGGCAACAGCCGAAGATCTGCCGCCATCGCGTTCGCAAAAGCGACTGCGTGCCTCTGCAGAGCCGGCGACATCGCGAATCATTAACACTTTCATCATCGCCCTTGCCTCACCCTCGCAAACAAATCGATCCATCTCCCACACCGCAGCAAATTCGGTCGATCGCCGTCACGTACAACAAACCATAATCAATCAACTGTCAAAATGACTTCGTCCATCGGCATTCCGATCAAGCTGCTTAACGAGGCCCAGGTATGATTTAACCTGCCGCTCTTTCGACGACGACGACGGCGACGCCAACTCGTACTGACCGACTTTGAAAAAAAAACAGGGCCATATCGTCACCCTGGAGCTGACTACTGGTCAGACCTATCGCGGTAAGCTGATCGAGGGTATGTCCTGACCCATTCCCTTTTTTGACCCCCTTTCACACCCGAGAACTTAACAAGATTACTGACAGAAGGGTTCAACAGCCGAAGACAACATGAATGTCCAGCTCAAGGATATCACTGTGACGGCCCGTGACGGCCGCGTCAGCCACCTGGAACAAATTTACATCCGCGGCTCGCATGTCCGTTTTTTCATCGTCCCTGACATGCTTAGGTAGCTACCTACCCGCCTCTCCGTCTCTACCCGACGCAGTATGATCCTAGGACAGGAGCTGACAGGAGGCTAGGAATGCGCCTATGTTTCGCAGCCGCAACGTTCGTGGCCGTGGTGTCGGCCTTGCCCGCGGTAGGGCCACAGTTAGCCGTGCTCGTGCTAGCGGCCGTGGCCGGTAACGAACCTATACTATGTATGGATGCGATCTGGTTCTGATGGATTCTCTCTGTTGGTAGTTGATGAGCTGGAATGCTTTGGAAAAATACCAAAGAAAACACATCGGAGTCTTTCACCACGGCTCTTCTGTTTGTTCAACCATACGGGTTTGGTTTTGGGGAATCCGTTTTCAAGTAAACGAAAGGCTTGCACAAATGGTTGGTTCAGGGGGCATTGAGACAGTTGGAGATGGTCAGTCCGCTGCAGGATCTCGCAGAGATGAAAAGATTTGAGCGGCTGGTACGTATAGTACGGCTCATTTATGCGATCAAGAGCAGGGCTGACTCGGTTCAAGTCCTTCGGCCGCGTCTATATACCTACTTGATGTCAATCCTCCCAAATATTCCATCAAACGTAAATAATACACGCTTTACAAACCAAACCATTCCATCCCAAAGGAATCACCTCAACCTCTTCAACTCCCTCTCCGCCCGTTCAATAATCTTCTCGATCCCCTCCAACTCCCTCACCTGCCTCTTCTCCTCCGTGTCCTCGTCCTTTGCCTTCTTGAACGCATCCACCAACGTCTTCTCCACAGCCCTTAACGCTTTCCTCCCCTCTTCCCTGACCTCCTCTTCCCAATACTTCCGTGCCGCATCCCACTTCTGCTGCAGCCTTCTCAGAGCCACGATCGCGCCCAGCGCCGCAATAGCTCCACATTCGTACAGTCCTAGGGATCCGCCGGCCCAGAGGTAGGATAGGCCTGCCAAAGCGGAGGTAGCGCCGATAAGGGAGGCGGATTGGATGACGAGAGATTGCGCGAGGGCTTGGAGGGCAGGGACACTTTGGGTCAGGATGTAAGACCGGGTATAGGGTATTTGAAGGGGCCATTTCGATTTGGTTCCAGAGGGGTCGGTCATGCCTGCCGGTAAATCATACTGCACGAGCTTGTTGGTGTGGCCGTTTTTGATTTCTTGGAATCGGCCTGCGAGGTAGATCAGTTCTTTTTCTGCGCGGGGCAGGAAGTGCTTGGATACCAGATCGGACGTGACCATGCCCACGTCGTCGGCATGCCAGAAGAGATTCCACCAGCGCAGTTGGCGCCACTGTTTGCTGGAAAAGGCATTGTCGAGCTGGTCTTGCAGTTCCTGATGCGCTTCACGCGCCCAGGACTGGAAGGGAGCGCGCAAGGCGTCGAGCATCTGTTCACCGATCCAGACGGATTCGTTAATCCAGTCTTTGTCGTGGTTCAGGTTGATGCGGGCGTTGTGGAGGAGAGAGGAGATGAGGTTGTAGACGGCAGGTCTAACGGTCTTGCCCGCAGCAGACTTCGGGGATGTGATGAGGGATTTGAGCCAGTCTGATAGGCGGCTGACGCCGCTTTGGGACCAGAGGGTGTGGTACCGTTTTGCGTTGGCGATGTCAGAGCGGAAGAGGGATAGGCCTTCGGTTGCGGCGTCGACGTTGATGTGTAGAATCGAGTCGGGACGGTCTGGGTCCTTTGCAGCAGGTTTTTGGAAGTTAACCGCCGCCACGACGCCATGCTCCCTCTCATACTTCTCCCCGTCAAATCTGGGCAGCAGCCGCCACGCAAAATCCCTCCCGGTCTTCCCCTCCCCAACAATCACCGCCAAGTGCACCGCAATCCTGTGCGAGCCCCAATAAGCGTCAATCGCCGACATATCTACATTCGGAATCAACAACTTCTCGACCTCATTTGCCGATATCTCAAAGTACGCCCCATCCCCCCCGAAACTCTCCTTACTTCCCGCCATAATAAGCACCTCTAATCCTCCCTGCCCAACAACCTCCTTCCAAACCGGCGATTCCACTTTAATTTTCGGGACCTGCGTCAGCCACCTCCCCATAGTGACTTCTATATCCCTTGGTTTCTCTTCTTCCTGTCTAGGTTGCCCCTCCACATTCAACAGCACTGGCCTACCCTCTTGAACACCCCACCCATCCAACTCCCGTTCCCATTCTGCTTCTGGCGACAATGGATCAGCGAAAAGCGCCTTGACAAGGCGCTTGGCTGTTTCGGAGGGGTTGTGGCCTGTGGATTGGTCGGTCAGGGCGATAATGGCTACGCGGATGTGTTCTTGGCCGAGGGGCTCGGAGAGGTTCTTGTGGGCGAGATCAAGAAGTTCTCGACGGGGGTGGCGGGCATAGCGGTCGAGGGGGATTAGAGCGGTTTTGAGGTCGGCGCGGGGGTCGAAGTTTGTGCCGCTGGTGGTTGACCTTGTCGAGGAAGGGTATCTACTGCTGCTGAGAGGGAGAGAGCGGGGTCCTGGGTGAATCGATTGGGAGACACATGGCCTTCGTGAGCCCGGCTGGCGGTTATTGTACAGCGTGGAAAGCGAGCAGAAGAGACATATTGACTGTCTGGAGCTGGACTGTGCTAATCGTAGCCTAGAAGTCGAAGATGTGAGCTTGACGCAGGAAAACGAGGGGAATGCGCTCCCGAGGCGCACGGCAGGCGGCATGTTAGGCGACTATGCCCGCAGACTTGGCTGGCTCAACGTCCAGCTGCGTCCCGTGCCGCAGGAATAAAAACTAGAGGAGGGGAGGGGGGCAGCAATGTGACAAGACGTCCTCTGAGGACGCTGTCGCAATGTCCTCAGTTGAACTTGAGCTCACCTGCTTGGGTCGCAGTCCGCGGGAGAGCTTTTTGCCGACGCCGAGCCAAGCTCTCCAACGCCAAGCCTGGGTCTTCAATCTGCGGGCGCAGTCCCACTTTTGCAAGGAACTTTTTGGAGACAGAGCCCCCAGTCGCCGTTAGCACTGTGTGGGTATGGGGGAGGTTGGTGGTAACCCCACCGTCGGCCTGGGAAAGTGACGATGGTCGCGCTCACACGCGCTGGTCTGTTCCATCTTGACGCTCTAAGGTTCAACAAAGACCATCAGCCCTCCTAGCCAAGATATCAAGATCCTGTCCCCGTTGCCAATCCATAACCCATCCGTTGCCGATCCATTATCGTTAATACCACACACGCGATCACGTCCCCTAGCCTCTAAAACACCAACCTCGAGTCCCGAACAGCCCCAACCCCCATCCCAATCCACACACTCCATCCCGTCTTTCTCAGAAAGCCACCATGGCCCAATCCCCCGCGCACCGCCGTCTCCTCCAAGAATACCGCGCCCTCCTCAACAACCCCCCAGAGGGTATCACCGCCGGCCCAGTGAACGAAGACGATCTGCTAGTCTGGGAAGCCTGGATCCAGGGGCCCGAGGGCACGCCCTTTGAGGGCGGCGTCTTCCCCGCCGAACTGCGCTTCCCGAAAGATTATCCTCTTGCCCCGCCGACCATGAAGTTTCTGAGCGAGGTTTTTCATCCTAATGGTACCCTCTTTCTCTGTATAAATCTTGTTGGTAAGGAAGGAGACTGACGCTAGGTAGTGTACCCCTCGGGACTAGTCTGCATCTCGATCTTGCACCCTCCCGGCGACGACCCGAATCACTATGAGCATGCATCCGAGCGGTGGTCGCCCATCCAGTCTGTCGAGAAGATTTTGATCTCTGTTATGAGCATGCTGGCTGAGCCGAACGACGAGAGTCCTGCGAATGTGGAGGCGGCCAAGATGTGGCGGGAGAACAGGGCTGAGTATGAGAGGAGGGTGAAGGAGAGCGTGAGGAGGAGCTTGGGCTTATGAACGCGCTTTAAGAGATACTTAATATTTGGTACTGTATTTGGTTTGGGTATGGGCAGTGGTTGGCATGGCATGGAGGTAGGCATGACGTGGATGTGTTTCTTCGAGAATCCCCTTATGTATGGACACTGATGATCGCAGACATCCATATCGTACTATCCTTCGATTACCACTTCAAGCATGAACTCTACCGTCTGCTGGTATCCCTCATATCTCTACCTTCATGACCTCCTCAAACTCACATATTATTCTCCGCCTTAAACTTATCCCACGCCTCATTCAGCGTGCTGAACACCAACCCTGCAATCATCTTCATCTCCGTCGTGGCATTTTGCGGCAGCTGCACACGTTAGCCTCTCTCCCATCCCAAAACTTTCCCAAAAAACCGCAGGGGAACATACCTTATCAGGATGCGTCTTGGCCACAGCCTTCATGTACATCACCTTCACCTTATTCGGCATGACCAGCTCATGCAAGCTAACCTTCTTCCATCCACTCCCCTCCCACAGTACCGTATCCAAGCTGGTGAGTAATGCCCTAAGGTTATCCCTCTTCCCATCCCGCCACGCCGAGATCCTTGCATCCACTTTATCTGTCAGCTGAAACTTCTCGTCGTTCTCTCGTTCCGCGGCCTCGTGCACTGCTCTAGCTAGCTTCAGCGCTTCGGAATCCTTCGGCGGGATCGTAGGTGTCCTCAGGGCGGGCGACGACCTTGCCGGGACACTTGGCCTGAGTTTTGCACTACTTGGCGCAGGCGAGGACCTCGCCGTGACACTCTGCTTCGGTGCCAAAGCCTTAGCACACCTTTGCTTCCCCGTGATAGCAACCTGCCCTCCCACACCCCCCTCCACAGCCCTTTGCCAAACCCTCCCTGCATCCTCCCATCGCTCAATTTGCTCCAATGCCTCCGCCTTGCGAACGAGTGCTTTCCCAAACAACTCACGCATATCCCTTCGCTCAGTCTCCCCCTTCTCATTAATAACCTCCACTGTTTCACCCTTACCCTCATTAGGTCCGATAATTTGCAATGCGGCATCCGCGTCAGATATGGCTTGCCTCGGTTCACCAGTCTTTAGGGAAGTAAGGGCGCGGTTGGTGAGTAACACAATGGTGAGGGGATGGTCAGAGGGGAGGGAGGAGAGGGCCAAGGTGTAGGAGGTATGGGCGGCGGCAAAGTCGCCACGTTTGAAGTGGGATGTGCCTTCGAGACGGTGTTTGGTTGAGGTTTGGAGGGCGGCGGGGGAGACTTGGGGGATTTGGCGAGCTGGGCGGGCCGGAGAAGGGGCTGGTTTGGGTTTCTGAGCAGCAGGGGTCGGGGCGGGGGAGGGATGAGATTGAGGGGTTGGACGAGTAGTCGGAGCTGGAGCTGGAGAAGAGACACCAAAGAGGAGGTCGGGTTCGGGCTCAGCGGAGGGAGAAGGTTTAGGTTTGGGCTCGGGCTGGGGTTGAGGCATCGTCTTCTTCCTACGTGCTGGGCTGACGTAGGCTTGGAAGCTCTCTTCCTCAGCAGCCAGCCTGTTCAGGCGCGAGCGGGAATCCAGGGGCGGCTGAGAAAGGTGCTGCCATCTCGGCGCCTGTCCCGGACGAGGGGGGAGAGCCGGCGACCGCTCGCGCGACGGGACTTCGCTCGGAGCGCGGCTCTCAGGACTGGGACGCTTCGGCTTCGGAGGAGGGCCTCCGGCCTCCAGCATGAGAGCTTCGTCGGTAACCTGGGCCGGCTCATCCCGCATATCACCCGGGAGCCGGTCCGTCGCTGCTGACCGCATCCACTTGGGCTGGCTGGGGTCGCCCTCGTTCTGGAACTCGGCCACGGCCTTCTGGACCTTCTTCTGTCCTTGCTTCCACAAATTGTTGGCTGTCTTGAGAAATTGAGTACCCATGGCTGCAGCCGTCTTGGCCAGATCGCCTTCGATGAAGGAAGCAGGCGACCGGTTGTCTCGGCTGCGTGAGCTATCTCGTGATGACTCCTCCCTTATCCATGATGAAGTGCCATTGCGAGGAGGTCTGGGGGGTAGCTCCTCGGGGAATGAAGGCTGATCGCCTGCCCTGCTTCGTGCCTTGGCCTTATCCTTGGCCTTCCTATGCGCGTCATCGAGCAGCCAGTTGACGGCAACCTGGACGTTGATGCCAGCGCCGCTCTCGGTTAAGCTCCTCCTAGCATCCTCGGCGGAGAATCCATACTCCATGATCTGGGCGACGGCCCGATCAAACGGGTCATCAGATCCAGTAGGCGCACCAGGCCTCTCCGGCTCAGAGTCTGATGACGAATCCTCGATCGGCTTGCCCGGCTGAGGCTGCCGAGAAAAGGCAGGCCTTTCTGCTTCCCTCTTCTTCCGGATCTCTTCTACAGGCTTGGCCAGGTCGCCTAACAAATCATCCTCCTCATCAACAGCAGTAGCCGCCGCCGCCGGGGCGCTTGGCTTCGCCTGGAGCTGACTCAACCCAAACGGATCATCATCATCCAGCAACCCGCCACTCCCATTCCCAGACCCCGGCCCAGACGCAGGCGGCTTCCCCCACGCATTCGGATCTGTAAGATCAAGCGCCGGCGCCTTAGCAGGCGTCGGCTTCTCTGACGTAGTTGGCGGAGGAAAGTAGCTCGAATTATCCACCTTCGTCTCAGCCCTGAACGCAGCAAACAAGTCCTCATCCGACTCACTCGCTGTCTTCTTTTGTGCCCCAACTGCAACTCCAGCCCCACGAGTCGACCCCGTCGACGACGTCAGAGGCGTGGGCACACCAGCCGCCGGCGGCGCCTGCAAAGACGATGCAGACTGACTCCTTGAAGCAAGCGAGTCAAAGAAATGACCCTCTCCAAAAGTCTGCTGCGCGAGCTGGCGCTTCTCCTCCTCTTTCCTGCGCTTTTCTGCCTCCAAAAGCTCCTGCCGCTGTCGCAGGCTTAGATTGGCATTATTCTTGCCGCCGGTGCCAAAGTTCAACAAGTTGCTGAAGCTGTCTTGGGCGGGCTTCGCAGAGGTCGGGACTGGTTTGTTGATGACATTGCCGGATCCTTGGGTTGAGAGAGGCGTGTTGCGGCCGGAGGCGAAGGGTGAGGGGCTAGGGCGGAGAGAGGAGAGGGGGTTTGAAACGGGAGGGTTTAGATTTGCGAACGGGGATGTTGAAGTTGAAGATTGGGAAGGTTTCGGCGGGTTACTGGGCGTTGTCGACCAGCTGAGGCCGGCAAGGTCGTCCATCGTGTGAAGCGGTCAATTTGCGGATGTCGCGTTGTGATTAGGAATTTTTTGTCGGGCTCGAAAGCTGGCAGGATACTCATCGAGATTGCCAGAACCTTGAATGGTTGTCCAATGCTGGTTGGAAACCTGGAGGTGAACAGGTGCTCGTCGTGTCGAATCAAGTTCGAGAGGGGACAGGTCGCGACAACGGTACGCGCACTGTGTCTCCAGGCTGGCGGATGATGACCCCTGAATTGCACAGCCACACAGTTATCAACAAAGTCATATTACAGTGCTATTCTGTGGCTGAACTGTGGCTGAAATTGAACCAGGGACCGTTTCAGATTCAGGGGTTTGGCCCCGCAGTGGCTTCAGCAGATGCCAAGCCTGCATGAAGTTACAGGATCATGCGTCAAAGATTGGTGCCCACACATAGCCTCCGCCGCCAACTCGGTGCCGAGCTCGGTGAGCGCCGAGCAAGCAGAACCGAGATGTGCCGCTGACCGGAGCGGCGAGGCATTTGGATGACAGTCTCAAATATCTGTCCTACGCAGACAGCGATGAGCTAAGCAAGCAGCGGTGGAATGGCAGTTGATGGGTTGGTGGTTGCCTTGCTTTATGGAGAATCCACAGCCTCATTATCAGTATATGTTTCCGTTTATCCAAGTGGACGGAATTAAAGATGTTTCTTGACGGGTAAGCATAAATGACTCTCTATTTAGACTTGTTTAGACTTTCCTGCTCGAGTCATCCGCTATTCGAGAGGTCGAGAGCCAAGAGGCTGGGCGCAGCGGCAACGCGGCGTCTGACGAAACGCAGATGGGCACCGGCTGTCGTCATCATTCCATTGGGCCGCCATTCCTCCCGGATTCCCTCCCGCAATCTCTGCTGTAATAAGAAAAAAAAAAACGCCAAGTCAACGCGAGAAAACATCCAGGGTGTTAATGTTTCAGGCTTTGGGCGTGTTCGATCGCAGGCCACACCGCATCATTGCCGGTTTGCAGTCGGCCCTGGCCGTCTGCTTTCTTCTCTGCTCTGCAGTCTTGCAGCAGCCCCTTGCAGCTCTTCATCTCATGTGCATACCCGCCGCCGTGGCCCATCCTTCACTGATGCTCGTGTAACAGCCATCTATGCCACTGATTTCACTGGCGTTGCCTCTGTTTCTCCCCACAATTTCATCCACTTCTTCTAAGCCAGACAGAAAATCTCCGTCCACCTTCCATGCTGCCGTGGCCCCATTCCCAGACAGAGCGCGGGGGGAGACAGTGAACTGAGTTTGCCCACCACGATCTGCCGTGGCCAGAGAAGCCGTCGAACAGCTAAAAACGACGCTGCCACAAGCAGAGTGAGACGTCTGCGCGACGAAATGAAGTTGTCTGCCCCAACTGTATCACTCGAGCTGGCGACGACGAATGCCCTCTTGGGCCGAACGACGGTTTGCAATGCGGTCGGATGACGGCTTTTGGGCAGTGGGCACGTTACGCACTTATCACGACAGCAAACGTACGCCCTGGTCCATGTGAAATCGTGGATGGTCTCGTCCTTAAATCTGGAGGTCACAATTTTCTGGTAGTTGGTGAGCAAGGATGACAAGATCCTGAGAATCATAATGGGCAGTCGTGACCAAAAAAGGACGGATGACCTCAGGGCTCATTTCTCGGATCGCGGCTTCCCCAGGGCAGCAACCCGCCGCTTCCAGATTCTGACTGTTGCGCTGGGGCGCCGCTTTTTGGCCGATTTTAGTCCCAGGAACGCGCCGCGCGGCATGTGGCAGATTGGTAGATCCCTGGCGCCATCCCTGGTAGTGTCCCCTTAATCCCAGGTTCCACGTCTTGTCCGCCGTAGCTAGTCTAAGCCAGCCAATCAGAGACTGCCGTTGGATGCCAGTGTGCTGCTTCAGGAAAGTGGCCCTGTGTCACCGTGCCGAGAGCCCCTTCCCCTTGGAGCGCTGTGGTGGGGTTAGGTGAGGGTCCTGTGAGTCTGGTAAGTCTGGTGAGCCGTGATGGTGAGATGGTCATCGCTGCCCCTCCTCATCTGCCTCCATCTGCCCTCCCCCCCCCCCTGGGCTGTCGGTAAACCTATGTAACGGTAACGCTCCCGCGGCAGGGCGCGCTGCTGCTTCTAGTGCTGTTGCGTCCCCAAATTTGGGTTTGGGTTATCTTTGGCTCCCGGGCGAAGTCGCAGTCGCCATCGTAAAGTTGCACTCGTTTCATTTCACTCATTTTCCTTCCCTTCACGTCCCCTTTTCTCTCACTAATTCTATCTACAGTCGTTCCCTTCTCTTTGCCCTTTGTTTCTCCAGTCTGCCCGTCGAGCTCCCTTTCAGCCTTGTTACAGTCTTTCCAGTCCTTCACCCTCGCCGCTCTCTTTCATTGAATTGACAAGTGATTTCTGCCCATTTTCTGGGTGGCACGCTCCTTTTCCTTGCGGCGATTATCGCCAACTCGACGGTCTTCAGACACTCTTTCACCTCTTTTCATTGCGCGTTTTTTGCTTCTTCATTCCTTCGGAGCACGCGCCTTTGACGACGCCTCTCCGCTGGTTTTCATCACACTCTTTTTCACTCAATACTTCACCATCCCACAGCGTTGAAAAGCGGGCTACATCGCACACAGCAACAGCAAAAGTCTTGAGATCCGATCCGATACGTGCAGCTTGCAGGAAAGTGATCACTACCTACCTGCCGACTCCAGTCCAGACAGCCTTGTGGACCGCTGGACGACTGTGAAGTGTTATCCTTGGTCAGCTACTGGGGCCTGTGCTTGTTCTTCTGCCATTCCTGACGTCTGCATTGGCTGGCTTCACCGAGCCGATACCAATCTCCGGGTACGTAAGTGTATGAGTGAAATGTGTGAGCATGCAGGCATTGGTGTGCAAGTGCAAGTTCAAGGTTGTGGAAGGTAGAAGAAGGAATGAGGACAGTCTGCAAGAGAGAGAGAAGATTTCACGGTTCACGGCATGCTTCAGGCAGACTCGTTCTGCCTGTTTCTATGCAGCCGCTGTGATTTCATCCCAAACCTGGTCGTCGTCGCCGCCCCACTTTGCCCTCCTTCCTTTCTGTGTCTACCTACTTACTATTGTTTACTCTCCTCGTTTGCAAAACCGAAACTAACCCTGCGAAAGATCTCTTCCTCGCGATCTTGGTTCCCACATTTCTTTCCCCGCTTTTTCTTAAACTTTCAAGCACTCTTTTACTCTCGGTCGTTCAGATCGCAAAATACCAGCATCGTCAACAATACTCACCACACTCATCAATCTGTGATTCGTCCTTCTTTCCTGATTACCATGAAGTTCCTCAAGCCTCTGGCGCTTCTCACCTCGGCGGGTAGCGTCTCCGCGTTCTGGCGCATGGAATGCCGCGGTCGTGTTGGCGTTGGTCGCATCGATCCATTGATCAGCCCCGGCGCTGCGTCTCTCCACTCGCACGCGATCCATGGTTCTTCTGGTAAGCCGATCATTTTTACGAGTTAAAACACTCGCATGCTTATTGATACGCACAGGCTTCAATGAGAAGGCCACCTACGAGGACCTCGTTAACGGCGAGTGCACCTCGTGTGCCGTCGTCCAGGACAAGTCGGCTTACTGGGCTCCCAACCTCTACTTCCGTCATGCCAATGGCACCTACCAGGAGGTCACTCAAGTCGGCGGCATGCTTGCGTAAGTCGCTCATGCTCCATGGGAGCAGCCCCAGTCCATTGGTGCCGCCAGCTGATTGTTGCATAGCTACTACTTCCTCTTCCCTGATGCAAAGAATCCCGAGGCTGGCGTCACTGCTTTTCCAAACAATTTCCGCATGATCGCCGGTGATGCTACTCGACGTAACTACTCAGTTGGCGGCATGGGGCCCTATGAGGCTGACCCCGAGAAGTCGCTCTGGAAGGCTCTTGGTCAGACCAACCAGCATGATCTCGCTCAACGTGCCATTGGTTTCAACTGTCTCAACTACGCGAAGGCTCCCGAGGGCACTCTATACCGTCACTATCTTCCTCCTAAGGCTTATCTGGATGAGCACTGCGCTGATGGCGTTCGATTTGAGCTCATGTTCCCCTCATGCTGGAATGGCAAGGACATTACCTCTGCCAACTTCAAGGATCACGTTGCCTACCCCGACCTGGTCATGACCGGAACCTGCCCCGATGGTTTCGATGTCAAGCTTCCTGGCCTGATGTACGAGACTATCTGGGCTACCAATGAGTTTGTTGGTGTTCCCGGCGAGTTTGTTATTTCTCACGGTGACGTCCAGGGTATGTTCGATTCCCAACATTTTTTGGCTTAAATCTTGCTAATTGTTCAGGCTTCGGTTATCATGGCGACTTCATCAGCGGCTGGGATGAGAACTTCCTCCAGGCGGCCGTCAACCAGTGCACCAATCTGAGCGGCAAGCTGTCCGACTGCCCAATCTTCACCCTGCAGAGCGAGGACGAGCAGCGCGCTTGCAAGATGAAGATCCCCGAGATTGTCAAGAACGAGAAGGTTACTGGTCTAATTGGCGAGTCTCTTCCCGGCAATATCGTCATCCAGTACGGCCCTGAGCCCGCCACAGCCGCTCGTCCCACCAATACCGAGCCGAACTACGTGCCAGTCCCGACTGCCAGCTACTCCGCTGGAGTTACTGCCTCTGCAGAGTCTGACATTCTGCCGGGCGGCGTGTTCAAGGAGAGACCTACCAGCACTGTCGAGGCCACTTTCAGCGTTGAGCCCACCACCACCAGCGCCAACATTGGTGCCCTTGCTGAGCCATCTCCCGAGCCTACTCCTGCACCCATCCCGTCGGATCCCCCGATTCCCGAGGGATACTCGCTCGTCCGCACCGACTACATCACCAACGGCAACACTGTCAGCAAGATTGTCGTTATCGAGACGGTCGAGTACGTCATGCTGGCCACCGAGACAGTCACCGTCACCGCCACTGCTACTCCTGGAAGCGAGAAGGTTCGTCGCGAGCATATTCACATGCATCGTCATCATCACGCCCGCCATTAGGCGGTTGTGACTGGTGTCAGCAGCATCCCTCGTACGGGGTTTTGTCTTCTTGCACATATGGCATATGCTCCTGGTCACATTTTCCCTCTATTTCTCTTTTCGGTTTGGGTTTGACGACATCGCTCTGGGGCGTACGATATGGGTGTGGATAACTGAAGTCCTGATTGAATGAAGGGTGGAGGGGCGGAGTCTTTGGGATGATGTTTATGGCACGTCGGGTTTGAACAAATGAATATGCCGGCCCAGCGGGTTGGCTCTGGTACACCGCGTGAACCGGGACGACCTCATTTCTTTTATGATCATTGCTCAAAACTGCATCGGTGATGCTTGCGTTGCTTTGCGCCCAGGTGTTACGGTGTTCTGCGGGTCAGTTGCTACGGAAGATACCAATTCTCTACGCCTGATCCTAAATTTGGATTTACAGTGTGACGTGTTGCATACTTGTGCCCAATGAGAAGGAGTGATTTTGTGTTGTCTCCAAGTTGTAGATGGACTCAGATACCCCAGTAGTGACATGCCAGCCCAAATTTTCATCTGTCCATATCGTCCAGACCGCATTCCAGACTCTGTTTGGCAGCAACATTGTGCTCCGATTACAGTATCTGAAACCCACCAATCCCATTTCCCATACATTTATAGGTATGTTGCCTTTACGTAAATAATTGTTTAGCTGACTCCGGAGAGTTGGCATAGTGTTGCCCGCTGCGACTCATTTCAGCGTCAGCGAACACATTGCCCAGCTACCCGTAAGATACACCCAAAGCATGTCGCTAAGGCCCAGACAAGAAACTTACTTAGCTAATCTTTGTTGTGTTTTTTGGTTTAGTTTTCGGTATGATATCTTGTCTACTTCTCGTGTTTGACTAGATTTTCTTCCTTTTCTTGTGACGTTAAGGTCGGAGCTGCTGTCAACACCACACTCAGGTTTCATAAATGGTGTACATGATTTGCCTGTTTTTGTCTTTTGTTGTCTCTCTACCCTCTGTTGTTTATTACAGATCACAGAATCCGAGTTTAACAGTGGATGACTCACTTCAAGTAATAAGAGCAACTTCGCGTATCATCCAAGACATCACCGAGCTGACTGGAACCATATACGGTAACCACGTCAACATAATCCAGCTTACCACAACTTTTGATCAACAAGTCCACTTACCAAAAGACTAGAGGATGTCTTGACAAAAATGTCTGCCTTTCGGCCTCAACCCCAACCATACTTTCCCTTCTCCTACCCCAAACAGTCGTCTCTCTCATCATAGGCATTGCCTTCGCCCCTGGCCTTGCTATTACATGCCTTGTCCTCTTACATAGCCGTTCACGTCGGCGGCATCGTGAAAAGACTCCAAGACTGGCGCGGCTTGCTGCTGCCGCTCTGGGGGGAGAGGAAGATGGGAGTAAGGCTTTGATTTGCCATGGACAGTACGATAACGAGATTGGGCATGGGGGAGTCGTGGAGTATTGCAGTCAGAGTCAGATAGTATTTAGTTTTAATGGGGATAGCGAGGAAGATGAGAAGGCTGAGGAGGGTACCTCGGAAGATAATATTGCTGGTTGGTAATGGATAGGAGAAGAGCGGAAAGCACCAGGGGAAGGTCTCGGCGCAGATTGGGCTGACGTCTGCCGAGAAAAAGGGTGTATCGCAAGTCAGGGTTGTTGAGCAGGAACAGCAGGTGGCTAGGGACCAAAAGCAGGATACGGAGCAAATCACTTCTACTTTGACCAAGCATGCTAGCAATTCCGGTCGTCCAGAAGGTGATCGAGCTCAACCGCGCTAGCTTCACTACCAACGCATCCTTGTTTACCACACGCAGCCTCGTCTCCTCGTCAACGCCCACTGCTTCTGACCTATCGCTGTCCCTCTCCCTGACGCCGCTCAAGCTCCCTTGTCTTACCATCAGGAGCTGCGCTCCTGCCAGCACCAGTCTCTCCTCGTGATGGAACTGCTAGCGCAGCAGCCCCAGATATTGAGCTACACGAAGGTCAGAAGCAGACTCCAGCCTTTGACCACAGCAGCAAGCCCACACCAGCCGTCACAGTTCAGTACGTGGACGGTGAAGACACCGAAACAGGCGACGAAAACCTCCTCGCCGTCAACTCAGCTATTTCCTCTCTCCGGTACATGAACAGCGCTGTTAGCAGGAACTCCTCTTTACTATTTATTCCAGGCAGGAATGCCACGCCCACTCTCAGTGGGGTTGCCGATACCATTGGGAAGGATACCGCAGAGGAGGACAAACGACAGCACAGCTAGGTCGGCGCAAAGAACTATTTGCCGCAAGTGAGAGATTGCTGTCGAGTTATAAGAGGGGGAGTATCCGCGTTGTTGGAGGGAGTGCAGCTAGTGCAGCTATGGTCGAGGATGGTGCTTATAGTATTGCAATGAGTCCTGTTAAGAGTATGGCTGTTAGTGTGCGGAGCACGCAGCCACAGCACGGTCATGGTGATCAGAAGAAGCAAAGTTTTGTTATGGAATTCGAGGACTGATGCGGGAGCAGTTGAGGATGGAGGTGATTATGCGAAGGAGAATGACCATTCCCTTGCTTTATCCAAGCCTAGAGTCACTAAGAATTTAACTGACGACGATGGGAGGGAGGACAATGCCAACAAGAACAGAGGGGCCTTGACCTCAGGGAGGGGCAGCCAGCGGCAGCTTGAACGTCCTGTTCTTGACCTTACCGTGACCAGCTGACCGGCATCTAAGGACGCGCCATCGTCAAGCTGCCGGATACTCCATTGTTGGCGAGTATGAGAAGTGTAGACAGTTCGGGGCTATATACTAACCAAAGTTTTATCACGCTGCCGCCTGGGAGAGGGGAGCCCTGCGCTGAGGAGTTGAGCCGGTGTTGTCATTCTTTTCGGTGGGTTTCTCCTATTTTTCTTTTATTGTCGGCTTTACAGGTTCCACTTTCGCCCCTTTATCTTCGAGGTTTCCGTCCTCGGGACTTTGGCGTTGAAGTTGATGTTAAGGTGATATAAGACCTGACCAGACTTGAAAAGGTTAGCCCTGAAGTGATCCAAGTCACACAAACCATGGCGTATTTTATGTAATTTACTAAGTTATGCACTTGATTGACATTAGCGATGCATACAACCAGCTGATTGCGACCGACTGGTGTAGTGGTTATCACGTCTCGTTCACAGTAAGTGGATATGAAGGCTTCTGCCTCCGAGAAGGTGCCAGGTTCGATCCCTGGGTCGGTCATTTTTTACTGTTGTCAGGTTCCACAACCTGCTTGCAGACTCCAGGCACCAGCGGAGATGCCCCTGAAACTTAAGCCTGTTCATCCCAACTTCTCACTTTCAAGACCCTTGAGTTCATCCCTCTTCCAACTCACCTTTGACCTCCCAGCGTCCAATTTGCAGTTTTCTCAAATAACTTACCATACTTGGTACCATCGATTTTTTTGTCATTTTGTTGTCGGTTTAAAGAGAAACCGAGCGCCATGCCTCCGGTGCCCAATCCCCTCCCCCGCCTTATCGTTTACTACCAAACCCACCACACGCCCTCAGGCCAACACATCTCCGTCCTCCCACTCACCCAGAAAGAAATCAGCCTAACTCACCTCATCGTAGCCGCCATTCACATTAATGAAGACCCCAATGCCCTCACTCTCAACGACCATCCCCCCGACCACCCCCGCTTCACCACCCTCTGGGCCGAACTGCGTGTCCTCCAAGCCTGCGGCATCAAAGTCCTCGGCATGCTGGGAGGTGCTGCCAAGGGCAGCTACATGCGGCTGGATGGCGATGCCGAAACATTCGAGCGGTACTACGCGCCGCTAGCACAGCTAGTGCGCGAGCGGGGGCTGGATGGGCTGGACCTGGACGTGGAGGAGGAGATGAGCCTGCGGGGGATTATCCGGCTGATTGACAGGCTGCGGAAAGACTTTGGACCGGAGTTTATCATCACGCTTGCACCGGTCGCAACGGCCATGACCACAGATTTGAAGAAGTACAATTTGAGCGGGTTTGACTACTGGGAGTTGGAGAGGGAGAGGGGGAAAGATATTGCGTGGTATAATGTGCAGTTTTATTGTGGGTGGGGGCATCCGAGTATGTATAGTCGGATGGCGAGGAGAAGAGAGAGGGAGTTTGAGTCACTGGCTGATATAGACAAGTGGCCAGCTAGGAAGCTGGTCGTTGGGCTGGTGACAAATCCAGGGAATGGGAATGGGTTTGTTGAATGGCAGGAGTTGGGCTCTTTGCTGGTTGGGTTGGCGGCAAGTCATGAGAGCTTTGGAGGGGTTATGGGCTGGGAGTACTTTAACAGTATGCCTGGCGGGGAGTCTGAGCCATGGAGATGGGCGCAGATGATGACAGCGTTGTTGCGGGGATGGACAATTGAGCCCCTCCCCGAGGGGCAGCAGCAGGCGGCGCAGCAGAAGGCCGCGTTAAATGACGGAGAAGCCGCCATTTTTCACACCGATGCTTATGCAGAGGAAGACGGGCATAACAGCGTGGCTGCACCTGTGCCTGGGGAGTTTGAGTACTATTCTGATTGGGCAGAAGGAGCCTAGGTCGCTTGGTGTATGTCGATACGTATCCAAACTTGCCTGATTTTACTGGTCACACTACGCTGCAATGACGTGACCTATTCGTCGACTCCTCCACAGGGTAGACAGTTGCTCACTTTCAGAGGTTCGACGAACAGAGCCTCAAATATTTATGCCAACAACGGAATACCCGAACGGAAACGAATCTGAACTGCTTCCAAACTCTACTGAACCAGGACTCTTTACTTATAATTCGCAAAAAGTCACTGTCGCCTCCTGTGACCTGTTGCTCATAATGCTTGTCCATTCTGTGATCGATAACCTCGAGGGGCCGAATGTTCATGGGATACTACGAAAGACACGAGCTTTTCTTCCTCCAGATGACGACCTAAGTCCTCATCAGCAGGACCAGTTACGAAAACACGGATGCGACCTTTGTTCCTTGTTATGGACTACAGCGCTGCGCATGACCCGGAGTCCTTCCCAGGCGTTGACAAAATGTATGTTAGGTTAGAAGACAAAGATCTGGACTTGGAAGGACCACAGATGCTGCGGTTAATTGCAACGAAGCTATATAGTGCATATATGCGCGAATACAGTTCGCGGGCAATCTTGGAATTCTCCCAGCGCCCTTGAACAGGATTAAGTTAGCCAGCATTGTGGCAAAATCCCCCGATTCTCCTGAATGCATCGAGCAAATCATGCGCTGGATTGACGTATGTAAGACGACACATGGTGAGTGTAAACACGAGCAGGAGCAGGCTCCTCTTCCGACCAGGGTCATTGACTTGAACCCCACACCTAGTGGGCTTCACCCGTTCCTTTATAAAACTCATGGCACATCAGGACGATACTTACCTTGAGTTATATATGGGTTGGTTTTTATGCCGCTCGTACTTACGACGGCCACGTTAGATCAGTTTTGAAAAGGCATTCCTTGGGACGAGATTCGAAAAACGGTTCAAGACGCCATGACAGTTACCCACCTGTTTGGGATAAGATACACCTGGGTAGATGTTCTTACTATCATCCAAGATTACCCAGATAACTGGCAGGCTGAGAGTGAAGGGATGGCTGCAGTTTATGGGAACGCATACATCATGTTTGCTGCAATGAATACTACGGATTATCAACAGGGTTTTCTCACGCGGACGCCGACAACTCGTCACTACATCCGCGTGTGGCCAAGTACATTCTGATGAGGAAGACAAAGTTGAAATTGTGGACCCAGAACGGTTTTGTTCCGGTTATCTTTATGCTCAAAAGTATCCAAGACGCAGTACTTACGTCCTGGAAACTCGTGATTGGACATCTCAAAAAGCAATCCTTTCCTACCGTGTGATCCAGTTTACTTGAGACGAAATCTTCCACTCATGTGCTCATGGATTGACCTGTGAGTCCCTGTTCAAAGCATCAAGAGATGCTGATTCATTGCCGAGGCTCGTGCATCAAACGAACGACAAATAGTCTGAAGCGGAGCTCCGTAGTTTCCTCTACAGTTTCTGAACAGATATAGTCAGAAGGTACTCACGTCGCAAGCTGATTTGGCTCCGATAAGATAGCGGCAATTGCCGGAATCGTGGAGGCACTTGGGTCATTTCCCAACAACACGCGCATATTGCGAAAATATTACCAAGGAATTTTCGAAAACCTCATTCCAGTATTGCTCATGTGGCACTCAAAGAAGGATCGCGAAGTACAAGAGGACATTGCACAAGGGATACGATTCTTCCGATTACGAATACAAGTTCCGGCTTGGTCATGGGTCTCTATCGAGGATCCGGTGGACTGAATTGTGAAGTCAAAAGAGATTCATCCACCTTCGTTGAAGCAAATCTGTTGAAGGTGAACGGGTGCCAGCTCGTTCTGGAAGGGAGAATGTTGAGCGGAACTTTGCAGTACAATAGCTACTTTCTTCCAAAGCGAATAGAAGCCTATCCCGGAAAGCTTAGAGTTCATGAACAAACGTCCTTACAGGAGTTTGGACCGATGTCGTGGACAGGAGGGCTAAGGGTTGGGGCTTGCCCGAGGATTTAGTCAAGACACTCGAGCTGGTGAAGTGCTTTTGCTTGGTGAAATAGGGCCTGTCGTCACTCGGTGAAACAGATCCAGTCTGGACGAGAGACCGATTTATAGTATTGGTGCTGATCGAGGTAGATGGGCGGCCCGGTGTGTATGAACAAATTGGGATCAGCGATCGATTCAAGGCTGATTAGTTCTCGAAACAAGAGCGGATATCTATTACAATATTATAAAAACTATGGAAAGTAACTAGCTAGTTGAGATAGCGCAAAATTTGAAGACTTCTATCATACGTAGGTAGCAGCATGATGATATGCGTAGGGGATTTGTCACAACAGTGTCTAGGTAGAAGACTCCTGATAACCCGCAAAGCGAGGGACGCATCGGCTAATTGAGTTAGTCCACAGAGGAAGCCCACCCCCCAGAATACTTATTTCTACCAATGAAGAGACTTCAGCTGATGGTTGCATTCTTATAAAACAAGTTACTTCTCCTATCCCCTGAATTACCACTAGCGAATCCCATGAATAACCTCGTCTGGCCCGCCGCCGTCCTATACACTGCCAGCCCCTCCGGCTCACGAAACTTAAGCGTCGACCCAGCCTTCGTCAGTGTCGGCCCCTGAACCACCTTGCCAGTATTCATATCGACCGTTACAAGCTCCGAGTTAAGCTCCCCCTTCGGTGCGGCCTCATACGAGTCCCCATACAGCAAATACAAGTACCGTCCGTAGGGCGCATACCCCTGGAAAGTAGACGACTTCGTCTTAAGCCCCTTAGGGTGAGCAAACGAGGCCAATGGCTTAGAGAAATTCCCTTTTGTCGCGGCCCCGAGGTCGTACAGCGCGAAGTGCTTTGCGCCGGACTTGTGGTAACGCACGAGCAGCCGTGAGTTGATGGGGTCGATGGCAGCGGTGTACTCCGTTGCGCCGGAAATAGGGGCGAACTTGGTAAGGGAGGAGGAGGTCTTGGAGAGGGTGGTGCCTGAGGAGAATTTGAACCGCGCCAACTTGGTCCCGTAGCCGTTGGAGTTGGCGTCGACTTCGGTCCAGAGGTATGTGGTGCTGCCGACGGGCTGGGCGGCGATGGAGACGCCGTGGCCGAAGCCTTTTAGGTACATGTGGCCTTTAATGTTGCCGTTGAAGTCGAGCTGGGTGATGGTTAAATCTCCTGAGGTGGTAGAGGCGCCGTTGCGGCGTTGGGCGACGAAGAGCCGGCGGTTGGTGTTGTCAAAGGTGAAGCTTTGCTGGACAGTGGCATCTTTCAACTTTTTATTGCGGAAGAGATCGAATGAAGGTTTTGTTAGATCAAAGCGCTTTGAGCTGGGGACTGCAGCTGACACTAAGGCGGCCGGAATGGCCAAGAGAACTATAAAAAAGTGTAGGAGCTGCATGTTTGATTGCGAGTAAAGGGATGAGGAGGATTGGGTGGGAGACTTGGAGATGAGTGAACATGGACCATGAGGTAGGTTTGAGGCTATATTTATTAGATCTGGGAAGTTGATACTAGATTACCTAGAAAGTGCTACATTCCATTGAGAGGACAGTTTATAGGTTGTGGTTCCATCCCACAGTAAGCCAGGGGCAGGACAGGAGTAAGACGTCTACGAAGTTGCTCCGTCTTTGGTTCAGCTGTTCACGAATCGAACCTGGGATATGAAATATGGAAACATTCCTGGAAACTCAATGAAGTCATGTTAAAAAGGAAACATGCTGACATACAGTATCAGAAGGTTTGACATTTAGAGTGTTGACCTTTGATCCGACCGCGAGTTTTGGTCCATGAGAGTTTGAAAGTTGTTGATGGAACAGCAGATGTCAGCACCGAGCCCCTGAAACTACTATGCATCACATCCTGATGTCCAAAGCAGCACCGCCACATATCATCTTAGCACCACAACACCACGTGCTACGCCACACCTACGCCACAACCCATTAAAATAAACGCCCTGGGGAACGCGTTACGCGCACGGACCAGGCGCGAGAGGCGCGACCTTGACGCGCTTCGGATCTCAATCGGTTCTGCCTGTACGCCAACCAGACTGCCTCCACTCTCCAGGGACCACAAAGTCAATTCCACGTCTTAACCTACCAATTCAGCTTGTTTCCTTGACAACGGCCATCAACCTTCTTTTTCCACGCTCACAACACCCATTCCTCTCTTTCACCTTTCCTTTCCAGAAAGCCCTGTCGAAGTTCACCCATATACTGTGACTCTATTACATCGAGTGGGGTTGCTTCACGATGCCGACTGACTCCCAGAGCCGGGACTCCAGTCGGAAGAGGTCCCATGGTGACTTTCTAAATGAGGATACTTCTAAGTCATCGCCAGTCAAAGCCGATGCTTCTCTGAGCAACAGTACGGCATAGGCCTGCCCGATCACGTTGTTGACCTGATTCTAACTAGCCATGTGATCTGTCAACAGAAGAGAACCAAAACCCTGAATCTGCTACCCCTCGTCGGAAGCCTGAGAATTTCGACTCTGGCCTCACTAATCCTCTCGAAGATTTGTCCTCACCAGAGTGGAAGGATGAACCGATGCCTGACTGCCCTTCGTCACGGGCTTCCAGTCCCCTTTCTCCCCCACCAGCGACACCCAGCCCTCTAAGGCCAACGTCAAGTTCATTAAAGCCCACGAGCGGCCCAAACGATGGTTCAGGGGAGCCCCCCAAGAAGAAGAAGCGGCTAACCGCGGCAGAGAAGGCCGCAAAAGCGCAGGCCATTGAAGAGGAGAAGCGCAAGCGCCAGGAGGAGCGCGAGCGCAAGCGCCAAGAAAAGGAAGAGGCGGAGAAGAAGAAGGCTGCGGAAAAGGCCGCTCGTGCTGCAGAGAAAGCGGAGCGCGAACAAGAGAAGAAGCAGAAACAGGAGGAGCGCGAGAGGAAAAAGCGTGAAAAGGAAGAAGAGGAGGCCAAAAAGGCTCGAAGTCAGCTCAAACTCACGAGCATGTTCACCAAGACAACTGTTCCGAAGCCTCAATCCGCCGACAACAAGATGGCCAAGGAGGGTGCGGACGCACCGAAAAAGGAGAAAACCTTCTATGAGCAGATGTTCAAGCCGTTCTTCATAAAGGAGAACGTGCGAATGGCACCGAATTACCACGAAATTGATGAGGAGACCAGAGAGGCCAAGGCTAAGGCCCTTGATGAGTACCTACTCAATGGTCGCCAGGAGCCCCTTGAGAAACTCGATCTTTGCAAGACCCTCGGCATTACCACCAAGCGTCCCCGCGGCCGCGTGTATCCGAGCGTCCGAAAGATTATGACCGAGTTCAACCAATTGACCTCTGGCAGTATCCCCAACCTCTCGGCTGAGCGTCAGAACGAGAAACTTAGGAAGACTCTCGAGATTCTGAAGACCGTGCCGGTGAAGTCTATCAAATTTAAGGAAGACGTTCGACCGCCGTATATCGGTACTATCAGTGGTCTGCCGCCCGGCGGCCAGAGCCTGCGCAAGCTTGCCCGTCGGCCCAACTCGCGCAACGTCCTGACTCTCAACTACGATTACGACTCGGAGGCTGAGTGGCAGGATGAAGAAGGCGAGGATATTGAGGATCTGGATGATGAAGAGGAGGATATCGATATGGACGACGACATGGCCGACTTCCTTGACGATTCAGAGGATGTTGGTCCTCAGCGCAAGGTGCTGGATGCCGACATGGAGCCCCAGGCCATCGGCCCTTGTTTCGAGGATGTCAGTGGCCGCAACCCTAATCCAGAGCTGCATCAGTATGCTCTCGAAGTCCTCATCAGTAAGCCGCCTTGCTCTCTCCTTCAACTTATCAATATGCTAACAGACTCAGACATTCCCGAGGGCCACAGCATTGACCCCTGGTCGACCGCATACTGGGACTCGCCCAAGTCCAAGACGAAGGAAACTGCCTCCGAGGCGTCCACTTCCGCCGCAAGTACTTCTAACAGTGCCGCGGGCGCTTCTTCCTCCGCCAGTGCCGCGCAGTCCTCTGGTCCTGGTAGAAAGAAGGCCCAGCCTCTGTCTGCCGAGATGGAGGAGAAACTCAAGGACCTGGTCCGGAGCAACCCGGCTCTTAGCAAGCTGGGTATTGTCGAGGTGTTTGCTTCACAGAATCCGTCGTGCTCGCGTGCCCAGATTAAGGCGTCGTTCGATCTTCTATTCGAGAAGTCTGGTAAGGGCTTCAAAGTCAAGGGCGAGTAGGCGGTTTGTCCAGCTCCTTCCCATCATACCGAGATATGAACGTGATGCCTTCCTAGGGTCCATTTCTGTCTCTACTATGGGAAGCATCGAATCTTATGACCACATTGTACTCGTTTCCATTCATTTTCCCTTTCTTGTCCTAACTATACGAGGATAGAGCTTGCATGTGTCTCGGATATGGGTACACATCATTAACCACGCGCAAATCTTTTGTCAAACTTGCGTGTTGCAGTTTCTATCATGGTACATGAGGGAGGTCGGGGTGTGTGGCGTTGGCATGGCGCTACCCGGAGCATTTAGGATCTGGTTCTTGATGGCACCTTGTGCTAATTGCAGTTGAGAGGGCCGCTGTAGACAGGACCTTTTAAGTTCACACTACTCCTCCTTATACTTGTCGGTCCGTGGGATTATGGGTTTGTGGGCGTTATCTGTCTATAATTGCTAGCTAGATGGCTGTGCGGAACAAGACTTCGTGGGCATCTAGATGTCCTAGTTTTGATGGCGGCTGCCTTTGTACTTCATGCTGTCTTAAGTTTTGTGCCTCAAATATAGGATACTATTGGTCTAGTGAGCCATGTTGTTAATGGCATCGTCCTCGTGATCTACCGAAAATGAAAGACAAGCCATGATCATTCCCTAACCCAATAATAGAACATCAAACGTAGAGTTCGCCCCCAGATCATCATGGGTATCAAGTAATAGCAATCAAGTCATTGACATTCCTAGCTTTTCCCAACGCCTTCCAGCCCAGCTTACGCTAAAGATGGCTCAATCCAACCCAAAATCTAAACAAGTAACGCTCAAACACTCATGCAAACAAAAGCCCCTAGAAGAGCTTAGTCGGGATGAAGTTCTTCGAATCCTCCCTTTGCTCCGAAGCCGACTGCTTGAAGGCCGCGAGACCGGCGAGGATACCGCCAACCATGAACCCTAGCGAGATGATGGACCAGATAACGCCCCAGCACTGGGACGAGCCACCATAGCGCTTGGCAAAGACGCTCGCATCGGAGGAATTGACTTTGCGAAGGATAAGGTCGTCACACTGAGACGTCCGTCAGTACGCCAATAACATCCCCGACGAAGGGAGCCAGGGGAAACTCACGATATCCCAAACACTATACAACGACGACATGACTCCAATAAACAGCACCACATACCTCAGCGCCTCGGCATGCGCAATAAACCAGCATCCAACCAACAGACCCACCGCGGCCAGCACCGTCCCAATAGTCAACCAATCCCTCCTCCCCCACCAAATCGTCAGAAGGAAACATACACCAATCACGATGCTTGCAATCTTGCTCGCTACGATGTTGAATCCCGCGAAGGTGAGTAGTGCACCGATGAGGGAGGATCCCAGATAGCCTGCCGGGAGGGTGAATGCTTGGCGGCCGCCTTCCATACGAGTTACGCCGCCTTCGCGCGGGTCGAGGGAGATGGAAAGGACGCGGCCGCCGGTGAGGACGCAGGTTATGGCGTGGCCGAATTCGTGGAAGGCGATGACTAGCATCTGGATTACACAGTCAACTATGTGTCCGCTAGGGAGGTTGCGGTTGAAGGTAAGAGGGGGCGTACCTTGAAAGGCCATAGAACCCAACGCACATAGGGCAGATTCCACAGCAATGCGATGCCTACGACATAAGCGGCGATGATGCCGAGAGTAACTTTCTGGGTATGCGTGGGGTTGAGATCGCGACGGGAGAGTGCGACGGCAGTGGCTGTTGAGCCAGCTGCTGTGGCCGCGGCGCGGGCAACGGTCAGCAGGCTTGGGGGTTTCCCTCCTGCGAGGGTCGTTGTGATTATCGTTGGGGCCATGATGGATGTGTTTTAATCACTGAGGTTGGAGTGATGATGGAGGCTTGGTGAAGTTAAAGTGAGATTCAGTTCTGAAATGATGTTCTAAAACGGGAAGCTTGTGAAACGGCAAGCACGCGGGAGATGTGGTTCCTGGGAAACTAACTTCCAAGCAAAACTCTTACAAGGCTACAACGAACACAAAGTTGTTTTCTCTGAATTCTCAAAAGAAATCATGGTAAGAAGAATCTACAACACCGGCAGCGGCACGCTTTTGTGTACGTTCCACCAACCATCTAATCATCTTACGCGTCCCGCATCATAGTTGGCTCCGGAACCAAGGCTGAAGCCTCGTAACACCAGGCTTTGGTTGGATCCTGGCCTGTGGCGCTCTCCAGCGTGGCAGTGACAGCACCAACGAGCGTGCGGTTGGGCAGTGTCCCGTCTCAGGGTGGGGCTATATTTGGCCTCTCTCAATCCCTGTGGGAGTATCGGATTCCAGTTCCTAGCCCCTCCCTCACTGCCCCACTTGTCCCTGGGCCTGGCCTCGGCATTTCCCCCTGGCTGGGTGCAAAGACATTGTGTGGACGCTGTCCGTCTCATCCCTCAAGTTAGAATTTTTGTCTTCAGCGGGGATCATCCCTAACTGCTTTTTTAAAAAAATTCAGGACTACCCAGCAGGCAGTTGCGTCATCACCGGACCTTCAAACCCACAACCCACAACCCACGATGCCCCTCTCCAACGCCCGCCTCCGCATTGCCCGACCCACAAACAATATCCTCTCCCTAATCCCATTCTACGTCGACGGCCTCGGTTTCACCATCCTAGGCTCCTTCACCAACCACTCCGGCTTCGACGGGCTAATCCTGGGCAACTCCAACACAGCCTACGAAATTGAGTTCACCACGCAGCACGGACACGATGCGGGACGGGCTCCGACTCAGGATAACTTGTTAGTGTTCTATCTGCCCCATGAGGAGGAGTACAAAGCCGCAGTGGAGAGGATGAAGAAGTGTGGGTTCGAGCCGGTAGAGAGTCCGAATCCGTATTGGAACCGGAACGGGACGTCGTTCGAGGATCCGGATGGGTATAGGGTTGTGCTGGCGAATATGATGAATCCGTTTTTGGGTGGAAGGTGAGATTTCCTGAGGAGTAGTCTCTGGACTCGGAGTGGGTGGCGCACTGTATGAGTTCAAAGTCCCTTGGTTACCCAGCAGAGCCGTGTTTGGAGACTGTCGGGGCCTTGACAGTCGTTACCTGATTTCAGGGCAGGGAAGAACACCGACTGGCATCTCACCAGCCTGACGACTGTTGGGTATGTCGTTAATCTTTAGCCGGCAACGGCTGATCTCCAAGAGCTGGCTCGTTATGGTGGCTCTTCAACCCCCTTCCCCCCCAAGGGGTCCTTCTTTTACGGTCAGGATGAACACGACCAGTCTTTGCCTGATGCGCATTCTGGATGCTTGTGTGGGAAGTCGTTGTTACTCGAAAGGAGGTTTCGTTTTACTGGGCTCGGAAAAGTTAGCATCCACTAGCTCAGCAGTTGGCATCTGCCCGAATCTTGGACACCCAGGTAGCCCAGTCCAGGAAAACAGCAAACGCCGGAAGGGATTGAAAAAAAGAAAAAAGAAAGAATCAACCCGGACGAGAAAGGTCGACTTTGCTGGATAGGAGTTACCGTATGTACACCGATATTTACTCGCAGTATCGCCTGGCGTCACTTCGCCACCGAGCCGCTTGGGAGACCACACATTTGGAACCTCAACCTATATACTGCCTGTGCTTTATCCTTTCCGTATCATCCACACAAGTTTTGTATTCGTTAAGCTTACATTGGTATCTACCTGCCTCGTGATGCACCAACTTTGTATATCCCTCCAACGCCATACAAGATATGTTGAATAACCCACAAAACCTTTCCTTCGACTGATGACCAATCATCTACCTGCCAGCCAGCCTCCTTTCCAGTGTCCTCAGCGGCACATACAACAACCCCGTGACAACAAACGCAACCTCGAACCCAATATCACCAGTCCTCTCAGCAATCGGTCCCGTCCACCAAACCTGATCCATACAAGGGATCACCAACCCAAAACTCAACACCGCTGACGCTAACGCCGCCACGCCCCAGGGCAATGACTTCGCATCGTCCCATACCTCAGGGTCATACTCGGCGCAGTTGCCCTTCCGGAACCAGAAATGCTCGACCAACACCACGCCCAGGAACGCCGAGCTCCAGTAGCCGATCAAACCCAGGAAGTTTTCAAGGTTGTAGAAGAAATCACCTGCTGCGCGGATAGCCACAGGGATCACAATGGCGACAAATACGATACTGAACAGGTACCGTGGCACCCACGCGAGTATGGGAAACAGCAGCTGCAAGTTGAGCGTCACGCTGTATGAGGTAGCTGCCAGATTTCCCAGCAACGAGAAAGAGAGCACGACGACGAGGAACTTTCCGAAGCCCTTGGCTGGGTGAAGCATGGCATCGAGGACGCCGCCGACCTGGGTCTGTTCGTAGGCGGCCTGCCAGACTGGGTTGAGAGGGGTAGCGTTGCCGATGGCTGCGCCGAGGATCATTAGGAGAATTGGAGGGATGGCCAGGCCGAAGTAGGAGTAGGAGAAGATTTTCAGACTGCGATCAAGTCAGCTTACGGGATAATGCAGTGAGCGAGAGATACGTACGAAGAGGTATCAGGCTTAAGGTACGTCGAGAAGTCCGACGCAAGACACGCCCAGGGGATCATGTACCCGGCAAGCAACATGCCGTATGTCAGGACGGCCTTCGCATTCGGCTTCTCATCGTAGTCAATTTGGTTTTTAAGGTCCTTGCCACCGGTGCCGGCTGCCACAGCAAGCGCGATGACGGCAGGGATCCATGCGAACTTCTCGTACAAATGCAGCACACGGTAGCCGCAGAAGGATATGACCAGCGTGAGGATGGCCATAATAACAATCCCAACGGCGACACTGAGGTCTCCGTCGGCAACGGCTGAGAGACATTGCCCGCCTACGACGCAGATGATGACGCAGAAGCCGGTCATGGTGGCGAGGTTCAGTAGGACAGGGATGCCAACGAGATAGCGGCTAAGCGTGTTAGTGCCACTGAGCACATCAGGTTGAAGATGCGGTAGCTTACCCAAAGCTGTACCTGGCCTGAAGCATCTGCCGCATGCCGATCTTGGGACCCAGCGTGCACAGGTAGGCGGGTAGCGTCGTAGTCAGAAGGATGAAGAAGAGGATGACTAGCGACGCATTACGCAGGTTGAGCCCGTAGAGGGGAGCCAACATGCCAAAGGAGATACTGAGCTCCGTCAACCTCAAACCCTGTCTCGAAGGTGAGATAACAGGCTACTTACGGCAAGATATTCGTATTCATAGACCACCACAACGTGAATATATTGATCGTTTGGGTTTGAGTCCGCTCCTTGACCGGAATGGGGGTCACACCGCGAAGCTCAACACGGCCAAACACCACGATCTTCTCAAAGATATTACGGAACCAAGCCCACCGCTCATTAGTGACATCGCCAACGGCTTCCTCGGTTTCTGCTTCTTCCTTCTTTAGCCCCAGGTCTCGCTCCGGGGTTGGCGTCTTGCTGGGGCTGAGGTTGTAGCTGGCCTTAGTCTCTTCCCCAGCAGCTGGTTTCTTGTCGCTGATGACGTCGACAGACGGAGTTGCTGTTGGTGGCGGCTCAGATATCTTTTTTATTTCTTGAGATTTTCCTTTCTCCTGAGGAGTAAAGAGAGAGAGATAGGCCGACATGGTTATACGAAAATTCTGTCTGTGCGTAGCCCGGACGTGACAGGTAAAGCAACAATATCCAAGAAAATCTTCAACAAACGTCGACAACACGACACGCGTCCTTGGAGGGTCAAGCAGAAGAACAGAAGATGAAAATAGAAGAATTTGCTCACGTTTCCTGCCGAGAAACACACCCAGGTATGAGTAACATCTGCTTGGGAGGAGAGCTGGGAAGGGGCCCCACCCCCGCGGAGTTGTGACGGGGGGCAAACAGTGCTTTAGTCAAGGGTCCTTGCAAGCTGCTCATCTTGTCTCGCGAACTGTCGCGGTCGACTGCATTGTTTTGAAACGGTCGAATGGTTTGTGTGACCTTTTGTAAACCGGAAACTGGTATTGAGATAGACCGAGACAGCCCTATTCATTCCTGCGATAGCCTACCTGTTGGTGTCAAGATGAAAGGGCGCGATGTTGTGTGACATTGACAAGTTGACAACCTCACCACCTCTCTCACCAACCCTACCAAACATGGGCTATCTCCTACATAATCGCAAGTGAGCACCTCCTTCAAACCGACCGCCCGGGGCAATTCGCGAGGCTATTCCTTCATGAAGCGTGCATGCAGCATTGTCTTAGGGACTTTGAAATGACATGACCTTCGCGGCGTCTGCAAGTTATCCGCAGGAAATAAGAGCCCCGCTACTGCCGTTATCGTCATCCAAAATTATCGCTGATAAGAACGGCTTTGCTCCACACCCCACGCGTCCAAGCCGCTGGTTGCCAGCATTTGAGCGGGATTTGCCAATGTTCCTCTGTTCGCGCGGGCCGCGCGTGGCGAGTGGTGAACCTTAGTGAAACCCGAGGTTTCTTGCCTGAGACTCAAATATAAACCAATATACAAGTTGTTATTGATAGGGCGTGATATGAAAACGGTTAGGCAGTATCATTCATATGCAGCGAAAAATACAGTCTTACAACCGAGTGAAACCAACAGCTAGCAAACACCAATTCCTCCTCTGGTATCCGTATGACAATCACCTTTCACCACCAAAAGACAACAACGAGCCAAACCCCTATGCCACTACCTGACTTTAAGTATGACTCCTAATCTTCCCAAGTGCACGTAACAAACCAGCCTTCCCAGACTGAGTCCCAACTCTCCAGCTAAGCCAAACAAACCTACCACCTCCTCCAAACGACAGTATTATGTATATGCAGTTTACTAAAGCTTCTCGTTTAGTTTTAAAGGGTTGATTAGGTAATAATTTTTTTACCTTCTTCTCAACACTCCTCCCACTACTCATCTCTAACCCCTCCCCCCCGTTTCTTCCCTGTCACAGCACAATCTCTTCTCACCTTACTCAAGCTCTCCAACACCCGCCAGTCATAAACGTGAGCATACCCTCTCTCCCCGCTACGTCAAATCGTGCCCCAACCACAGCGACATCGCCGATGTTGTCGAAGTTGCCGATGTACTCCTGTTTCAATTTGATCGGGCACCAAGCGTAGTGCTGCTGGGAAGTGTTGAAGTCGAAGTATCTGTCATCCTCCTCCTTGAGGATGGGGCCTTCCCGCCGTGCGGTGATGCACTGGGCAGATGCTCTCTGCAAGCAAGATGCAGTAGACGGCTTGTTTACAGTCGATCACCTTGCGATCAACAATAGCTGACCGACAAGGAACGACCCGGAACCTCTCCAAGTGCTTGACTGCCAGAAGATATTTGTTATCTACCATGAGCAGATTGAATAGACGATCATCAGGTGCTTGAAGGGACACAAGTCCTTGTTAATCTTAAAAAACCACCCTGACCTTGAGACATGTTTTCGGATTTGTGAAACAGCATAACTTTCTGCTCTTTATCACTCCATACAGTTAGCTCTCCTTCAAAGATACAATTATTTTTCTGCGTGCATGTCGGTTGCCCCAGCTGCAAAGGCTTCCGAATGGAATCATGGAGCGTTATCCAGTCCTTCGTACTAGCTTTGACGCTTTCGAGATGATATGAATGTACTTATATCCTTTGCTCAGATCAACATGGATCTGGCAATATTCCCGATTTGGGTTTTCTTCTTCCACACTCATTCTGCCATGGCTCATTCCCAAGCAGTGCTTAATGCCCCGTTCCTTGAACCACGGTTGGCAACCGACCCTGACCCCTATTGTCGGCTTGAGACATGCTGCGAGGCCATCCTTGCCGATAACTGTGCCCTTACGCTTCGTGGTATCCAAGATACGCCCAGCCACAGCAAGATCAACTTGGACTTTTAGGATCACTAGTAGCAAGGGGTGACAGTCGGAGTAAGCGAGAATGATTAGCTTTTGGTTAAGTAAGCTTTTTACATCACTTGCAATAAGTAGGCGTTAGAGTTCGCCAAGTGCAAGCTCCTTATCTGTTACATGATACTCCTTAGCCGAGCTCCGGACTGGGGCCCTGAAACGGCATGCCACCGCGATCCTGCGGAGGACCTTAATTTATCTCTTCTACTGCTACAGCCTGATTGGCTACGGAGAGAGGATTTGGCTAAGACTTGTCAGCTTCAATAAAACTTGGATATATTGGTGATTCAACCTACTGTCTCCTTCAAAAATGAGCTCGACACACTCAGCCAGATCGAGTTGTGCCTCTGGAGTCATCCATCTCACCAGCTGCGCAATCCTTGACCAACCCAACCCAAGTGCATGATGGATGATAGTCTGTAATGTCTCGTTTCGATCAGTTCTCTTTCAGGAAGAAACGCTGAGAGCAAGGCCTCTATACTCATGTCTTCACGGTGCAAATGGACCTGGTGCTGCCGGAACCATTCCTAAATGAGGACTGAGTTGGGCCTCAGTCCAGACCTCGCTAGCTGGTTGTCATTGAGGCGTTGGTGTCACACGGGCACGGCAGTCCGAGGAACGGGGTACCTGACTGCCAACACATGGGACGCCAGAGATAGAATGATTGTGAACGACACAGATACGTGGTTGATTCCGGAAGATGTACACAACCACACGACCGAATGAGCCAGATGGCCGAGGCAAGAGGACGAGAGTCCTGAAAAGCCCGGAAGGCCGTGGCACTCACAAGGGCAAGAGGATTCTATAACGGAAGCTGCCCGATCACAACTTGTGATTGCTGACTGAGTGTTCCCCAGTACGGAAACGGCCACCGAGACTGTTACTACCGACGGTCCAGCAGTGTCTACCGAGATTCATGTGGTAACGGAAACCGAAATCGTGTCGTCCACCCAGTCGCGGGTTGTTGAATTGACCTATAGCGTTACCGGCATGGTAACCGTTACTCAGACGGTCACTACCACTCATACAGTCACCACACCTATAAGCACCGTCGTGCGGAAAGCCAAGCGCGACGAGCCAGAAGTCCCAGGCTATGCTTCGAAGTGCAAATCCTTCGCTGCCTATCAGTCTGCTTGCTCGCGTTTGGGTGTTTTCCCTACTACGGTAAGCGTGGCTGAATCAACCGCCACTGTTACCGTGACAGAGACACTCGTACCGGAGTGGACGGCCACGGGCACCACCACCGTCACCGTCACCGAGAGTGCCGTCGAGACCGTCGATATCACGACCGTTACTAGCTATACTTTCACGACAAGCACTGTCACGGCCACCGCGACAACCACAGCTATCGTTATTCCTCAGCTCGAGATTCTGGGCGCTACCTTTGGCACTGCCGACATCACCTCTTATGCTCTCACCAACTGGAAGGTTGGTAGTAACATCGTGATCAATACCAACAAAGCCTATACCGATATTGGCTTGAATGCCCCCGGTGATTTGATGACGGGCCAGCCTAGATCCATTACGGTACTATACCGCTGGGGCACCGAGGTCCGTTCCTGGGTCGGCAGGTGGAATTCGGGCACATACACCATCACTCCCACTCCTAACTCAGCGGCCCCGTCCGGGAGCCTTGTGGTCCCCAACTATCCTCGTCCCCAGGGTATTACCTGGATCCAGATCCTCGAGGTCAACTACGGTCTGGGCCAGAATAGAAACCAAACCCTCTGGAACAAACTCTACCTCGATGCCGCGGCCGGCGTTGGGACGCCGCTCATCAACGAGAACTTTGGAGACACGTGGTACAGCATCGAAAAGTCGGGTGTAGTCTGGTACAGGGACACTCGCAATGGCCCTGATGGTCCCTTGCATCTGGCTGCGACACGCGAGGGTCGCGATCTCCAACTGATGCGCGCAGATGGCAGTTTCTCGTAGCACTGTGGGAAGATGACTGAAAGGGGGAGCGGTGTTCTGAATAGGACGTTTTGAGATGTGTATTTCGCGACGGGCTGTATAACGTGAGGCCCTTGGTGTATATTTGAGCTATGACCTTATATATTCTATGTCAGGTCCTCGAACTTGACTGGTAGTGTTGATTGATCTTGTACCTTCACCGAACACGTAACATAGACGTGATCTCCGCTTCAACCGGGCACACAGCCTAAGTAAAGAGTGCCATGTACTGGAGGGTGCAATGCCTGCGTAAAGGATAGGGAAGCGATGTCCTCCATTAAGTGATGGCAGCTAAGGGAGTGAGCAGTATCTTGGAGCAGCGAGGCGTAGCTGAGACCAGGGCAGCTAAACAGGCAGGTGGTAGCGATCCTGGAGTAGTTGGTGCTCTCACAGAGGGCGGATAGCCGTTTGATGGTTGAAGCGCTAGACTATCGTTCTTGGCCTAGATAAACAGAAATTTTGTGGATTACTTATTGCTAAAGCTTGGATACCCCGGTAATACCCATGGCTTCCTCGCTCCCAACGACCGTCCTCGAGGGTCAGCTTTACCCCGCTTTCCTTGTTTTACCGTGATTGTAGCAGCAAGGCTTACCTGTTTGGGGTTCTCAAGGTGCCAAAGGAGCCGGATGTGAATCTGATCATAAGGGGACCCATCAGAGAACCCGGTCCATACCTAAATTCCGCTAGAATCAGTGTCGCGTGGAGATCAATCCGACCCTTTGAGTTGCGAGGGATATCTTCCGCACCACTCCACAGAGCGAGTCCAGAAGCAATAGGAGGTCTTTAGTTATCTCTTCAGCCTTATCGATAGTTAAGGTTGGACCAAGCTCGAACTTCCCGGGTTGCTTGCAGGATAAAATATTGCCAAGCTGCAGTCAGTGACTAAATATTAAGAAAAGGATAATTCCATTTAGACTTACGTTAATGATAATGGCCTCGCGCCGGTCCCTTGATATGCCCGGCTCCTTCATATCTTATTCTCCAGTTCTCCTATTCTTCAGGGCACTTTCGTCCCATGCCCCGGAAGATTGTATTGTCAGCCTCCACTACAAGGCTTTTCCATACTTCGACTATATACCGAGTAGCCCCAAGCGTTCGGGCTGCTGCAACTTCTTGTGGTCAGAGTACTGGGAAGTCTTGACCAAAAGTTTCGATGTAGCGGCTCAGAAAGGCGTTCAACACGACTTAGCATATGCCTTATCGCAGCAAAGGTCCAACACACGGTTCGGTCGCAACGGCATTGCCGTGCCCCTTATGACACAGTTGTTGCTGTCAAGCACCTTCCGTTGATTTATTCCGTTTGACTTCGTTTGTAAATGGCATCGCTGACAGTGGGAACAAAGTGATTCGTTTTCGGCCACCGAGGCTTATCCCTTTTGGTCTCCTCTGTTCAAGAAACATAACGATTGGTGTCGCCTCAGGATCAATGGGGACATCCGCTTTGCTTTGCTTGACGTGAAAAAAGCGATCTGACGCGTTCAGAAAAGAGGCCTTGGCGATCTCCACGTGTGGACACATGACTTTTCACGTAGTACCGTATGTCAATACTGTGGAAGTTTCACAAGAAACGCTGAACTCTCCTGAGATCATTTCGAAAGTATAGCTATTATTTTAGAATTTCCGGAAAACATTGCAGCTGAGAAGAGACTATTATATCTGGAAATTGATCTCTCTTCGACAAGTTACTCCTGGGCTTATGCAGTTATGGGACACACTGTGTCAGTCGTTCATCATACTGTACTTCCTCAAACCTCCAACGTTCTCAAGCCAAACTCACTCTCATTCTTTTGACAATAAAAATGTTTGTTAAGGCTAACTAGCGTCATCGGTGAGACAATATGTGGCTGAAGAAATGACTCTGTTCCACGCCCTCATCAGGACTCACCACATCACCTCCCGGAAGAAGGTTGCTCACCTGCGGAAAGCGGCAGGCAAACTTGACTGCTACGCTCTTCTGAGAAGTGGGGGATGTCCCGGCATTATGTATTGCAAGGGCAAGGAAGATGCTGTGAAGGAATGGGTTGCTACTGTGCAGGTACAGTACCAACAACCCTCGGAATGAGTCGTCTTAAAGGCTGACATCAAAGCAGAGGCTTCGCTACAAAGACTTCCATTTGGCCTGCAAGCCAGCACCCATCGAGTCAGCTGCTCCACAATCAGAGACTGAGTCAGGCCTTTATGAGGTCGAAACTGTCAAGGAGTTTGCTACAGCCATGGAGAAACGGGGAATTGCAGAGTGGTGGAAGAGAGCGATGGATTTTCGCTAGTTTTCAATTCTATCGGAATATACCAGCAGTTCTTTTCTGAGCATCAAGAGCCCTCCAATATTCGCATCTCAAATGAAGAGGAGTCCATTTATATACGAGACACATTACGAAGTCTATACAGATATCACTTTATCCTCCCTTCTTCTCAACTCTTTCTAGCAAACAACCCCTTAATCCTCATCATCACCCCCGCAAACCACGGTGTCGCCCACAAACTAACCCCAATTCTCACGGGCAACAGCACCTTTGTAACCGCATACGCCAACGCAATCTCCACCACAGCCCTATACCTCCTATCTCGTTCCCACAATTCTCTCAACCTCTGTTCCTCCCCCTCCCCCGTCTCAAGCACCACCCCATTTTTCCCAGGTTCAGTCTTTTCAAACCCAAACCACCCCCTCCTCCTAAACCACCTTTCAAATCTCCCCACGCCCTCAGCTACGTATCCTCCCCAATGGGAGACGAGGTACCCGAGGGGGATGTGGTCGGGGTAGAAGTGGAAGAGGCCAAAGAGGCCGAAGAGGGGGAGAATTGCGGTGATTTCGTGGAGGATGAGGAATGCCGCGACGTGGGTGACTGGGGCGTTGCGTAAGCAGGAGGTATACCGTTGGAGGGGGCGCGGGAGACGGGAGAGGATACGTTCAAGGCGAAACTGTTCTTTAGCTGAGTTTGCTGGGTTTGAGTTGGTGGTGTATCTTCGGAGTTGGAAATGGATTTTCCTTGGGGTTCGGAGTTGAAAGAATAACTTGTTGGACGTGGGGTTTGTTTCTGGTGGTCGGAAAGGGAGCCGAAGGGCTCGTGGGAGGAATTGGGTCATTTATGTTGTTTAAATTCAATTCAGGAGATCAATTGAGTAGAATTCGGGGGAGAAAACGAGATGTTGGTTGTTGGATGCGAACAAAGAGCCTGACTTTTTCGTGCTCGGCGTGAACTGAACCGAGGAGGGAGAATCTACGTGGTGGAGAGAGTTCATGTGCACGGACCACTCGTGATGCTCGACCTTGTTGCCCGTAGCAACTCAAGCCCTTGAATTACCCCTGAGTTTCTGCTTTCTAAAACCAGAACTGAAGGGATGTCATTGTATAGTGGTGTACTCTTGGAGCAAGTGTCGAATGTTTGCACGCAAGTAACAACTTACACACTCACTCTAAAGTTTTCATCCATGCTGGCACAAATCTCCCTTTTTCTTAAACCATTATCTGTTTTAGCTAGTGTCTTGGCCTTTCTTCACACCCGTTTCCCTCTTTCGGCCGGGAACAGCAGGAATGATAGTTTTCTGCTGCTCGCATCAAAAATTTGGGTTTCAATTGAAAACTGGAAATCTGCAAAAAACTGATTGCCTATCGGGAATTGAGCCCGATGCGGGGGTCGAACCCGCAACCTTGAGATATTCGGAGAATCCTTAAGAGTCTCACGCTCTACCGATTGAGCTAACCGGGCACCGGTTATTGGCTGTTGTTGCCAAGGTGCGGATCAGTGCATTTTCTTCACATGCTTTCGGAGCGCAGGATGATATCGACGACGAAAAGGCTGACTGTCAGAGCAGAGAAATCTCGTTCTGATGGCGACTGGCTCGTATCACATCAAGGGATTCTTTAGATTACGGATAAAGCTCTCAAGAACCTATCGAACTTGCTAAGGAAACTCAGGGAGCTGTTAGTCAACGTGGATTTGCATTGGTTCCTTCAGGATAGCACTTGGCTGTATGGACAGGCATTTCCTCGTCGACATCACTTGTCAGTGGAAAAAAGCTACTTTGGTTCTCGAGGTTCAAGTCCATTGCCAGCAGACAGGGCCAGCAGGGGATCAAGCGGCGTTCGAACTCAGTGTCGCCGTCCTGTGGCGGACCACCTTCGCGTGGACGTTGACGAAGGCCCCCATGGGCGACTTGCAGGCGACGGACAGGTGGGCAAGCCGGTCTTGGGGCTTGGATCGGGGAGTGCGGAAGTCACAGGGCTCGCGGGAGGGCTCGGGGGTGCGATATTCGGGACTTGCCTCGGTCTGTTACCAGGAGCATCGACGATAGGGACGGTCGGTTGTTGCCTGCCGTCCTCAATCCAAATACAGATCCTAGTTCAGCAACTGTGACGGCTGAAGACTCGCAACAACAGTTGTGAGACCATGCATTTAACATCAAGGGGCGGGCACTTCGTAGCCCACCTGACGTGGACATCGGCGATGCCGTTATCATCAATGCTGATTTTCTATCCTCAACATCTCTCAAAAAAGCGCTCGCCAATTAGGCTGGCAATTTGAACACCCTTCGCGAGTCACTTAAGCGACCAAGGCAATCATCTTACTCCTAACAATGAGGATATTGGGAAGTTCGTGCTTGTTGGGTGATCACTCCAGCCCTCGCCACCGAATGCTTCAAGAAACACCCGGCACTTTAAAAGCAGAAGCCGGTTGGCACCACTATCTCCAGTGAGGCAGTCATTGATAGAAAACACCACATTCAAGCCAAACGGAGAGGCCCAAGTATATGTACTTTGTCTCCTCTTCTGGAGATCCAATGAAAAGTATTGTTGACTACTGCCGCATCCAATCCGCACTCTGTACCAGATCATCACCTCATATCCCAGCCTTTTCACAATAAACTCGACCTCGTCTAGCAAAGTGTTGGTAAAAGCGACCAGAGAATTGGGAACAGCTGGCGTCGACTTTGACTTGAACAAGACGGATCAGTACTGACAGATTGTTAGACAAAAACACCTGCTTCGTCCAACGCCACGAGCGCTTCAAGCAATGAAATTTTACAGGTGGAATTTGCTCCAGTCCTTGGGGACATTTTCCCACCTTTCGAAACGGCTCTCACTATATTTTTGCCTCTTTTGGTCACGTCACTGTTTACGTTGCCTATAAGGACAAAAGCCATGCCTGAAAAGAAGGGCACAGTTAACCCAATCGCTTCCTCATATCTCCAGGCGCCACGGATATTGGTCGCACGGTGGTAGGTACCCTGACATTTGACGTCCATGATCAGAAGTCCCTAGTTATTGGGAGGTTATCCAGAGAGCGCAAAGTTTTAGTACACTCAATCCTTTCTTGTTCTCTGGCAGTCTCAGATGGCAGCTTACGAAAAGGGATAAGAACCTATAATCCAATGTTCAGCAGGACAAGCTTTTAACAAGATATAGACAGACAGTTGCTTGTTCGTGTCTTCTTTGTGCATTGGACTTGACATTTTAACCTCTTTTTGGCAGTACCTCCTTTTCTATAAGCCCAGCCGTCGTGTTCCCTTTCGAGGGTCATTGTTGATGTCAGAAACAACACCGCGGATTTCCTACAAAAAGGCACTTTGATGCCTCTGATCTGCGCAAACGTGACAGAGCACGTGCAGTCAATTATTTCATCTCTCTTTGCCTCATGCTTAGTATACATGAGGATGGTGTGGTGACGTTTGATTCGAGAATAGAATTATTTTCCAAACAACACTTCGCTCCTCACTAATGCTCTGAGGGTTCCATACTTTGTTATGGGTATCTTTCAACCTATCTTTCACTCTATCCTGTATTGCCTGTATAGCAGCTCGAGAAACGACATTTCACAGTGACAAGAAACACAAAACCATGTCAATGTTTATGCTTGAGAAAGCCTCAGTGACTTGCAGACGATTCACACATTATTTACCCAGGACTACACAGTATGTATAAGCTTATCAGGATATTTGGAGCTCCTCCAAAGCCGTTAGTCTTTCCACCTCCATGGAACAACTTGTCAGCATCACCCACTGACCTGTCATTTTCCAGATTATGCGAGGCTGCCGAGGTCACCATCCGGAAAGCTTATGATCTCATACGACAAAGCCAACCTCCCTCACCCAGATGGCCAGCTTCTGCGCTATCACATCGTTGAATCATGGACCAAAGAAAGCGTATCCGAATTCTTGTTTGAGCCATATCTTGGAAATGTTGATTACTCTTGGGAACGTCCGGCTATCCAGTAAATTATTTGGCTTCGGTGTGAAAAAAGTCGGTCTTCCTGTTTAAGTGTTCCTGAGACATCCTGCTGGCAAGGATCAAGTATGCTAATCCACAACACTCAGACTCGTGACGACAATAAGTGCTGCATCACAGGGCTGAGCGACTTCACTCTTCGATCCGCTGGTGGCTGTCCAGATCCTGCTTGTCTTGAGGGATTTGGAGTGAGGAGTATGCCTTCTCCCACGTCATACAGCGTTTACCTGGCGCCCAGTGCTGACTTCAACAGGATGGTGTAGTGATGTATTGCACGCTCAGGAGATTTCTTGACTTTTGCAAGATAGAAACGGTACGCAGTATGAATGAGCCTCAGAGCAGTGAAAATATTTGGCTCCTGAAGAAGTCGGCAGCAGAGGAATTTGCTCAACCATTTTCCTGTTTGAGTTGAGGGGGAAGTACAGTTCAGGCATACTCAAGCATTACTCAGAGTCATTAGTCGATCCTCATAGTCAAAGTAGATACGGTTCACATTCATTATGATCGGAGGCCTAGAGCTTCCGCCCATACTCTGCGAAGTTTGGAGACGTTTGGAGACGACAGTCTCAGGGCGTGAACTTCAACTCCTGCTAAGGAAAGGAAATTCAAATGCCAAACCCAGAAGCTCTGCGTATCTTCAGCCGTTTCTCCCAGTATTTCCAGTGGGTTTGCCCTCGACAAAGAAATGGAAACCAGAGATTCAACGAGAAAGGCGTTGACCGCGATGCCGCTTACAAAGTTTTCCACTATCCCAAACGGCTGTCGAATCTTGTCGCCATTGGTTTCAGGGCACTATGGCTCTTGGCTTCTTACACACTTCGGATTGAAGTCTACTGTTGTCTGCACTTTGTTGGACTACGCCTTTACGGGAATACTGGGGTCATGGCTCAATGGCTGCCTTTTGGTCTTATCTAAAACTTATGTCGTTGTATTCTAAACCGGAAATGGAAAACCATTATGTGGCTCTCAAATTGGCTTATTGTCATGCCAGCATACCCATCCCCCGACCTATAGACCTCGTATCCGACTGGGGCTCCGCTACACAGAAGGGGAGCTAAAAGAGATAAGGAGTTATGGGCCCAACAACTTGAAGGTGGGTCGTTGGCTCTGACCGAGCTATTGCCTTAGTCCGGACGCGTTTCGCATTGAACGCGTTTGGTCTGGTGTTGAGGAGAGTGTTTCGACAACCGACTGAGAGGTCGTTCCTTCCCTCTTCCTATTCTTCTTTCAGAGCCCCCGCAGACAAGAGCGAAGAAGTCGGTTGTTCGATCTCGGCCCACAGCAGGATTTTTATTCTCGAGCTCTCTTCTGCCCGGGTCAACTTTCCCTCGCTTTCTTGCTAACCCGAGTGCAAACACCTGTTATCCTTCGATCACAAACGACCAGTCTCATTCACAATTCTTTGTGATCTCGCCCAACGAAAGGCAAGATGCCAAACCAACAGCGCAACGGTCTTCCCAAGAACAACTCTCACTCCACGTCATCATCCACTGGAGAGGAGCCATTCTACAACCCATGGACTCAATTTTATTGGGCTCTTGACTGGGAAACAAAGGAGGAGCACAACCGAAGGAAGGCCCCTGATGCTGAGAACGCTGCCTCCAAGAAAAGTACCAAAGGACATAAGCAGCGCCGATCCCAGTCAGTTCTCGGTTTACTCAGCTTAGAGGACCCCCCGCGACCGACTTCTCGTCGACTCAACACTCAGTGCACCTCGCCCGGAAGCCAACCTATCAGACAAGTGTCCGACCCCTCTCGTCTCCTTCAGGAAGGCGGATCAAAGCGCCAAAGTCGATTTCATCGCTTCTCCCGGCTGTTCCAGCCAGCCATGACCCGTACCTCGGCCGCACCTCCTGCGTCCATAGTGGACTCGGACACTGCCCCCCTCCTCCAAGGCCAAGTGGCCGATCGGATGGAAGCCGAGTCGAAATCCGACCGAAGCATCCGCACCATCTGGGGGTGGCTCAAGCGAGCGGTCTCTAAGAGCAGTCTCCGTCGGCGTGAAGCCGACGGGAGCCGGACTATTGGGGAGCCCAGTACCGGGCCCAATGGAAGGAGCCAGGCCTAGCAACCCCACATTCCAGCTACAGCCACAGTTCTCCAGCGATCCCGGCTTCGGCATCAAGCAGGCAGCTGTTAGAGAATGGGGCGTCCCCTGTGGCAGCCGATGGAACAGATGAAACCAACAAGCGTTGGTTGGGTCCCTCATCGGATGTTGACGCCGCGGAAGACTCTGAGAATGGCGGTGTCGTCGCTGCGGTCCTCCCATTGGTGGGCGGGCGGCGTCCCCGAAGCATCACCACTCTAAGCGCTAGAGCGAAACATTTGAAAATACTGGGAAGAAGAAAGAAACGGAACAGATTAGTGCCTCGATTGCGATGAAGCAACAGCAGGACAGCACTGACAAGCAGCCGGTCTAGGGTTGGGAAATGGAGGCTTTTGGGGTCAAGTCCGATAACTGAGTTAGGAGCAAGGGAAAGGGGATCGAGGACAGGTTTTGCGAGTTGGACGGTATATTCCGAAGGGTGACAAGATATAGCTTTGTTGGATCTGCTGTGAATGGAATAGGAAATCACGTTGGCTAGTAGATCACGAGTTTAACATACACCTATTTATGCGCCGTGAACACGTTAGGGCTATGGATATGCAATCACAATATTATCCATTATTCCCTACATAACACATGAAATCCCCCACATACATGGTATCATCCCAATAGCCAAACCAAACCAATCCTAAAACTTACCCCAAACCCATCTAGCCACACCAAACCAAACCAGAAACACAATCAACACCCCCTGAAACACTCCGCCAACCGCCTCTGAACCTTCCTCCACCGCCGGCAAAACCACGCCTAGCAGTAATCATCATCGTCATCTCCCCACCCAGAGCCATCATAACCCCCAGAGCTAATCGCAGCACGCCATTTGTCTGCCGATGGGTCGTGCGGCTTTGCTGGGACCGCAGCAGCAGCAGCAGCAGCAGGGGTAGGGGCAGCGGGGGCTCCCTCCTTGGGCGCCGAATTCGAGGTCGACGGTTGCGCTGGCTCTGAAGTGGGCGCCTGGGCTGCTGCAGTTGGGGCAGGCGAGGGGGAGGGAACAGAAGCCGAAGCCGATGCCGATGCAGGCGGAGAGGGACCGAGCGCGGCGGGGGCCTCAGCCGACGCATCCATTGGGTCTGGGGCCGGAGGGACCGCAGCTGGAGTCGGAGCAACAGCCAGCCTAGCCTCCTCGAGGGCCGGCGTTGGGCTGGCAGTCGAAGTCGGCGAGGGCTCAGGGATGGGGGCCGATGTGAGGTTGTTCACAGGGGTAGCAGCAGCTGGGGCCGAGGCCGGGCCTGATGCAGTGCCAGCTGGGGCTGCAGGGAGTGAGGGCCCATTGTTAGTCACTCCGGGCTGTACGTCCTGGAGTTGGGGCTGCATCTGGCGTTGTAGTGTCACTATTTGGGACGGCAATGACATGTGGCCTTGGGCATCTGGAGTGACAACGGGCTGCACAGGCTGGGCTCCTTCATCTCTGAGTCGTTGCTCACTGCCCCTGATCATATCTGCAATTTGCGGCTGCAACACAGTCTGTCCTTGCGCATTCACATAAACACCCTGGACAGTCTGCCCTGAGGGCGAGCTAATCTGGGGCACGGTCTGCAGCGGCTGGCCTTGGGCATCCCTCCAAAACATTTGGTTCGTAGGCGGTCCTATGAGAGGTTGTTGTGTCTGTATAGGCTGGACATGTGACAGGACCCGATAGTGTTGCCCTGCAGAAAGACCCGGCTGGAACTGGATTGGCTGCTGACCCTGTTGCTGAAGAGGCTGCTGCTCAGGAATCGGCTGATGAGGGTTGGGGAGGTGAAGCATTGGAGGCTGTTGGAGCTGAAGTTGAGTTTGCGAGGGCAGCTGCGTGAACTGTCCGAGCTGTTGACCTTGCGCAGGTTGCTGCATTGTCTGGCTTTGTTGCACTGGCTGACTCTGAGCCTGTGATTGCTGCACCTGTCCGCTGATGGAAGCATGCTTATCTTTGTGATCCTTGTGAAGCAGCTTCTTTGTCTTCTTGATGCTTTCACTCCTCCACAGTTTACCAAACCATGACTTTTCTCCCTTCATGGCTGGGCTGGATGGATGACTCTGGCTTTGCTCTTGCAGAGGGTTCTTCTGAGAGAGAGGAGCGGGCTGGGCAGGCTGTGAAGGTTGAGAAGGTTGTGGAGGCTGGGAAGCAGCCCGGTTAACAAACACCTGGCTCCTGCCCTGTTGCGGTGCTGATCCAAAGATGTAGTCAACCTGCGGTGGCGATGCTTGTGAAGGTCCAGAGAGAAGGCCTAAGGGTTGCTGGGCAGGAATTGACGAGAATATAGTGAAGGATTGAGAAGTAGGAAGCGGTGCTGTGGTTGTCTCCAGACGAGGCTGAAAGCTTGAGTTAGTAGGCAGCTGAGCCGCTAAACTTAGCTGCTTGAATGCGTCTGTAATCAAAAGCTGTTGCCGATCTGATCCAACTTGCCCTTGGCCTGCCAACGGAACAACTGGCTGTCCAAGCTGCTGCTGAGATTGGAAGGTCGGATCCTGACCACCTTGATCTGCAGGAGGGGCAATGCCTGGCAGCTCCTGACCAAAGGTCTGCCCTCCGTTCCCAGTCGTAGAGTGCCCATACCCGGGAATTTCAGAGGGATTAACAGGGTGCGAGGCAAGCGGATGGTGACCAGGCCGAATGACATAAGGTTGCACCGTCGAACCGGGCACTGCAGGAGGATTCGTCAGCGAAGACGGCATTGGAGAGACGGCCAAACGGACTCCAGGCTCCTGATCTTGCACCATGTCACTTCCTGGAAGCCTTTGTGCCCGTACGATCTCAGGGCTCTGCGGGTTGCCTTGTTGTTTGATGGTAAAGGAGATTGAAGAAGTCCGCGAGAGGGGACTTGGGCTGCGAGGCTTTGGTTCATTGGAGGGGGCTTGTGCTGGTGGCGGTGGTGACACAACATACCGCGAATCAGGTATGCTCTCTGGCTTGGTGGAAGGAGCAAAATTTTGGGCGGCCCCGTTTGCAGGTGCGGCAGATGTCGCAGGCACATAAGGCTTGAAGGAGCGATGATTGGGCCCGTGGACCGGCGCAAAACCGCTATCTGTCTCAGAGTTCATCTGGAAGCTATGGGACGCCGAGGGAGCATTGCTGCTAGGCTGTGTAGGAGCTAATGAACCCTGGCGAACAGGTGGTTGCGGCGTTTGGTCTATCTGGGCACGAGCCAAAGATGGTGTGGATGGCGGGGACATTGACCGCGCAAAGTATGGAGTACCCGGGGGCTCTAACGGTGCACTATTCCCAGAAGCCAAATAGGAAGAAGATTGGGCTTCGGTAACAACAGCAGCTGGTTGGTTTGAGAGCGGAGGTTGATGAACCGTCTCCTGTTGAACTTGGGAAGTCGGTGCCACTTGAACATCATTCTTGACTTGGAAAGGGTCTGTAGGAGCAGATGCCGTGGTCGGGGACGCGATAAACGCTGTCTGGTACGCAGGGCCCGTGATACTGTACGAAGTTACACTCGGTTCGGACGTAACTGCGGGCCTAGAAGGAGAAGCCACGGTTGGCAAGCTGTTCGTACGTGTGGAGGAGGGAGGGTTGCGATTGATCTTGAGAGGAGCTGGTACATCGGGGCTTGAGGGAGAAACCGGCAGTGAGCTTGTCCGGGGAATGCTGGCATTGCCAGCATCTGGTTCGACGGGCAAGGATGTTCGGGATTCCATGGTGTAAGCAGTGCTTGACAGCATCCGAACTGTTTCCTCGATATCTTTTTGCAGATCCTGATACGGTTTGAAGGCTTGGTAACCTCTCGCCGGGCTCTCGGACTTGGTACTCGGAGGAGTCTGGGCGCCTGGAAGTCGGCCACGCGCAGGTTTGAGAATTGAAGGAGCATGGGCAAGATTGCGTGATGACTCTTCATTGGCCGGCGTTTGTGGACTAGAATCTCTGTTCTCAGGCGCGGTTGGGACGTTGATTTGCCACCCATGGGCCGGTTTGAGGATTGACGGAGCGTGGGCTAGGTCTACGGAGGGTTTCTCGGTAGTGTTCTCTTTGCGTTCCGGAACAGACTGGGCTTGAACATGGAGACCACGGGCTGGCTTCAAGATAGACGGAACATGAGTAAAGTCCGCTGAAGGTGCCTGTGGCTCGACAGTTGGGGGATTTGGGGCGTTTTGGCCGCTATTAGCAGCTCCTGAAGTTTGAGCCGGAGGGGTACTGAATGGTCTCAATGGAGCTGGAACTCGTGCTGCCCAGGCTGGCGAGGCACCTGAATTGGGCTGAAACGGCTTGAACTGACCAGGAGACTGAGATCTCCAAGGCTGTAGACCTCCTAGTGAATGCCGGTTATTGCCAGGGACGGGAGCTTGATGGCGGGGGGGGGCAATCATTGAGAACCTATTGATAGCAGGAACAGGCGCCCCAGATGTCTGCTGCCCAGGGTAATAAGGCATATACTTGTCTTCCCACCTTGATGATTGCGATTGCGAGTGAGTATCGAAGACCGGCTGGGGAGGATTACTTTGCTTGGCAGGCTGAAGTGTGTGTCCAACAAGTTGCTGAACACCTTGAAGTGTTTGCCGGCGTGCTGTCTGGGCTTGCGCGGAGTGATCAGGTATTGAAGCCTTGCTCCCCGTTCCAACCTTTGTACGAACAGGTGCTGCATCAGCCGGAAGCTCAACAGGCTCGAAATTTATGACATGCACATATCCAGGCCGTTGTGGTCCATCACCGGGCAGCTCAGCTGGCAGTGCAACAAGCTCAGCATTGCACTGAGCCGTTTCTTCGGTCGGAAGTTCGTGAATGACGGTTCCGGGCACTTCTACAGGCATGGGGACTTCATGGTGCGTTCCGTGAAGCGACTCAGCCACCGTTTGTGGCGGCGCGACGCCTTGAGTCGCATTTTGGGTTGAAACACCAAGGACTGGGTTACTATCGAGTTCAGGAATGGCAGCTAGCTGAGTGTTGGCTCCGTGAGGACTCGTGTCGGGCCTATGGACATGAGGAGCCACCGAGTGAAAGGAAGCGATTGAGAAACTTATGGATTGCGAAGGGGACGGACTGAGGGATGGAAATGCGGGAGAGGTTGAAACTTCGGAGATAGGGGCCGCAGACAAGCCTGGAGACGAAGGTCCCTGGGGCTTAGCTGATGGCTGTGAAGTGCCGGGGCCTGCTGCGACTGTGGTAGCATTAGACACGGAGGGCCAATCGAAGCTAGTGACCGCAGACCCAGTGGCTACTGGGGGAGTAGATGTTTGTGCAGGCTGGCCGATGTGGGGTTCGGTGCTAGATGTCGTTGAGGGAGCTGTAGCTGGAAGAGCAACAGACGTCCATTCTTCGCTAGTGATAACAACCCCTGTAGAAGCCGCCGGCGCAGAAGTAACTGGGGGTTGAGCAGCTGGCGCCGCAGGAGTCGACGAAGCTTGAGTTGGTGCAACAGAACTACTAGCGGGGCCCCAGTCTGCTGCGTTAATTGTAAACGCTGTCGGCGCCGATGGTGGCTTAGGAGGAAAAGGCTCAGCATTAGTAACAGCTGCGGCTGCAGTGGAAGCTTGGCCTGACCCCGTTGCTGTGATTGTAACTTCTGTGGCTGCCGCAGCAGGTTGTGGAGCAGCAGGTGCTGAGGTATTTGAAGTAGTCGTTGAGGTTGCAAGCGCTGTGCTTACACTGACTTCAGCACCCCAGTCAAAGTTGGTAATGGTAAACCCTGTTGGCGCTGCTGAGGGCTGCGAGGTAGCTGGCGTGGGCGCAGAGGTCGGGCATGATGTAGCAGACTGTGTGGGCGCTGGAGCACCCGATCCTGTATTCGAAGCCACATCAATAATTTCAGACGAGGAGATCATGAAGTCTGTTGCTGTGGCCGGGGGTTGCGGTGCTGCGGGTGCAGCAGGAGCAGATGTAGTTGAGGTTGTGGGTGCTGTCGTGCTGGTCACAGGACCCCAGTCGATGTTGTCAATAGTAAAGTCTGTGAGCGCCGAGGTAGGCTGAGTTGCCGGAGGAGCAGAGGAAGTCGTGGGACACGAAGAAGCGGGATGGGCAGAAGACTGGCTCGTAGTTACTGTCGTGACCTCTACTGAGGCTGCAACCTCTACAGAGAGGTCGATTGCAAACCCAGTCGCAACCGGTTGCGACGAAGATGTCGTTGGTGCTGCGGAAGATTCGGGTGCCGCTACACCCGAGGAAGGCTGACTAACTGTAAAAAACCGTGAGATGAATGTTCTTTTGGTTCCATTGATGTTTCTTTGTTTCTTCCTAAGATACCAGGTAACACACCTTCGCTCCCAGCCGGCTGGGACGTAATTTTATCTTGAGTAGGCTTTTGGTCTTCACTATCCTGAGTCGCAGCATTCTGTGGAGGTTTCTCGTTTTCCTCCAAATTGGTCGGGTCAGCATACACGCCAGGGCCCATGTACATGAGCTCGTCAGGCCGAAACCATGAGTCATCATCCGTCGAGGGCATGTAAACCGCGGAGAGACGTTGGCTGCCACTCGATGTAGTCTTACGGACTTGCTTCTTGCTCTCGAGCATGTCCTCGGGCGGGATCACAGGATCATCGTTCGGAACGTACTCGGGGAACTCGTCCCCGGGCTTCGGGAAGGTGTATTGTACATGGCCTGTGGGCAGATAGGTATAGTACCAACGCTGCAGTTTATCGTCGTAGCCCCATTCCCAACCCTCAGGTAGGCCCGACATATTGGTGGTTCACAGGAGGAGAATGTGGGATGTCGAGGGTCACGAGGTCGCGCAAGGCACCTTAGGGTCGCTGATTATGACTCGTACCTTATAAGACAAAGACAAACTGAGGTGGTATGAGAGGTTGCGCGATAGGCGACTCTGGAGTGATGTAAGTCGATTAGGAGCCTTGTCCGTGGTCGCGATCAGTGTCTGAGATTGAAGCGGGGCACGCAACCCTATACACTAGAAGCGCGACAGCAAAGGAAAGCGTCGGGTTCTGGCGAATGGCGATTGATCCAGGACCAGCCATCGCATGCGACGGCATTCAGAACAAAAAAGCTATCTTGGATTGGTGCCAGATATTATTTGTCGGGAAGAGTGAGAGTGGGAAGAGGCTGAGAAGGTCGAGGCGTAAGGAACGGGTCAATGAAAGACCGTGTGCCAGCTGGAGAACTCTTTCCCAGCTCCTCGCAAAGCCAAGACGGGGTGAGCCATCAGCGCCTCGATAAGACGATGTGGTGCTGCGCGTTCCTTTCCCCAGACAGTGCGGCTGAGGTCTGAGATAACTTTTAAGGTCTGGTCGCAGGCGGCTGCCCAATCGACGCGCTCGTTGTGATGGTGCAGCTGCATGCGTTGCCCTTGGGCTGTGGGACGAGAATCGGGACGCCCAACAATAGGACTCCATCCTTCAGGGTATCATTCAACACAGGGGGCTGGAGGACATTGCAAAGGTTACCCTATATGGCACCCCTAAGATTCTGATCGCTGGAAGAGAGCCGCATGCTATTTGATGGTAAAGCTACCGGGATGAAAGGACTTGAAAGCTGATGGAGATGGGTCGGGGTGACCAGCGGGTATGACTTTAATGGCGCTCTTAATTCCGCAGTAGAGTTAAAGCTTCTACTTCCAAGGTGAGCAACTTTATTCTGGAACAAGCAGAGAATATCACCAGTTATTCCACTTTTAGAATCATTTGCGGAATAGAGGCATAATGTTCAAGCTCAACTCAGGTGAAGACTCAAGCTAATGCTGGGAAGAAAAGCGTGAGTTTGAGCATGATCCCGCACCAGGACCCTGACTGGCTTGGCTCCCGGAAAGCAAAGGGTGGAAAACTTCCTCCGTGGACAGAAGGCTTGGCGCCAAGACCAATGACGTCAGTGAAATTTTGGTCACGAAACTTCCCAAAGCTCCGCTCTCAGCTGCTGACTTTTGATCTAATCTATCACATTTGTCATCACCCTCGCACCGACTACCTGACACACCTTGAGGGGATTCCAAATCGTAAGTAAAGTTCCGAAATCACAGCTCTCATATTTGTTCGACACCATGTGAAAACGGTCAGCGGCTGTGGGGACCAACGCAATCAACTACGGCTACGCGCGTCGTGTAGTGCAACCTTGGCTTGGGAAGCCTGACGACTAGTCGCCCGTCTTTAAAATGGACGACTGGTATTCCGATGATGAATTTTGCCACACGGATCAACACAATGGAACCGTCTTCAATTGAAAGCTTGATGCCCCGAGCGCCCAAGCAACCACGGGACCCTACTACAACCACCTGAGGGTGCGAAGAGCACAAATATTGTTGAAGCGACCACATGATGGCTTCTCTTGAGGCACACGAGGATTCGAGCGTCGTTGAAATTAGATGAGTAACAAGTTATTATCGCTCTCAACTTAGATGGATCTATCAATGCAGCCACTGCTAGGTCAGACACAGGCCATGATCCATCACTATTAAGCAGCGCTTCCCTGTCTGTGGATCATAATGCCGATCGCTCTGCGAGGAATTTGGATGAAAATCCAAAACCAGGGACACGGAAAGCGCCCGGGTTTCAAGTCGGTGGAGCGCCGTTTTGTCCCAGACTTGAGGACTAACAACGGTTTTCTCTGACTCTTAAGGCAAATCGTGCATGCATATCATCCCTCGCTATTCGATGAGTACGTTCTTCCCAACAAAGAATGGCTTCGACAGGAGACACGGCCCCTGCAAATGCCAAACAAACCTTACATATCCAACAGCCTTCCGTCTCTGACTCACCCGATGCCGAGCCTTCCGAAAAGAAGGTTGACCAGGAGCATCTGGCTCCGGAATCGGTGTCCCTATTGAGCGAGAGTTCACAGGAATCGAGGGAGGAAGCGAACCGGCTCTACGACGACCTCGAAGTGCTCCGGGCCGAGCGTGTTGTCTCCCATCAGCACCGAACTGAAGCCCGAGACCGTTCCAAGAACCGGAGCCGGACCGAGCAGATTGAAGATACATTCAACAGGGCGGCCACATCCAGCTCGTCCGTGCCGAGCACTCCTCCAAAGTCCACTTGGCTCACGCGACTCTGGAAGTCGGTTAAAAAGTTTCCTAGGGTGCTGCGCTATGTTGTCTACGCTATCCCTCCCGGCGTGGTTATTCTGGTCCCCATATTTCTGGATCTTTTTGCCTATAATCGTCAGGCTAGACCGGTTGGCGGCCCTGGAGGAGTCCGACTGCTCTGGTTTGGCATCTGGCTTGAAGTCGTTTGGCTCACACTATGGGCCTCACGGTTGATCACTGCGCTGCTTCCTTACATCATGGCCTTTGTCGCCGACACAGTTGGCTCAGCAAATCATAAGAAGTGGAGGGATATTGGAAAGCAGCTAGAGTTGCCCACTTCTCTCTTCATTTGGTTGCTCACAGTGTTGGTCTCATATCACCCCATCCTTGATGACCACCGGGTATGGAAGGATGGGGAGAAGGATACCGAAAAGCGGACTATTTTATGGCTTACTATTGTCTGGAAGATCATCATCGCCTTTTTCGTCCTTGTGACGCTCAATCTTGTCGAGAAGATCCTGATCAAATGGATCGCAAGCTCTTTTCATCTCCGGACATACTCACATCGCATCCGCGAGAACCAGATGCAAGTCGAGTTTTTGGTCACGCTTTACACCTACGCCAAAGCCAAGCTTACTGAAAAAGATTCGGTCTGGGATAACACCAACGCGGGTCACGTCTCCATCAAGCCTCCCTCCACAATGAAGACAATCCAAGAAAATGCCCGACACGTCATGCACAAGGTTGGAAACGCTGCTTCTCGAGTTGCGGGTGACTTTACAGGCCGTCGTCATCTTAAAGGCAACCACCCACGAAAGGTTGTGTTAGAGTTGCTTCGGAACACGGAGTCCAGCTACACGCTTGCTAGGGTGTTTTACCGGACATTTGTCCAGCCGGGCAGGACGACTATCACAGTCGAGGATCTGTACCCGGCTTTTGCCACCCAGGAGGATTCCGAGACTTGCTTTGGTGTCTTTGACAAGGACTTGAATGGCGACATATCGATGGAGGAGCTCGAGATGGTGTGCAACGAGATACATCTCGAGAAGAAGGCCATTGCCGCATCACTGAAGGATCTGGACTCGGTTATCAAGAAGCTTGATGAAGTCTTTATGTTTCTCATCGTCGTCATTGTTATTATTGTCTTCATCAGCATCATCTCCAACTCGGCTGCTGCAGCTCTCACCTCAACTGGGACTTTCGTACTCGGGTTGTCCTGGTTGCTACAAGCCACAGCCCAAGAATTTCTCCAGGTAAGCCTTTCTCTACCATTCGTCATAACCTCTACTAACCGCCCAGTCTATAATCTTCGTCTTTGTCAAACACCCCTTCGATGTAGGCGACCGCGTCACCATCTACGGCAACACCGGCTCTATGATGCGCGGCGACGACTACTACGTTGTCGAGGTCTCCCTGCTGTACACCGAGTTCAAGAAGATGCAAGGCCACGTCGTGCAAGCCCCCAACTCCATCCTCAACAACCTTTTTATTCTCAACCAGCGCCGCAGCCAAGGCCTGGCCGACCCAATCCCCCTCAAGCTCCGCTTCGGCACGACCGAGGCCCAGATTGAGGAGCTCAAGGCCCGCATGGTCGAGTTCTGTCTACAGAATAAGCGTGATTATGCGCCAAAGATTATTACAGAGGTGCAGACCATCGACGAGGTCAGCAGCATCACAGTCAACTTCGTTTATTTTCATAAAAGCAACTACCAGAATGAGCTGCTTCGCTTAACTAGACATAACCGGTTTGCGTGCGAACTCATGCGCAACATGAAAGATATGGGTCTCGAAACACCAAAAGTTGTCCAACCGGGCGGTATGCGCGACATGCCGCTTTACTGGGCGCAGGTACCGCCGCCGGCACCAGCTATGCATGATTGCTCTTCCCAGTCGCCGTCGGAGATGTTTGGCACGTTCCTCGGCACTGCAGGGTGCGGCCCGTCCCGCAGACGAGGCAGCCGTGCCGCGGTGGTGGAAGCGGGGATTGACTATCAGGATGTGTATCACAGCCGGAAGAAGGAGTGTGGGATGACGAGGTTACCGTCGATACGGCAGGCGCTGAGGGATGAGGAAGAGGAGGAGGATGGGGAGAGGCATGAGGGACCAAGGAGATATCTTGCGGCTGGATATGAGGAGCCGCAGAAGCATATGGAGAAGAGGTATAGTATTGATAGCTTGTCGTCGGGGACGACGCAAACGCAGAGGAGAAGAATGATGTGGCCGAGGAGGAGTGCCAGTCGGGGAGGGAATCAGGGGTCGATTAGCAATGCTGTGTAAAGGGGTAGGATGGCAGCGCTTGATACTTTTTTTGGATATCAACAAATTCTTTTTGGATACATGTCTCGAGAGATAGGCTAAGACAACAGGATTGGGCCTTAAGCATTTCCACAATCCAGACAAGTTCATCCCCGAACGGTGGCTGGGTGACCCCGGGTACGCGAATGATGTTCGCAGCGCAGCGCAGGCTTTCTCTTATGGCCCGCGCAACTGCGTTGGGAAGCCGTAGGTGCTGTTCTTTACCCCTCAGTTTCCAAGGTGGCTGGTTATAGTGGCTGACTACTATTGATGTAGGATGGCATATGCCCAAAATCGTCTTATCCTTGCCCGGTTGTTCTGGAAGTTTGGCCTTGAGCTGATGCCGGAAGGTCAGAGTTGGTGGGATGACCTGAAGTATTATACGCTTTGGCATGAAGGATCTATGTTGAAGCTCAAGCCAGTGGTGAGAAACTAGGAGACGTGACAACTTGGAAACCGTACACTGTGTATATCAACCATGGAAGTATGTACCCGAAGTTATCCCGGAGAATCTTCTCCGAAGTAAATTTATTTTTGCGACGGCATTCGAAAGATATAACACAGATTGTTTCCTTTGGGGAAGCGAGACCGATAACCTCTGAACTATGTGGCAGTGCAAGCTTCGTGAGGTTGGAAAATGGCTATCCAGGACCTGGAGTTAGGTCGTTGGATCCGAGTTCCAGATTTTGCAAAGTCCTGAACATGAAAAGCAGGGAGGGGCCCATTGAACCCAATCCGTTACGGCATTATCTGCTTCCCGGTCACATGCGCTGACAGGCACACCGTAAGTTTTGGGGCGGTTTAGCTTGAGGCTGTGCTCTTGGGGTCGCATTGAAACCGTTGGATGAGCTTGTCCGAACAGGATGACAATAAACCGGAGGGAGGAAAGGGTACCCGAGGGTCTAGGATTCGAGCAGGAAATCTGTGTGCTTGAATGTCAGTGATCTCCTGCTTCTGCTGGGATATGTCTCTGGTATCTCTTATCTCGGACTTACGAAATGTTACATTAAAGATGGGCTTCACTGATCCGATTTGAGAGGTAGGACTACTTGCTCAAGATGTAGGTAGGATCTTATTGATAGGGTGAGTTTGTGTAAGTTCAACCTCCAACAGCTAACGGTGTATCTCATTGAGAGGAACATATATTTTCCACTGAATGGCTCTAAGATATCTAGTTTCGATGGTCTGAACAAGCGAAGAAGGTATATGGGCAATAAGCTGAACCGTATTAATTCACTGTGAGAACTTCGGGAAAGAATCCACACCCATCACACACGGATGTCCTATAATCCTCAACCGTTGCTGGCCAATCATGACCAAGTAGTGATCGAATGACACAGGGTTAGAATTGGAAGCAGAAAAAACAAAAGGGCTGTGTCATCATACAAGAATCTGAAAGGTCAGGGACGAAGAACTTGCGTTGCCCCGCAGCAGCGTCCAGCAACCCAGCAAGTCGTCGGAGCCAAGCGACAACCTCCTCGTACTTTTTGGCGAGGCTTCTTCGAGATGTTGATTGGAACTACCCTTGAGGGCCGCACGCGCAAGAATTTCTGCCTTGCATCCAGGGTAAGTCCCGCGAACCCCGCAGCGTTTCACAGTTAAGTGCACTGCCAGACAGCCCTCGAAAACCTCTTCAACCGTCCAATGGCTCTTCACAATCAACCTTCAGGTTCTGGCTCGCTGGTTTCTGGCATTTATTGACACCAAAGTAAGTGGAGCGAGCCAGGACCACTAAATGGCACGCATGGAGGGCGTGGGTGATGGCTGAGGCGTGGGATTGAGGACGCGGGAGCACCATATCCTCCTCCAACAACAACAACAACCAAAAAATAAAGACGGCGTCCAACACAGTCCAGAACTCACCGTAAGTCTTGCGGTCTTGCCTGCTTTTAGCGGGCAACCAACGATACTGCGTCCAAGACTCCAATCCAGAACACTAACATGAAGTATATAAGCACTATGACTTCTCGTCTAGGATCCCCTAGGAGACCAAAGCTTCAAATCACTGCCGTCAATGGTTCTTTGGACTGTTCGTCGTGGCAGCGATCTCCGTTTTAAAACCTACGGCTCCACACCCGGCATGCAGAATTGTATTTCTCTCGACTCATGTCGCAAGAAGTACGGGATAGAGCCGAACTGCACAATTCGCGTGTCCGGCGATTGGAACAACCCCAGTATCCTTTCCATCAGCGACGTGTTAAGGGAGAATTCCCTGCGGATGCCGACGTGGCTGGCATTGGTGTAAGTGGTTGATAGCTCGTCTTCTAGATAGACTAACATCAGTCTCGAGTTTGGCTAACGACATATGACTAGGTTGTCTTGTCACTCACTGTTGTTACTGCCCTTGCAGTCTTTCTGACAGTTGCTCATCTTGTCTATAGAAGACTCAAACACGCGCAAAAATCCCCGCGGTCTGAGTATGTGTTGAGTCACTTGCATTGACAACAAATTGAACCTACCTGATCAGTATCAGCTCGACCAAAGAGCAGGAGCATGTCCTCGCAGTGATCGATATGATCGAGTCCCTAATACTGAATTGTAGCGACCAATTGATCGTCACAGGTGCGGCCTACGCAGTCGCTCTCCGGTTCTCTAAGGGTTGTGAGATCTCGAGCTATCATTATCACATTGTCTCCGGTCTGTTGGAAATGAGTCTGTTCAGTCATATGATGGCAGTTTTCGTCTGTCGGCGAATGTACTGAAGACGGCTCTCTGGGACTTTTGAGGCTCACGATGTCCCTATTCCTCTTCGTTGTGATCGGGTCGATGAACTATCTGCCACACAGCAATCTCGGTATGTCTGAGTTCACTTTGCATCCTGGGCAGCAGCTGGCAAAAGATAACGCAACAGACTTATTGGCTCTCCCCTCGTATACCGTCCGGCTGCTGCCCGCTACTTGCAGCTTATCCGGAATTTTTGTCGAAGGGTTCGACTACAGACTTGACTTCGACGCTGCGAACACAAGTGAAGCTTATGATATCGATGCGACATGGATTCTTGCAGGTCCTTTTGGGCTACAGTTGCTTTTGGTGATACCATTAGGCATTTTCCTCGTCAGTGCATTTGTCAGAAGTTCCAGCTGTGGCCTTTCAACTTATCTTATTTCCGAGAGTGAAGACATATTGCTTATTGAGTGGATTATTGGCGGAATTGTGCTGTTCTTTTTGATATGGATGCCCATCATGATCTTGGACATGTTTGAGCTCCGCAAAGAGATTCAAGACTCTAGATGGTAGGTCTCCTAGCTGTACTGTTTTTGCCATCATAACAGACGTAGGATGGAAACAAGCCCGCAGGGGCCAAATCTTGAAGACGAGGCGGCTACTTTTGGTCATCTGCCACCCTTGTTTTTCATGACCGTGACTGTGTTCAACATGGGTAGATTGGTAACTGGTATGTCTCCCCATTTTTGTATTTTGGATCTCTTATTTCATTCTTTATTTTATTTTTACTTTCTATTTTTATTTGTATTATTATTTCCATGCATAATTTGATCTTGTGCTGACCGAATTTGTTTAGGTTTTGTCTGATCAAAATATGGTCAGCAGGAAGGACTATAATCGCAATATCTTGAGGCACGGGAGAGCAAAGCAAGTACCTAGACAGCCACAACCATCTGAGATTAAAGATGGATTCACGCCATTGGGATAGACACTGGCTAGGAGATACAAGAGACAGTCAGGATACCCATATGCGGAGGATAGTGTAGCGGACGCCATAAAGCAAGTTTTGTCATTCTGAAGCTTTCAATCAAATGGGCTTGAGGGGTCTGTGGAGGCATAACCACGGGAGAGCAGCCAGGGAGCAAGCTTTCTCTCTACCCTCGCAAACTGTATGCAAAGTTAGTGAATAGACCCCGAGTAACTGCTGAATGTGATGCTTACGATGCTTTTTTGTTGTAACGGAACAACGCCATCCTTAACCCAAATGCCCCAACTGCCCATCATGTTGGCCAGCATCATGTCGGTAAATAGGCGGTCGCCGACAACAGCAATCTGATGAGGCCCAGTAACGCCAGTCTCAGGGTGCTGCTGGAAGTAGGCCAGGATTTCATCACCACAGCCAGGCTTCTTCACCGAATGAGGGAGGACATGGATGCCAGTAGCTTTTTCGACGGCAGCAGCAAGAGAGCCATCCCGGTCGTAGCTGGTAGCGCCAGCTGTGTTGGACACTATGAGAAGACAGCGACCAGGATAAGCAGCGCGCAAGACTTCAAAACGGTGCTTCTCGGGTCAGCATTTGACAGTGAACGGAGATCTTGTGTGAGATACCTGGTACGGCCCATAGACAGAGTTCTCTTCAGGATAAGAAAAACAGTCGTCCTTATCTAATACAATTGCTCTGATATCGACGGACTTTTCCCTTGCTGAAAACGCCTTGTTTAGGGGAATAGGCAGGTCATCAAAAGTTGCTACTGTCGCATGAGGGAGACAAAGTGATGGCTTCGCCAATAGCCGGAAAATGTTGAGGGAAGCCGACAAGTTCAGATTCAAGCTCATTTTGCAAAACCAGATCTGCTTCGAGCAATTCCAGTAACGAACAAAAAGTAAAGTTAGAAGCGATTGTAAACTGTCGGACAGATCCGTATAGAACAAAGAATCGAATTTGAGTCTTTGGCAGGAACACGAATGGTGAAATCTGAGTGGCTATGTCAACCCTGAAACTAGGGTTATGCACAGACACAAGTTCAACTACCTACCAGGCCCGACGCGTCCGTCGTCGCCAAGCGCGTTTCTATTAACCAGCGCCGAACTTTAGGGACCAGGACACTTCTCCGTTGCAACTTCATCATGAAACCATCTGGTCCCAAATTTTTTACCAAGCATAGGTAATAAGCAATGGTGCGAAGGAAAATTACAGGCGCTGTTGATGCGCTAGCACCACGGACCGACCATAAGTGCGAACGAGCAGTCGATCCCTACGATGTGCCCGACGACAACGCAGCCATAAAGAAGCGGCGACGGACCGCTAACGTCGATTTGAATGCCCAGAGCCCCATAATTAACGACGATGAGGTGGAAAATGACGAAAATGTACCTCAGCCAGAGTTAGAACCGACCCCTAGGAAGCGAAGGGGTCGACCACCCAAAGCTGCTCCAACAGTGACAAACGGTCAAGCCACGACTCATTCAGCGCAACGACAACGAACAGTGCAAGCAGTGACCCCGATAAAATCCAACGGCGTCGATACACCTAGTAGGCGGAGCATTGCCGACAGGTCGGCTCGCAAGAAGAGTGCTCGGGCGCTCATTGAGCGGGTTATGGGGGACGCAGTCAGCGACGACGAGCTTGAGGACAGGGATATTGCGCGGGAGATATACGAATCCAGCGAAGAGGAGCAGGAAGAAGAGGATGACGAGGAGCAGGAACAGGAGGAGGAGCAGGAGCCAGCAACGCCCTCAAATCGAGGGAGACCTGGGCGAAAGCCCAGGGCCCGAGCTCGAAAACGCTCCCCAACACCTCCGCGCGACCTCCCTCCCCACGAGCAATACTTCTACCAAAACAAGCCTGGGTTGACCAAGACATCGTCTAACACCCTCTCCTCGCTCAAGCTCCTCACCCACGAAGAATACTTCTCTCTCCTACCCAAGCTCAAAGACTCGCATGCAGCAGATGTTGACTTCCTACACTCCCTCCATGCTGAATCTTTCCCCCAGTGGGCCTTCGAGATGTCCCAGGGGTTTACACTATGCCTCTATGGTTACGGCTCTAAGCGTCGGCTCCTCCACAACTTTGCCTGTTACCTTAACTCTAATTATCCCAGCCCGAATCATCGTATTGTCATAATAAACGGCTACGTACGCACCCTCACAGCCCGCGATATCCTCACTACCCTCTTATCAGCACTCTCCCCAAACCCAGACTCAACCTCCGACCTCACCCCAACAATCTCAGCTCTCCTAAGCCAACTCTCCTCAACCCCCCTAACCCTAACCTTACTCATAAACTCCGTCGACTCCCCCTCCCTCCGAAAATCTGCCCTCCAATTCCTCTTCTGCACACTAGCTTGTCACCACTCACACAAAATTCGTCTCGCCCTCGCAGCCGACACACCCGATTTTTTCTTCCTCTGGGACGCCTCGGCCCGGGCCCAACTCAACCTTGCCTTCCACGACGCCACGACCTTTGCTCCCCGTGCACCCTGTGAGATCGACGTTGTCGACGAGGTGCACGAGCTCCTTGGTCGGAAGGCGAGACGCGTGGGGGGGAAAGAGGGTGTCATCTTCGTGCTGCGAAGTTTGCCCGAGAACGCGAGGAGTTTGTTTCGGTTGCTGGTCGGCGAGGTGTTGGTCGCTATGGAGGATGAGAGTAAGAATGGGGAAGAGGCTGCTGTGGAGTATCGGATGGTGTATCAGAAGGCTGTAGAAGAGTTCATTTGCAGTTCGGAGATGGCATTTAGGACTTTGTTGAAAGAGTATGTCACTCACTTTGTTGCAGCCTTGTTTTCGATACGTTTGGCTGACATAGGGCAGATTTCATGATCACCAGATCATTGCTAGTCACAAAGATGCTATTGGCACCGAGTTGCTAAGCCTCCCCTTTAGGAAGGAGGAGCTTGAGTCGATTCTTGAGGAGCTTACTGCATGATCATTTGTTTAGTTAAGCATGTCATGAACCAGAATACTATCGACCAGACAAGAGATGGATGTGCATGGTTCTTCGGCTTCTCCGCTTATACCTGGCTTGGTATGTGATAACGTATTAGTGACTCAGTATGTGTTGAGGCTCAGCAGTTGTACTCATGTTTTATTTCTCTATACAACGGACCTCCTAAACCAGCATGGCAAAACAACCCGAAGCCTGCTTGGGCAGGCTTCCAAGTGGCATGACAAGGGATTCGTTAGTCACATGATCATAGCCAACCGCAAGCCACTCGATGAGGTATTCAAGCGTTAATCAGGTACTATATCGTACCATGTTTCTCTGAAAGGCTGTGACCTCCATCGCTTGGACTTATGGCATAGCTACATTTTCCAGGTTGGCTTGAGGAAGTGACTTAGAATTCGGACACAGCCCTTTGTCCTGTTTTAGGTCCCCGTTACCTCATCTCCATGATCAAAGCTTGACCTAAGATATATCATCTTCCCTATTTTCCAAGATTTGGCAGTTCAGCAAATTAGGAACACATGGTGCAACATGCTATCACTGCTAAACTGAAGAAGAGTCAACCAGCATCAAGGTACAATGCTGCTTTTGCAAAAATGTGTATCCGAAAGGTTTAAGGAGGTCCATCAAAGCCCAAAGATTGATGAGCAATCGGCTTCGAGCCATGTAATCGAACCATGTAGATGACTAACCACGATGTTCTGCTTGATATTTGAGTATCTGTGAAAAGCTAACACTGGCAACGCTAGCATCATCTTGTCCACGGCTTAGGCGAGTACCCAAGAAAAAAATATGGAGAAGCGGGATGGCTCAAGGAAAGTGTTCTGGCGCCAGGAATTACTGCTATTAGACTTCCCATGGTTAAGGTGTGGACGTATGGCTACAACGCAACGCCGGCTGGACTTTTTCTTAATTTAAGCAGTCAGCCATCCCTATTCCAGCATTGCAATAGATTTACAGAAGAGCTTGATCATGCTTTCAGTAAACTTTCATTGATAAGTTCATCTCAAGCCTAATAGGGTGTTGTCATAGCCCCATGAACTCTTCCATTGTACTCAACAGCTAACAAGGAGAAGAATGACTCCAGACTTCCAACTATCTTCGTAAAACGCAGCCTAGGAGGCATTATTGCCAAAGAAGTACGGATATGTCGACTACCAATTGTTACATATTGCTAAAAGGTCTATCCCTAACAGGCAATGCAGCGATCAGAAGTCCTCTTTAAAGCAAATCTCATGGTTAGGTGCATCTTCTTTCGCACCCCACATCGCGGAAGCGAGAGGGCAATAGGGAGTTAATCTCAAGTTTGCTGTTTCCCCAGTGATTAAGCTCAACTATAAACTTATCAGTGCATTGCAAGTGGACAGTTGAATTCCGGATTACATCATGTCAATTCTTCAAAGTTTGTACGCAACCATAACATGTTACACACATTCGTGAAGGATGACCAATTCCTGAAATGAGCAACAAAGTGGGTGAACTGAGTGTTCTTGATTCACCTCTCCAGGCCATTGGGGTATCAAGTTGTTGATTGCATACTACGGATGTAGATTGTGAACAACTCAGCCAAATTTAGATTACCAGAAGAGACTGCCCAATATATGGATTCTGACCTAGGTAGGGACATGGTCAGATGCGTTAACAGGGACTAAAACCGGTGTGAAAACATTCGCAATATATCGTCGACATGGTTCTGCCTCATGGCCCAGGAACGGACCCAGGCAGCCAGTCCAGCCGAGATCGATGATCAAGCTCTTACCTTTTCCGACGACTGATTCTGACTTTGACTTCGAGCTCAGCTCTGGGAAAGAACAGAGCCCGGGCCCAAGTTACAAAGTAGCAGACTTCCGGCGTCGTGCAAAACAGGGGATCCGGATGGGTTGCCTCGCAGAGGGCAGGTGATTGGGCTGATATCAGTTAGCTCAGAGTTTGGACCTTCCTGAAGATGATGGCAACATCAATCTTGACGCTTTGCTCCTCCCCCCGCCCGCTCATAAGCTCACTGTAGATCCTTTTTTCCCAAAAATGCATAGTGATGAAGTGATGTTGACCATCTTTAAGACGGAAGGTCGGTGTTGCCACATTCCTCTTCCCAAGGATCCAAGCTCTGTTACATCAAAAGAACTCCATTTAAAGCTGTTCGTAGACGACGATCTGCCACGAGTCACCCTTTTTTAGACTGTCAGGCGTTGGGAGGACCCAACTCACCCTGCAGCTCTCCTATTGGGCACTGGAACAGTTGACACAGCACTCGATGACATGGCTTCGTCTGTCCGATTTGAAGCCGATATCAGGGTGATGACCGAAAAGCTTCACAATCAAGGTAGCAAAAAAGGCACAATAAAGCTTAAACAATCGATACACCAAAACTTGAGCTCTGAATAGTCTCATAAGTGGCTTTGATTGCGGATAGTGTCAACGACAAAAAGGAAATCGCGGAGTGTAATCTGAACAACTTGCCATGCAGCCCAACAGCTGGGCATTGCTCACATCAAGGTCCAGTCATCTCGCCTGGGAGCTTGCGGGTCATCATGGCATCATCAGTCTAGGAGAACTGAGCCAATCTAACGCCATGGGGCTTTTTCTGTCATGCCTGCCTCATGCAGTTAAGGATGATTCTGTAGCTGATCTACTTCTAAAGGAACTGAAATATTATCTGCCATACATCCAACAGCCGCCTTTATCGTCACAAATGACAACCCCTCTCAGTACCAATCTCAACCTGTTCCTCGACTCCGTCGATAACGCTCTCGCTCTTTTGGCAGAGGATATCTATGATCGATATGCTGGTTGTCAAGAGCACTCTTTTCTCCGAACCATGCTTGAGACACTCAACCAAACCAGCGAGTCCACTAGCCTTGAAAGCCAGCTTGCAGCTAAGTTGCTACTCTTGATATCTCACATCAGGAAGAAATGATACCACGAGCATTACCATCTGTTCCGGAACTTGGCTCTAGTGTCCAGCTAGTAGGTGCCATCGGAAGGCTATGCAGCTACAACTTTTTGACTAGGTATAGCGGCAGCACAGATAAGTTCCTCGGTGTTCATCCACTTGTCCACCTAGTGATGCAAAGATGGGCACAAGACTACAACAGCGCCGATGGGGCTTATGGTTGTAGTGTGAACTTGACAGTGCTCCGTGGTTAGTCAAAAACTCTCCCTTGGCCTTCATATTAGAATCTTAAAACATGGGCAACATTTCTGCTACATGCTTACAAAGCCTTGAAGCTGAATGGGATGGAGCTAAATGACGAGGCTACTACGTCCCGAGCTGTTCTGCTTTGAAAAGTCACCCTACATTTAAGAGGGGAACAGCATTACCAACAAGCGGTAAATTGGTTCAATGACGCTTGTGCTTGCTATCGCCAGCTTCGATTCCCTGGATACTATCCTGATCTTGATTTTGCAATGCCACTTTGCCGAGGTCTGCGATGAGCAGCCAACTTCATGAAGCAGTTGCATTAGCTCAACATGTTGTATCTCTTCGAGAAAGGAGACTTTCGCAAGACAATGCTCGCTTGCTGGCTGCGAAGTGTTGACGTTGCGTATGATGAGAGTGGGAAGTGCGAGCATGCAGTCAGACTTAATGAATCTATGACTCCCAAGCTTGAACGAAAATGGCAAGATGGCCATGAGCTTATCTTTGCACTCCAGGCAAACCTAAGGGAAGTTTCGACTATAAGTGGCAGACACGAAGAAGCGGTCAAGCTTGCAGAGCACGGTGTCACCCGTGTGCAAAAGGCCTTGACATATGACCCTGACCTCAGGCTCCTCAGAGTCCAAGAACGTCTGGCATTAGCGTATGTGGCAAGCTACTCTGAAAAAGCCGTCGGGTTCTTTGAGCAGCTTACTGCCAACTGCAAGAAAGTTGTTCATGACAACCCTCCTCGGTTACTGAAATCACAAACAGGGCTTGCAGTGACTCTGAAAAACAACAGGCGGATCAAAAAAGCAATTGAGCTCTTCGGGAAGGTCATACCAATACAGAAAGAAATATATAGTGAAAAAAAAACCATTACCTTTTGTCTTTGCACGCTGATCTGGCAAAGGCGTACTACCTCCACTGGACAGCTCAATGATATAGTTGACTTGCTAGAAGACACCCTTTCAGAGGTCTGGAAAAAATAAGAAGACTTTTACATGAACCAGATTCAGACTTACTTGTCACTTACATGGACGAGCTGGAGAAAAGAGAGAACCGCAAAGGTGCCATGCTAAAGAACAGGAAAAAAAGGGACTGATGAGTATGAACTATTACAAGCTTCCAGCAACCCAGCTTCAGGAGCTTAGACTGAAGAAAATGTGTCGCTTGGCTTGACATCAGAACACGGGCAGTTGACACAGTGGTTGCTTTAATAGATGGTCGGCTGAAGTTGCATTGTGAAATCTGTCGAATTGAATCAAGGATTGTTGGTCATACCTATTTTATCTGTGAAATACACGCTCGAATAACTTTTTTTTTCGGTCTCAAAAAGCCCCAGGATGAAGTCATCTGGGTAACGACTTCCAAATCGTTAAGGTGATCACGTGTTGAACTATAACAGGACTCGCACCGCATCTATCGGATGTAACAGATATCAGTCCTTCCAGAGATGACAGATCACATCTGCATATCACGGCATCATGTCACATTAGAACCAAGATTGTATATAACCAGTGATTTTTTTTGTTCGGACTCCTCAGTAAATAGTGTGGTCTCACGCCACGACAATGTGAACAAGGACCTCAAAGATGCCTGAGAACCCATACGCGCACTCCATCATCATTATGTGCGCCCTGTACTGCCGCCTTGCATGCCCTCCGCAGACGCCGGTGGTGATCCAGTTCAGTGCCAGAGATGCGACGAGTTCCGACGAATCATGAAAAAAAAAGTTCCGACGATTCAATCCGTCTTTTCATCGGAAGTCGTCCTAAGGGTATCTAAAGCAAATCATCCCGCTCCCTTCCCTTTCTATTTCCCCGTTTGGAAAGAAAAGAGAAAAGAGCCGCCTTCGAAGCCGAGTAAACAATCCCTCGACCATGCCGAAAGATAACCAGCCAAATCCCTGAGCTCTCTGGGAATGCCTCCTGAAATCCTTCCCTGTCCCTGAACCGCCCGGCCCGAAACCCTTTACTTGGCGAACCGACCAGAGAACCGAGAAATCCACTTTTGTCTATGTGTGTGATGTGCCATCAAGAGAGTTAACAGAAAAACCATGAAAAAACTGGAAAAATGAGAAAATGAGGCGAAAAGACCTGCGGCTTTCATGACCCTCATTTCTATGTAAACGCATCGAGCCCCCTCCGAAAAGCAGGCCAAGGGCGAAAACACATGATGGTCGTAAAGGGTTGATCCGCGATCCAGTCGTCAAAAAGTCGTCGTCTAGATCAAATCAACCAGGCCTGCGAAACCAAACCCATCTCCATGGTATGAGCGGGCGGCATCATGTTGTTGCCGACGTCCCAAATGGTGTGGTCTAAGGGTATCATAATCGTCGAAAGAGGTCCCTCTGTCTGTATCGTATGACAGGAAAAACCCGATCTATCGTCGTCAAAGCCGCTACGAACCTCATCTGAGGTTCTACTGGGGCCCCGTCGGAAATGATTAGTCATGTTCGCCGCCATTAGAAATTCCGAAGATGCCGAAGGAAAACCACGTGACTAATTTGTGGCGTGTGCGAAATATGATGTCGACACCGAAATAAAAAAAAGCGAAAAGAGCACATCGTGAGGGCAGAGGATGGAGGCGGAGCAAGGCTGATGATGGCGAGTGCTTACCACCAAGACTGGCCGCCAGAACCACCGGGGTTGCCGTAGCCACCGCCGTAGCCGCCGCCATAACCGCCATAACCACCACTCGGGGGGCCGCCATAACCGCCGCCATAGCCACCACCGTAGCCACCAGAGCTGTGGGAAGGACCACCGAAGCCGCCACCGCCACCGCCGTACTTGCGGAAGTCGGTCTGGCCACCACGACCACGGCCACGACCACCACCGCCGCCACGGCCACCACGGCCACCGCCGTACGAAGACTCGCGAGCAATAGTCTCAAGGAAGCTCGGGATCTCCTGGTTGGCCTCCTTGAGCAGGTCAATCAACTCACGAACGATGCCACGGTTGCCGCGGTTGAAGAAGGCCGTGGCAATACCCGTGTTGCCGGCACGGCCAGTACGACCGATACGATGGACGTAGTCATCGATATCGGTGGGCAGATCGTAGTTGATGACGTGGGTGACGTTGGGAATATCGAGACCACGAGCAGCGACAGCAGTAGCCACCAGTATGGGGCACTTGCCGTTGCGGAAGAGTTCGAGGGCACGCTCACGCTCGCGCTGGGTACGGTCACCGTGAATTGAGGTAGCCGGGAAGTTCTGGTTAATCAGGAAGTCGCAGAGCGAGTCGGCCATGCGCTTGGTCTCGACAAAGATGAGGGTCAGGCCACCAGTGTGGGTGTGCAAAATGTCGAGCAGGACAGAGCGCTTGTCAATATCCTCGACATACTCAATCTTCTGGGTGATGTTCTCAGAAGTGGAACCGACACGACCGACCGAGAGGAAGATGTAGTCGTGCAGGAAGTCCTGAGCGAGCATCTGGATGTCACGGGGGAAGGTGGCCGAGAACATTAGGGTCTGACGCTTGCCGGTGGGAGGCATGTCCTCACCCTGGACGATGCGCCGAATCTGGGGCTCGAAACCCATATCAAGCATGCGGTCGGCCTCGTCGAGAACCAGATACTTGATGTTGCAGAGCGAGATGCGGCCACGCTCAATCAGGTCGACCAGACGGCCGGGCGTGGCGACCAGGAGATCGCAACCGCGCTCGATCTGACGGAGCTGCGAGCCGATATCTGCACCACCGTAGACGACGCAGGGACGGACCCACGAGCGGTAGGCGAATTTGCGAGCCTCATCGTAGATCTGAGAGACCAGCTCACGAGTGGGGGCGAGGATCAGGGCCGTGGGGTAGGCCTTGCGCTGACGACCATAGCCACCGGGCTGGGCAGGGACAGGCGATGGGCCCTGGGTGAAGGACAAGTGCAGGATGGGGAAGAGGAAACCGCCAGTCTTGCCGGAACCGGTCTGGGCGCAGGCCATCAGGTCGCGGCCGTTAATGACAATGGGAATAGAGTATTTCTGGACCGGGGTGGGGATCTTATAGCGAGCCAGCTCGATATTGGACAGCAGATGCGGGTCCAGAGGCGGATTGCTGAAGGTAAGGACGGGCTCCGGGACATCGCGGCCGGAGGGAGTGACGGGAATGTCATCATACTTCTCAAAGTTGATGCCAGTATGCTGCTTGCTCGGATCGTCGGCGCTGCCGAAAAGCTCCCGCTCCAGGCGAGGATCGGGGTTACCAATGAGGTGCTTGCCGTCAACCCAGCGGCCCTCACCGCGGCCGAAGCCACCGCCCATGCCGCCGCCACCCGGGCCACGGTAGGCGTTGCGGTTGAAGCCGCCACCACGGCTGTTCCACGAGTCATAGTTGCCCCAGTTACGACCGGAATCGTAATTGTTGTTGCTATCGCGTGGTCAGCACGTGTTACGAGACAAAAATACGACGAATAAGCCGCAGGAGGGATAAAACATACTTAGCCCAGGCGCTGTTGTTCAAGCCGCTCATGGTGCTAGACGGGCCGCCGCCGACACTGGGGGTCGTAGCAGAGCCGTTGGCACCGGCCTGTTGTTGCTGTTGCTGTTGGGCCATCTTAGCCCGCAAGTGGGGAGGGATGTACGACCGCACGGCCGGCTGCTGAGCAGGAGCAGCGGGGGCCTGCGAGTCAAGGGAAAGCTTGTTCATGCCGTTGCTGAGTTGCTCCGCCATGTTTGTGATCGTAGCAGGCTCAACAAAGTGCTTGTCGGTCGAAGGGTCGAACGTCGCGCTGAAACGAAGATCGATAATGGATTGGTAATTTCCGGAACTCTCAAAAAGAACGCGGGGTGCCGTTCAAATGAGAGTGGGGTGGAAAACCGAAAGAAAAAAAGGCCGAAAAAGTCGTGGAGGGAAAAGAACGCGGAGGGAACTCAACCACAGGCGAAAAGAAACACCGTAGGCGAAGAACGAGAAGCGAAAAACCCAAGTTTTCCTCGCGTTCAAGGTCCACGATTAGTGTCTGGTATGAGTCGCGCTCGCCTCAATAAACAAATTATTATGAGGGAGCGTGTTTTATTTTTTTTTCCTGCGATCCTTTCGAAAACCCCAAATGCAGATCCTCAAAAGGAAAAAGGAAGGACAAATGTAATGGAAAGGTTTTGCGAATTTTGGGGGAATGGATTCGAAAATCCTCGGGAGGATTTGAGAGGTGTAGGCCTTGGGAAGAAGAAGAGAAAAATCGGGGGAGCAGCGGATGGGAGGGCGGGAAAGAAAAAGCGTTTTGGCAGGGACCCACTTTGCTTCCGGATCGGGCAAGGACCCACAGAGTAAGCCTCTCGCTGGCTGCTCACAGGCTGCCAGAAGCCGGGTGGCACTTGGTCCCCGGTCTTGAATTTTTTCTTGTCTGGGGCTGTGGCCACCCACACCCACGCGTTTTCTCCCTGGCGCTTGGTGCTGGGCCCGTGCTTCACTGGGCGGTGGGCCACTGGGCGCTGGCTGGGGGTCTTATGCTGCCAGCTCTGCCGTGGGATGAATCGCGGCAGGGGACAGAGACAAAATCTTGGGAAGCGCACGGCAAACGGCGAAGGCGAGATCTCGGGTTTCACTCGCCAAACCCCTCCTTCACTACGGTACTGTACAAATTACACTAGTGGCAATTTCGTCAGGTGAATGACACCTGTTTGTGGGCAGACGACACTTGCTGCATTGTCTTTTATCATTTTGATGTCCTATCTGTGGCCTTCACATGAATGTACAACCTAACCCGTTCAGCGCTCATCTGGGCAGCCCAGCAGTGATATTGGGGTGAATGGTGAGGGCAGCAAGGTTGCGGTCGGCCCGGTTTATCGGATGAGGATCACATATCAGGCAGGCTGCAGGAAGCAAATCACAAATGCACGTGGCGCTTGAGCAAGTTGAACAGCATCTGGGTAGCAAGATACGCGTTACCGCAACGATTGCTGCCGTTGCTTGCCGAAATCCCATCGTTTTCGGTATCATCAGACAGTTGCAAGTTTGTAAAAGGACACTGACATCGATGAAGACCACCCCGGTCACTATGTTTCGCCGCCTTGCAGATCGCTAACCATCGTCCTTCCCCCGCATCATTTCCACTGAAACAAATCTAGAAGGCGATATGATCCTTGAGTCAGGTTTACGGTTTGGTTGAGATAGTACCTAACATGGACACTCCGGCCACCAATTGCCACGGCCCCGGGAGTGGATGGATCCTGCATCCAAGTGCAATTGGGCGTTACTGACATGTTCACCGCCTGGATTGGGCAGGGGAGCTTTTAATTTGGCCAAGAAGTTTGGCATGCGTGTTTCCAATCAATGCCGCAAACCTTCCAGTTACTTTCAGCCTTCAGCCATGAAACCAACTGCCAGGTTAACCACAGGCATCACGATTCAGACGTTGTTTTGTTTGCCGAGCCTGCTGCCATTCCCTCATCCAACCCTGAAATCCGGGGTGGTGCGTTTGTACTGCGGCAGGTTCTTCTGCTGGGCGAGATCAGCGTTGCCGTTGATGCCAGCCGTCCCATTGGTTAGCATCCTACTTTGCATGTAATTTACGTCCTTTCTACATCTCACATCCTGGCTCGAGCTTCCGGCATTGAAGTCAACAAGAGTGTCTGTTTCGTGTTTCCTGACAAGATTGTAGGGTCTATGTTATTTGCCCTGCTCTTGGTCAGCGTGCTAGCGTGGCTACTCTCAATGTTCGTGCCATCGACTGCCACAGTTAAACCGAAGAACGGGCAGCGCAACGCGACCTCGAGACGTCGAAAAGGATTGGCATCAGCGTTTCGACTGATAATCAGTCTGATCGACCGAGTTCTGCCTGTGCAACGCGTGGGCAAGAACTGAAACGAAGACAGGGACAAAGACAACGGTAGGACCTCTAAACATACCCAATGCCCATCGCGCGCACGAAATTCCTATTGTGGCCAGGCATCATACTACACGTGTAGGAATCCCCGTGAGCCGCTGTAACCCAATTCCCAATCGATCACGCGCTCTTGACAATCCTATCATCGTCAAACGGCAGGTCCACAATTCCGTTCTTAGTCACTGCCTTGACCACTAGACCCTTGAAGTCTATAGGTAACCGCCTCTTCAGCTCGTCGGCGCACATATCGAGAAGCTTGCGTCCCTGATCGAGGTCAATATCGGGATGATGATGCTTGTCGAGGAGAGATAGGCAGTAATATCTGCAAACAAGTCAGCCTGACTCTTTCCTGAGCGTGTCCCTCGATCTACAAGCAACGTACTGTGCGTAACCGTGGGCGGCATAGGGCACCGGAGCCAGCGATGCCAGATAATCGATCCAGTAGAGACTGGGTTTGCCAGAAATGGGGTCGACGCCGCCGAGGAGCAGGTTGACAGAGTAAGGGTGCCGCGAGCGCAAGCTGGATGCTAGCTCACCGCGGACAAAGTGTGCGAGGGCTGCTGGAGAAAGGTCGGTCTCATTGCGCATTGAGTAGAGCTGGGAATTGGCCTGGATATATTCCGCGAATTGTACTGTCCATAATCAGCTAGATGGTCCGTCGCATCGTACATCCAGTCGACGAACCTGTGTCGCCTGCCTCTCCGGAGAACGCCAGCAGCGTATGCTTGTTCAACTGTCTTGTCTTATCATCGGTGGCCTTGAGAATGGTAGGTCCCCGCATGGCCGCTTTGGATGCAGCGATCAAGGTGAAATCCTTGCCCGTAATACCCAGAAGAACCTCCCTGGAGTTTGGTTAGCGGGGGTTCCATGATGTTGGCGCCGGCAGTGACCTACATTGTTGTAGTTTCTGACTATGTTTTAAGTGAGAGGTAAGTATGGAGTGTGGAGGATTCTCTTCGCTGTCGTTGTCGTCGGCGCTGTTGTTGGGCTGAGCAAGTATCAAGTCCCTGACCTTCAGACCTCACCAGCTTCGAGCTGCGGTTGGCAGCTGGCCCGCAGGCAGGCGACTTGACGCGCACTGGAGCTTCCGCCTGGATGGGGGACCCACAGCACTGTCAGCCTGCCCCACATCACCCCGCCGCTCGGGCCAACTGGCTAACGCTGGCCGCCTGGCCCCAGCCCTCCGTGGTGAGGCTGAAATTCGTGGCTCGCCAGCAGATCCAGCGGCAACGGCGCGCACAAGGACTGATCTTTGTAGTGTGGCAACGAATGCAAACTGAGGCTTGGCAGCCAAGCAATCGAGCAAATCGGCGTGTTTCTCCACCGATGCAAGGCCCGCAGGGGGGTCCGCCAGGCCAACTTTTTTCTTGGGCCCGCTTTGAAATTTTAAACAGACCAAAAGCAGCGCCGTCGAGAAGCGCCCACGACAGCGCAACGGCCGCCATTCCAGCCCGAAACAGCCACCATGTCGTCATTTTTCACTGCTCCAGCCTCAGAAAAGAAGAGGAAGCGTGCAGCCACTGCCGATGCGCCGAAAAAGCGGCTCGCAACCACCAAATCGTCATCAAAATCTGGGTCCAAGGCCCCCACCAAGGCCGCGGCTCCCGCATCCAAGAAGAAGGCCATTGAGCGCGATGAATCGATATCTGGCAGCGATCTCGACAGCGATCTGAGCGGCGATGACGAGTTCATCGAGCGGAGAAGTTCTGATGCCGGCTCGGGCGACGAGTCTGAGAAGGAAGGTGAGACGGCGGCCGAGAAGCGTTTGAGGCTGGCCCAGCGCTACCTTGAGAAAACGCGCAAGGAAGTCGAGCAGTTGGACGAATACGCCTTCGATGCCGAGGAGATCGATCGCGACCTACTCGCCGAGAGGCTCAAGGAGGATGTTGCCGAAGCTAAGGGCAAAGTATACCGCAGACTGGCCTCAGAGCTGGCCTTCGACAAAGCCACATACACTCAGTTTCGTTGGAACTCGGGCACCGTCACATCCGTCGCCGTGTGCCCTCCTTACGCCTACACAACGACAAAGGATGGTTACCTCACAAAGTGGAAGCTGCAGGATCTTCCCAAGAACCAGTGGCCCCAGACAACCAAGAAAAAGCCCAAAAAGCCCCCTGCGCCGCCGAAGAAGCGCCCCGAAAGGATATGCTTCGCCAAAGCTGACGCCCGAAAAGCCAACGACAAAACTTATCAAGGCCATCTCAAGGCCCCTCTCGTCGTCAAGGCCTCCCAAGACGGCAAATTCGTCGTAACCGGCGGTGCCGACAAGCGCCTGGTAGTCTACAACGCCGCTGACCTCAAGCCCATCAAAGCTTTCACACAACATCGCGACGCCGTAACAGGCCTTGCCTTCCGCCGTGGCACGAACCAACTTTATTCCTGCTCCAAGGACCGCACCGTCAAGGTTTGGTCTCTCGACGAGCTTGCCTACGTAGAGACCCTCTTCGGCCACCAAGACGAAATCCTTGACATCGATGCCCTCGGCCAAGAGCGCTGCGTCAGTGTCGGCGCGCGCGACCGGACCGCTCGCTATTGGAAGGTCCCTGAAGAATCTCAGCTTGTCTTCCGCGGCGGCGGCGAGGGCGGCAGCAGCAACACCAAGAAGCATAAGCTCCCTCCTGGGATGGATCCAGCCTCTGCCGCGCACGAGGGCAGCATGGACCGCGTGGCCATGATTGACGACGACATGTTCGTTACCGGCAGCGATAACGGTGACCTGGCGCTGTGGAGCATCCAGCGCAAGAAGCCTCTACACGTTATTGCTCGGGCACACGGTCTCGAGCCGCCGATTAAGTTGGAGGATTACTCTGCTGATGAGATTCCTGATCCGAGTATCATTCCTGCACCGCAGCCGCGGGGTATTACCGCGCTGCGGACGCTGCCTTATTCGGATTTGATCTTCAGCGGTAGCTGGGACGGTTGCATCAGGGTGTGGCGGTTGAGCGAGGACAAGCGGAAGCTTGAGGCTGTTGGCATCCTCGGCGTGGGCAGCGAGACCTGCGAAAACAGCACAAATATCTCTAACGGTGCAACTAGTAATGGCGAGTCCTCCTCCACATCCTCCTCCACAACCCTCGCTGCGCAATCCTCATCCTCATCCTCACCACCGCCTAGCCAACCTAAGGACCTAGTCCGCGGTATTGTAAACGACATCGCCCTCTTTGAGCGGGGCGAGCGTGGCCGCGATGGTCTGTGTGTGGTGGTCGTCACGGGCAAGGAGATGCGGTTCGGTAGGTGGAAGTACATGAAGGAGGGGCGTTGCGGAGCAGTGATTTTTGAGGTCCCTAAGGTGGAAAAGAAGAACAAGAGGAAGAATGAGGACAAGAAAGAGGAGGTTAATGGGGTTTATAAGGAGTAGTAATTGAGGGTTAAGATAAAAGCATTCGTGATGTTTCGTAGTCAATACCCCGGCGGGCATTGTCGTCTACTTAGGCAAGGCAAAAAACTTTTATATAAAGCTGTTCTAAGCTGGGATTGGGGTGGTGTTGGTGGGAGAGGATTTGTACGTCAGGCAATACAGATACACCGGGCGAAAAGCTTGCTGTTTCCAGATATCCGCTTTCTGAAGCTATGTGCAATGTTTCGGGATGAACTGCTGGAGGTCATCAATTTTCTCCCACCTTCTAGAACCCTCATAGCACGGCTGAAGTTCGTGCATCAGGGAAGAAGGGAGGGATGCCTCCTTTGCAACACCATCGACTAGCCAACGCAACATTGCATCAACCCTCCTTGAATCCAAATCAATATATATATATATGCTATCTTGCGCTCAAGTTTGCAACACCCACACATACATAGATACCTACACATCCATTCCGGCCCATCCATCCCTTTTGGAATGGCGGAAGAGTAAAAAAACGCACGTCCCAATGATGAGCAATAAAGTACAATACAGACAGATCTGACCGAACGACTCCAGGCCATGCCATGCAATGTGATAGGTACCGATGATTGCAGCAGTTATGATTTGAGGTATCCGATACGAGTCCGAACCTGAGCCGACCCAAAGCAAGCAAAGTTAACCGACCGACCAACCAAACGACTCCATGCCATCCATCCATATCACCCTTCCTGGATAATAGTACCTACCCCTGTGTAGGGGATAAACACTCTTTAGACCGACCGCCCTTTTCGCTCTTCCTAAGGAGAGGAGGGGTCCGAGATGGTGAGGGAACAATAGGATACTAGTAATAAAAGACAAATCAGGAAAGAGCTGTCCTGTCTCAAGTACCTGCCTTCAAGACCGGCCTTGAACATGGAAACAAAGAGCCCCGACGATGTCAAAGCTCAATCATCCTCCGTTAAATCAACAACATAAGAACCCCCCCTATTCTCCGACGTCGGCCCAACCGACCTCCTCGATGCGGCAGGGCGAATCAACTTCGCACTAACCACCTCCGGCTCAGTCTCATCCAAGACAAACTGACTCGTGACATGCCCGTAGCTCTTTTGAATCTGGTTTTGGCTCTGATTCGGGGTTGTAGTGGTGCCATTCACACTCTGCCTGCGACCAACTTCCTTAGGACTTGTTGCGGATTTCGTGGCTTGAGTGGGTTGAGGCTGCCTCTTCTTCCTTGTATTCGGACTCTCACACCCATGCCACCACTCGGACGGCGAAGCGTCGAGATTCAAGCTGCCATAGAACGATCTCGGAATAACTTCGAGTGGCCGGTTAGGTCTCTGAGACAAGGTGAGGGACGCTCGGCGGGCAGAACTTCCCTGCTTTGACGCTGACACTGGGGCAGGTGACGACGTTGGAATTTTGGAAATAAACTTCGGCTCAGGGGACCGCACAACCTCCATCTCATCAGACGGCTCCACCGATGGGAGGGGCTTATCCTCCACTGGGACCTGAGTTGGAGTAGTTGGGCGAGGGGGAAGCTTGGGCGGACTGCTAGGTTCAACGGACTGGCGTGTGCTGTGGGGAGCGGCGGGAGATAATTTGGCCTCGGATTCAGAGTCGCTAATCTCGTGGACCTCGACGCCTGGTCCGGGAGTAGCATTGGTGCTGGCAGGGCGTGAAGGTTCCGCAGCCGAGGAACAGGATTCTGACGAATACCTCCGGCTAGCATCGGCATCGTTACCGTTGACAGTAGGCGTGGTAGGGGCTGAAGCTGGAGGTTGAGAGGAGCTCAGAGAGTTAGAGCGAGACACCTTTTCGCCCAGCTGCTTGGCCTGATATTTTTCCTGCTCAAGGAGGATATTTTCGCGGAGAAGATACCGCATCTCGGAAGGATCAAAATCCCATTCCTTTCCATCCCTGCGAAGGAGTCTGGAGATGAACAAGTCAGGGTCCCGTGCAAACTGGAGGATGTACTCAATAACGTAGATGCCACAATCGTATACGTTGGACTGCGTCGGGATATTGACAGCCCGCATGCCGAGTTGCGCAGGCACCTCGGTGATGGTCTTGCCACGCTTGTGCTCGAACTCGGCGAGAAGATACTTCTTAAGCAAGTTAACGGCCGGGTAATGAGTTTTGCCCAAGGAATCGAGGGTGATAATCTTCGGCTCCTTGAAATCAAACCGCTTCCCCGCAGAACCCGACTTCTTGCCTTGCTCGGCCTTGGGGCTGGCAGTTAGATCAATCCTAACGGGCTTGGCGACGAGGTCGGAGACAGCGAGCTCAATGTCATCAGACTTTCCATGATCTGCAGAGCCGTTCCGGTCTGTGGCTGCCGCCTTCGAGGATTCCCCGATAACCTCCAAGTCCGACGAGCCAGCGTCGGCCTTCTTGTCCTCGGCCTTTCGAGCGTCGAGATCCAGTCTTCCGGGGTTGCAGATGATGGCAACCCACCAGTGGAAGTCCTCATTAACGGGAACAATGACGTAATCATAGGACAGCAGATCAACCTTGGCAGTCCAACTCTTCACCCCATCATAATTGATGCCGTTGCTGCCTTTGGGGGCCTTTTTGAGCTTGTCATAGAAGAAGGAGTTGTGCAGGTAGACCCTTGCATTCAGGTTGTCAATTTTGGAGTATGTGGCATAGATGTAGCGGAGGGCAAAGTTAACAATGTTGTCATTGAGAAACTGGCCTTCGTCAAGTCGCATGATGTCCTCTTTTTCGACAGTGGTCCGTTCATAGATAAGGGGGATCTTCCAGTTCTCCCACAGCTCTCGTTGCTTGGGACTCCAACGGCGGGGAGCTGGTTTCGGAGATACATCCAGTGACTGTGTTCTTGTAGCGCTTCTCAGGCTGCGAGTGGAGTATATGACAGACTCAGAGCGACGTTGTGGGGCAGGTGATTGTGTGGAAATCTGCATTTGCTCCCGGATCTTGTTTCGGGAAACCGAAGACTTGGAGACCTCGACGACATCGACTGAGTGGCGCCGAGCTTCCTGTGGTACAGGGGATTGAAAATGCTGGGATTGCTCCCCGGATTTGCGGGCAGATTCTTGCGCAGTATTTAGATCGATCTTTTTGTAGATAGATTCCAACTTTTCCCTACGACATGTTAGCAATTCTGCAAAGAGCTTCAGAGTAGGTTAGTGCTTACACATCAAGCTCCTCGACGGTGACACCAAGCTTCTCTTTGGCCCACTCAACAGCCTTCTGAGCCTCGGGGACAGTAAAGAAACGGATGACTAGAGGAGAAACGACCCGGACGCTGGGAGTTTGGTAATTCGATAGGTCGATTTTGACAATGCTGCTGGACGGATGATAAGAAATAGTCCTTGTCCTCTTAGTGATTCCAAGCCACTCCAGCTCCGTCGAATCGTCAAGGCCAATCTGGCCACGTAACTCGCTGTCGCGCAACCGCAGAGTGCACGCCTTAACGCTATCTCTGTACATGTAGCGGTGATCCGGGTTGCAAAGCGCAGACCGGACTCGAAGACCTTGAGAAAGGTTGGGCGATTTGGAGTTCCACTGGGTCGGAGTAATCTCGCCCCGGTGAGAAATACTTGGAGATTTTTTTTGTTCGTTTGGAGTCTTTGGGTCCATCTTTTGGCGCTTGGGCGAATCAGACTTTTTCTCGTCCTCGATCGCCTCACTGCTTGCGCGCTTCTTGGGTGGGTTGGGTTGGGTTCGAGAGCGGCACTTTCTGGGTGAAGCGCGATAACTAAGGATGTACCTGTCGGCAGCATCGTTGAAGCTGTTCTCTGGCCTTGTAACAACACGCGCCGGACGCTGCACACCGGAATGTTGTGGAGTAGAAAGTGTGAGCTCGTCAAGGTCGTCGTCTTCGATGGACTCCATAGATGAGAGCGGCCGAGTTAGGGATAATGGTGTAACAGGTACACGGAATCCACTTCCATTTGGGCGCTTCTGTTGATGCTTCTTTTCCCGCTTGAAGTCGAGACATGCGGTACTCTCCACGGACTTGAACTCCAGGAAGGAAGCATTCACCGGGTGCGAGTGGGAGTTAGATCGCGAAAGACTCTGCTGGCTCTCATGGCGACCCGCCCTCGAGGCCGTATCGCTATCGCTCTCGATTTCTTCCAGGGGCTTCTTGGGACTGTTGAGTTTGGCTCGTTTCGGCGGGCGGGGGTTGTCGAGGGGAGGAGCTCGCTCGGGGTTATTCGATCGGAACTTGGGGGGCTGACTGGGGCTGGAATTGAGGGTATTGACGTGGCGCTGAGGAGCTAAGTCCTTCTACTCTCAATCAGGACTCAGTTCATCTGGTTTCGAGTGCGACTTCCGCGACTCACCAAGAACCGACCAGGGTGTGGCATCCTGATTGCGCCCTTCACAGATCTACAGGAGAAAAGTCAGAGGAGCAAGGTTGCCCCGAGGCTGACAGAGGATGCATACCCATAATCTGGGAACGAATGTGCGGTTCGGTGGAAGTCGAGGGTACTTTTAATTCTGCAACTGTCAGCACTTTGCATCATGGCTGCGAGTTGCCTGGAGGTTGCTGGAGGAGGAGGAATTGGAGAAGGGGCAGCAGTTGGTTGCTGCGAGCTGGGTGAGGCAAAAGGAGGAAAAAAGGCGAGAAGGTCAAGGAAGTACCTTTGTGAGTTGAGGCTTTTGATACTCACATTCTCAGAGTCGGAGCCTAACGCACGCGAGGTTGCAGGACCTCTGTGAGAATTGGCCTCGCCCTCAGGCAGCGACTCTGATTTTGGTGACTTCGACTTGGAATTGGATCGCGGTTGAGTTTGGAGTGAACCTGAACATGCGTGTGGGTCTTGGCTCGCGTGGTGGGCCATCCTTTGTTCAGAATTGTGGGGCACACCCAGCGTTCGGACAACGTGTGATTAGCTGGACCTGGGGTGCGATAACAATGCCCCAGACATCTGTAAGGCACAGAAAGTTGTTGGACCTTCGCAGGGCTTCAATGTTTTCTAAAAATTTTCAGACTACTCTGCGAGAATTCAGCTACTGTCTTGACGGTGTTGAGGAGAGAGTCGGGGGAAAGTCAGCCTCCCTTCCTCGCCTTCCTACCGGCTTAATGTCACGCACGAGCCTGGCCCACTTGGCTCTCAATGAGCGGGAGCCAAGACCGGCCGTGATCAGCCCCAGCAAATCTTGGCATGCGTGAGCGCCCTTGCGTCGCAAAGACCCAGGCAGTTGGTTGCTGCTCACCCACTGGTAAACCACAGGCCAACGGAGATTTTCCCCACAAACAGTTGAGGAGTCATTTGCATACTTAACAGATGTAGATTCATGGGCCAGTATCTGAGGATATTGTAATTTTGACTCTTTGAGGGAATTTGGCAAGGAGTGATTATAGCCTGTTTTGTGGTCAACATGAAATTGATCTCAAGTGAATGCTAGTGGCAACAACCATCATGAGGATGTTGGGCATTGGATCGATGACAAAAACTGAAGACACGTCATATCTCTTCTATCTTACGCCTGCTGCAGTTTATACAATAATACTTGTACTGCACCCTAGTTTCCGACTACACTATAAGCCGGAAGAGCATGAGCACAGCTAAAGAAACTCATGCTGAGCGAACAGCTCATGAGCCACGGGATCCGGTACTGTATCTCCATGATCTATCCATAAAGAGCTTGAAGCATCCACTTTCCTTGACTCTGGACTAACATCTGATATATCACCATCCAGTCTCTATACTTCCTCAACATAGCCTCCATCACCCTCATCACCCCGTCCATCCGCCTCTTCCGTCTCGCCCTCCCTCCATCCAATACCCTCTCAGTACGTCTTCCCCTCCTCTCGAACTCCATATGCACCTAATAACCCCAACATATATAGTTTCTCCCCGGCCAATGGATCGACCTCTACGTCCCTCCCTCCGACCATATCCTCTTCAACAAACCCGGTGGCTTCACCATTACCTCGTCCCCTTCCCACGCAGCTGTTGCTTCCACTCCAGAAGACTACATCCTCCAGTCTGGTGCCAATGACAATGAACCCATGAAACCGTATAAATACATCGAACTAGCAATTCAACACGCCCCAGACAACCCCGTCGCAGTGTACCTCTTCCGTCCTGTCTCACAGCTCCTCAACACAGAAGTGACTGTCCGCGTAGGAGGGAGCTTTGTCTTCCCCCCTGCTGGGGACATTCCCTTCAAAATAGTGGTATTTGTCGCCTCGGGGATGGGAATTAATCCGTTAATAAGTATGATGAGCTGGCTTGGAGAGCAGGGCAAAGACTCAAGGTGGAGAGGGTTGGAGGTGAGGGTTTTGTATGGGGCTAGGGTGTCGAGGGATGCGTGGTCCCAAGAGGCTGTCGGCGCCGAAATGGCTCTTAGGCCAGCAAATAGCCTCCTCGACCCCTGCAAAATCCCTTTTCTTCCTCGTATAGCAAAGCTCTTTTCGTCTGGCAAGCTGCAGGGACAAGTCACTCTTTTCTTAACCGGCCTCAACTCTGCCAGCAACCCAACTGGGGATGTCATCCCCTGTGAAAACTTGGAAATAGCCTACCTTCGGCGGCGTATGACACTCACTGATGTCCAAGCAGCCATTGGCGAAAAAAAGGGTCAGGATAACTCCGTCGTTTATGTCTGTGGTGTGCCAGTCATGACAGACGAGTTCGTTGGTCGGTTAGCCGCGCCAGAGCCGGAAGGCTTTGGAATGGACAAGCGAAGGGTTTTGTTTGAGAAATGGTGGTGACTTGATGTGTAGAGCGGTCAAGGGCACGGGTCGTGGTTCACAAAGTACAATTAAAATATACTAGTTACTTTACCTAGAAAATCAGCTCATCGCTTACATTAGGGTCATACACTCATTAACCCTCTACCCGCACGAATCCCCTCTGTTATCGGCCATACAAAAAAAATACAATCATTACCCTCCATGCTCATTCCCGTCAACCCTCCTTCTCTTCTCCTCCTTTCTTTCCCAAGTCCATACTCAACACCCTCCCCGCCAACTTCCTAGGCGACGCAGATGCAATCCTCCTAAGCGAATTAAACAACGGCCGCTTCTCTTTGATGCTAATCTCCTCGACCCTGATAGTCGAAAACCGCCGCAGAGGCTTCCCCTTTGGAGCGGGGGACGGACTCTCGGCTCTCATATCTGTGACAGTCAGCTCGCCAAACGCCAGGCTGACGTTGCTGTTGGTAGTTTCTTCCTCCACGACAAGCTTCTTCGCTTGCCCCAGGAGGAAGTCGCTTGGGAGAGATTTCCTAGGGCTGAATAAACCGAGCCGTCTACTGAATAGTAAGGGTTTCCTCCCTAGCTTAGTCTTATATGGCGTAGAAGATGGTGATGGAGTCACCGGCGGCTCCATAGCCGAGTATGGAACAGGTGACGGTGATGGAGAGTCGAACATAGCCAGTTCTCTCTCCAACCCGCTGCCGGTGGTAGGCAGGTAACAGGTAGGCGGTGCTGGAAAAGGTTTCTCTTCCATATCAGAAATGTTAGACATTCTCTCATCGTCGCCGAAACTGGACTGCGAAGACTTTTCATAGTCAGAAAAAGAGTAATCCATCGGAAGACCTCCCTTGCGCTCAGGCTGTGGCGGACGAAGTTCTACCTCCCTCACAGCTGACACTGTCAACTGTGTAGCACTGCTGCTACTTGAACTCGGCTCCGATCCCGACGCAGCAACTTTGACCAGCTTCGCGATACCCACTTCAGCCTTCTCCAAATCCAGTGTCCCCTCCTCCATGCATCTCAGCAGCGAAGGGGTAATCGACACAGCATTCGACTCCATGGATGTGGCTGAGGGCTTCCGGCGTAGGTCTGCGGCAACCTTAACAGATGGGGGATTCAGACCCGTCGAGTTCACTCCAGCTTCCACAGGCAACTCGGGTAGTGGGCGCGACTGGTAGGGGGCGCGCTGGCTGTCGCGCAGCAGTTTGCTTGGCTGAGGCAATTTCTCGCTAGATGGAGCCATGGCTCGGAAGCGCTCGGGTGGGCTGTTGAGGAAAGCAAAGGGGGATTCTTTGGACCTGTTGGACTTGGTCTTCTTGGAATGGTCGTCAAAGACGCATTCGTCTGAGTCAGTGGCGGAGCAGAGAGAATCGTCGGAGTCAGAGTCGCTGAAAGCTGGAGATGTAGGCTTCTCGATCTTGCCCGTTGAAGCAGCTGTCCGAAGTGCCTTCGGCGAGACAGCAAGTAACAGCTCCCACTCGCTGGACGGGATCAAGTTGAGAGACTTAAGGTTCCTCCATGATCTGTAATGCATTCTGAACTTTGCGAACGGCTCATCCTTCGGATCAATAAGCAGCCAGTCATAGAAAAAGGCATTCTGCGGCTTATCCAACAGGCCAATACTTGGAGCCGCAATGCCGTAGTTGTCTCGGAACCGAAATGTTTCGAGCTTTGGGGTGCGAGCGCGACGATCTTTTGCCCGGAAGACTTGCACTTCGATGAGACCTCCGTCCTCAGCCACCGATTTGAACTCCTCGCCGGGGAGGAAGACAAAGCTGCGCTTTTCGAAGCCAACCAGGCCACGATATCGGTCATCGGACGGCAGCCATAGAGACTTGATCACTTTACCGTAGGGACGAGAATGGGGATCAATGCCCCATGAGACCATGGGCCGGGCATTGATGTAGAGTCGGAAGAAGAGGTACTTGCATGGTTCAGGCGGGACTTGACTAATTTTGTAATTGATGGTAAATGGGGTTCCTGCAAGTGTTAGTATGTTAGACCAATGGATAAGTGACATGGCACTTACCTGGAACTGAAGGAAGATAAACCGATACCAACGGGTTGGCCTTGCGAGGAGAGAACGAAGACGGCGGAGTAATCGCAGAGTTACTCAGGTTGCTGGCCAAAGAGGGACTCCTGATGAGATGCTGCCCGCAGATGACCCGAGCTGAAGTGCCTTCGGGATGCGGATACTCGGGAATTTTCTCGTTATCTGGCCTCGTGGTCAGAAAGACCTCAATGCCGCGCAAACACGGCATCTTGGCCGAAAGAGCGACTAAGGACCTGGGTGAGACTGATCAAGGGTCAAAAGAGAGTAGAAGTCGAAAAGAACGGAAAATTAGTAAAGAATGGAATTGGGTAATGGCCCAAGCAATTCACAATTTGTCGTCGCGGGCAACAAAGTGCTCAAAACTCAAGTTGGGACGACGCTGAGGCGGGGTGAAATTGAAAACAGGAAAGGGAAAGCGCTCAACACTCAACATCGCCTGATCATGCCTTCTCACGGAGGGACAAGGCTGTATTGACCCGTAATTTTTAAAATCAATTCATTTTTCGAGTTAATCACTGTGAAGTCAGCATACAACACATCTTCATCCATTGTTGCGTCGCCGTGGCACAATGCTGGCATAAAGTACTTGTCCAAGCCGTTATGTCACGTCACGATGGAGTTTGGCTGTTGTTTGCCTGCCTCTACCTTTGCCTCTACCTTCTGCAAGGGTAGAGACGACCAGTATGCGGATATACACAAATAGAGACGTCTCTGGGTTGTTGATGTGTCACTATTCCCCCCGTCTAACTCTGCCCAAGCACCTTCTTTGTGTCCTCCTCCTTGTTTAGAAGCCCCAGATTCCGTATTTGACCAGCAGTCGGCGGGTTCTCTTGCAGCTTCTTGGCCTCGGCCTCGCGGTAGGCGGCCTGCAGCGCCCGCACCCTGGCAGCCTGGAGTTAAGTCAGCGGCCGTAGTCGTTGAGGGTCATAGATTATCGGAGCGGTATGTCTGTATTGACGCACCTCTTTCCGGTGGTGCAGGCACTCGTAGTAATCTTCCATGACGGGGATGCACTTATTCTTGCCGTCGGGGTTGTCTTCCGAGCTGTTGGTCACATAGCAAGCTAGCAGCTCCTGCCAGAATGGAAAGCAACGAGATGGGCCTGGGACGTCAGCATCATGATGAAAGAGATAGAGGGGCAGCGAGGTTTGCGCTGGTGTGCTGCGAGCCATTGGGCCGCCGACGCCGTATCCTGGACGTACCTCCGTTCAAGCCGTAACCGGACGCCATGGTGGGCTATGCAGAGGCTTGGTGTGCGGATGCAAGCTGCTCAAGGTGTCTTGACTCTCGGGTGTCGTCGGCGATGATGCGGTTGATGCGCGATCTTGGCTCTGAAGCTCTGGAGTCCTTCCAAGCCACACCAGCCACAGCAGGTCGCGCCACAGATTCAACCACAATGTTCAACCTAACTTTCATCGATCCGTCTACTGTTGAAGTCTCATTCTTGGTACAAGTCTCAAGACAATTCATCTTCGTTTTTGTTTATTTTTGATAACGATTCTTCAGATATTATTAGAATTTAAGTAGCCAATGCTGACGAGTAGACCTGTGTTCAGGTTTTAAGGGTACGGAAGGCACAGAATCTTAACGATCTCGCGTCTAGCCCTCACAATCCCTTAAGGAGCCAAACTGTAGCTTCTTGTGTGAACGGGCTAGCAATAAGAATTGGTGAACTTGGGCCAATCTCTGTATGTTAGAGCAATTCTTCAGTTTAAAGGCATTCTACTCTCATCTCATACCGCTTCCATCGTCTTTTTCCTCATCGCGAACGTCTGCGAATCAAGAACCCCAAGACCTTGAACCTCTAGCCAAAGTCTTGGCAAATCTTGGCAGACGCACTTGGGCCCAATCCTGCAACCGGGTGCTCCACCGCTCACTTGGTGTCAACTGTCACCTTTTGAGTGAACTTCCTGTCCATCACGGTTCTCGGTTTCTCGAGACGACAACATCCACCCAATGCCATGAAGCCGGATTTCCGAGTTCACCAATAGACACGCAGTGACCGCGACCGCGACCATGGTGAACCTGTCCCCCGCCAAGCTCGTCCTGCTGGCCGCGCACTACGCCGTCGAGGCCAACATCCCCGGCCTAACTGTCCTCGCCACCCGGCATGGCAACGTCCTGCGCTCCGACCTGCTGCTGCGCATCTTGCTGACCTACCTGCCCGAGACGCTGCCGTCGAGCAAATATGTCGACCTAATTCGTCAGATCGAGACTCGATCTTTTCCCGACCTTTCCGACGATGTCGTCGACCCTTCCCCTGTGGAGGGGTTTACTGAGCAAGAGGCCAAGAAGAGGGTCAGAAAACTGAAGTTGCTGCCATTGACGGCGCCTGAGGGACTGGAGGAGGCTGGGTTGGACTGTATGACTTTGTTTTATTGCGGAGGGCAATCAAGGTGGATGAAGAGACTGGCATGCTGCCGGAGCTGCCGGCCCTCCTACTGCCATTCGTCGACCATGCACCTTGCATCCGGACGCTTTTGGTGTCGAGCATTTTGCCACTGATCAGGAGGAACTGCGAATACTACCCTCAGGACACAATACCATACACTTTGCAAGTTTTCCGTGGGTTGCCAGATGAGGTTGCCGCCAGCCTGCTGCTGTCACAGACCGGCGTCCGCGAGGGCGACCTGCATCTCGTTGGACGGGATCTCAGGGGGCTCATATCCCCTTGGTTGTTTGATGAGAGGAGATGGAGGAAGGCTGGCTCAAACCAGGAGAGCACAGAACTCTGCCCTGGCTGGGGCGAGGTCCTGCACTGGTTGACCATTCAGGCATCCAAGGACTGGAAGGTCGCCGTGAGCGCATTTCAGCGTTGGGACGGGCCTCGGGATGCTGACCTCGCGGGATGGGGCTCTCCTCAGCTGACCGATGACCAGCGCGCATACCTTGAGGAGGGTTATGCGCGTGCTGCGTTGGCATCAGCCTACCTTATCCCTGAAGCGACCCTTGAGGCTCTCGATGGGGCTTACATCCTCCTCTCTCGCGCAGCAACCCTGCACAACCTGGAGCCAGTTCCGCCTCTATCGTCGGCAGTGTCTCTGCTCCCTCCTCTGACGGAGCAAATACCCAACGAACTTATGTCTGCGCGCAACCTACTCTACAGTCGCAACGACCTGCTTAGCACATCAAACCCCCTTACTGCGCCTACGGACGGGTCAGTAGCGCTGCTACAAGCTCTTGTGCTCAGCGCACACCTGCTTTCCAAGGCAGGCTGCCCTTGTACAGTGCGGAGAGCTGCAGAGCTAGCGCTACTGCAGGACGAGAGGGAGCAGAAGAAGGGGGTATTGAGCTTAATCCGGGCAATCAGCATGAATGGCCCCAAGTCAGACGACAGGTACTGGATCAAGGCTAGGAACGAGATGCTCTGGCTTCGTGACTGGGGAGCTGAAGATGGTTGGGGAGCAGCGGAGACGGCCCCGAGGGGTGTATTTGGGCAGGTTAAGAAGGAATTCTTGGAGGTTGAGTTTTTGAAGGCGCTGCTGGCCAGCACGAGTAAGTGGGTTTGGTCTATCTCCTACAACATCAATGCTAACTTCTCAGGGTACAACCTCGCTTGTAACATCTATGAGGAATCTCCAGACCGTCCTCTGGACGAGAAGACACTCCATGATACCATCTATGCCACTGCCATGGCCGCCTACGACAACTCTTCGAATCCCAACCGCCATCGCGGTGGTCTAAAGAAGTGTGACGAAATGTAAGTTCGTTAATCTATCAATTCTGGAATCAGGGTCTAACCCTCACAGAATCAAATCCTTCCCAAAGACCTTCCCCCCATCGTCCCTCTCCGCAAAAAAGGTTGAAGCTCTCCTACAAGCAACCCATTCCCTAAGTGACTACCGCCTCGTCCTCAAGCAAGGCGAGCCCTTCACCCCCGTCGTCCTCCGTGTCCACACAGACCCCATCTTCATCATCGCCAAAATCCTCGAGCAAAACCCCAAGTCCTACACCCAACTCCACACCCTCCTCGATCTCGGCAACCGCATGGTCGAAGCAGGCCTTACCGCCCCTAAAACCCCCTCCCCATCGCAACCCATCCCCGATGAAGCCTCCCAACGCGCCCTCACCGAGCGAAGAATCATTTCTCTCTGCATTGACGCCGCCCTGTCAGAAGATGACTTTGAGACCGCCTACTCATACGTCATCAACCGTCTTTCTACTCCACCCCTCGTCCAAATCGAAGATAATTACTCCTGGAAGGCTGCCCTTGAAGCAGGGAAGTACCGGCGAACATCCCGCACCACGCTGCCCACGCATCTGGGTATGTCCTCTAGCGCGAACGTGGCGGTGCGGCATCTCGAGCAGAGGATCGATTGCCTGGCTACCGCGTTGCGCATCGCGCCCGCGGCGACCTTGCAAGAGATATTAAGTGCTTTTCGCCTGGCTGAGGAAGAACTTGACGCCTTGGTCAAGGAAGAGCAGGCGAAAGAAGAGGAGTGGGACGCCAAGGGGGATGCGTTCCGTTCCCGCTCAGCCACTAAGTACAAACCCCCTCCCTCAGCTTCCTCGACCCGCTCAGCTCAACTCTCCAACACCGCACGACACCGTTCCACAGACGACGACGACTCCACAGCCCCAATGTCCCTCTTCGACCTCTCTCGCGCCTCAATGCTCTCTGCCCAACGCAACCTCTCCGCCTTGTCGGGTCTCCAACGCGCAGCCACCAGCTTAGCAGGTACACTCACGTCTAGCGGACGGAACTCCCCCGCCCCGGCACGCGATACTGACAGTCCCAGGGGTAGTCTGGATGTTGGGGCTGCTATGCAGAAGCAGATGTCTAATGCGAGCGCTACTTCAGGGGGGAGTGAGTCCGGAGGAGGGCAGCAGCAGAAGAGGGTGAGGAAGAGGGATCAGTTGAGGGAGGCGGCGGTGGGGACGTTGGTGTCGGGGGTTGGGTGGTTGGTAGGGGCGACTCCTCCGCCGAGGGAGCAGAGGGATTGGTGAGGTGCTCTGATTTTGCTCACAGGCAGGAAAGTTCCTAGGAAGGATGGCAGTGTATACCCTTTGCTGAAGCAAGTAGACTTCGCGTTGTAGAAGTGATTTTAATACCAGCACTGCATGTTTCCATTCTATGACTGATGAAATAGCTCTGCCGTGTACCCAAGAAGCCTCTCCAACGTCGAGGTGTCATTCATCAAACTCTCAGTCAGAGGTGCAGACCGATCTACCTAGTCAACACCGGAATGTTATTAAGATCCTCTGCCAGAAATCACCAGTCAACCACCGCTTAGTCTATCAATGTCTGCTAGAATTGATCAGTCTCTGAAGCATTACCCCTGACTCCATGCGGTACAGAATCCCAACCTCTAACCCAATACAAGGACCAACATTATATAGTCGTAGCAGTACAGTCCCTCCCCTTACTCAGAATCCGACTCTCCCTCCATGCCCAACAACGTCTTATCCACGTCATCCAGCTCATCCTCTCCCTCACCATCTCCCTCTCCCTCGCCATCCCCCTCCGCTTCCCCATTCTCTTCACCTCCCTCATCATCATCCCCGTCACCCAATCCAAGCAATTCCTTATCAACCTCATCCAACTCATCCGCATCATCCATCTGCGTATCAGCGTCCCCATCACCATTCTCTCCGTCGCCGGCCTGCTCATCATCCTCCTCCCTCACCCCATTACTGCTCGGCGCAGCGGGCTCCTGACTAGCCAGCTTCTTACCGGCAGCCTTCAACAAAGCCTGCTGCTGCGCAAACAGCCTCATTTGTGCCTGTCGCAACAACATCTCGCTCTCATCCTCTGTCTCAGCGGGGTCAACCTGCTTCTCTTCTTCCTCGACAGGCTTCTTCTTGGGACGCTTAATCGGCGCGATGACGCCCAGCGGAGGGCCTTCGTGATTCTCCCAGCGGTTAAGTCTCCTGGAAGCCCGGCGCAGCGCGGCAGCATATGAGCTGAACTCCTCGCCGAAATCGTCCGGTTCGTCCTTGAGCTGGCACAGCCCACCGTAGCCGCGCTCGCGAAGGCGCTTGGCATCGGGAAGGTTGCCGCCATTAGCGAGGTAGTGCCGGTTGTGGACGATGACGTCCTCGCTCTCGGAGTCGTCGAAGGGGTCGGGCATCTCCGCGACACGCTTAAGGGCACGGTAGATGGAACCGTCGACGCGGCGCTGCTTACGCGCACGATGATGTGTACGCCGGATGCCTCGGTCGAGGATGTACTCGACACGCTCGGTGCGGTTGCGTTCAACGGCAAGTTGGTGAGCAGTGAGTGGACGGGGCTTGCGCGCTGGGACGCCCTCAACAGCACGGTCGCCGGCCGGTGATGAGTTCTCAACAAGCTGGTACTTAAGCGAGTGAGGACCACGGCGGGCAGCGCTACCAAATAGGCTGCCACGGCCCAGGGCTCGGGGAGGGGGAGTCGACCTGATACTATCGAGGTCGCTGTCGTTCTTGGAAGGCCGGATGCGTGGGAGGATACTCCCTCCAGCCAAGACATCCTCCAGAGCGTATGGGCGATGGCCACGACCGCCGCGCTTCGACTGCGTCTCGGCCAGGAATGCCTGGTCAGCCTCGATGATCTTGGCACGCATCTTTTGCTTCGCATAACCGAACTCGATCTCTTCAGGAGTGTCGACGTTCTCGCGGGCCTCTTCCTCAGGTGTCATAGGAATGAGATCGGGGACACCCTGGTTGGCAACACCGACGCCATAGTCGATACCAGGACCAAATGGATTCTCCTCACAACCCTCCTCGGTAAAGTCAGACTCGAGGTAAAACCACATCAGCCACAAGAAGGCCCGGGCGCGGCTCTTGCTGGACAGGTTTGTCTTCATAATGAGGTCGTTGAACTCGAGACCGGGAGGGAAGTGCAGTTCGGCAATCTTGACGGCTGACTGGCAGATGAGGAAGATGAGGTTGACAGGGTTCGTGCGGGGAATATCGAGGGATTTGAGCTCGTCGAGGGTTGCTGGCTCAGGACGGTCCTCGCAGCAGCCCTTCAAGATGGACTTTAAACGAGGAGCATCCTGCAGCTGCTTATAGGCATGGGGATCCTGACGGGCTTGCAGCGACGGGATAGCGTGGTAGGTGCGCAGCTGGGCACGCATCTCGGGGAAGAAGTTAAGAGTGGTGTTCATGCGACCGATGTTGACCAGCAGACAAACCATGGCCATACCCTTTGCGGCATCGCGATCACTAAGCAGCTTGTCGCGAAGGACCTTGCTGGTCTTGGAGCTGCGGCTCATCGTGTCGATGTACAGGTCTGCAAAGCATTGCTTGCCCAGCCGATCGGGTTCGTAGCTGTTGGTGAAGACTTTGGTCTCGTCGTCGAAGACGGCACGCAGGAAGTCGTACTGGATGTCCTTGCGCCATAGCGGCTCGCCGTCCTCCTTCTTGAGATGTTTGATCTTGTTGCCGATGGTTGGGGGGTTGTACGAGTCGTCTCGCCCGCGTTTCTTGCCGCGCGAACGATGCTCGACGGGCTCGGGAGTGTCCATCATGCGGGTGTCATCGTCCTCGGTGTATGCGGTCATAAAGGATTTCTCGTGGCGGACGGGTGAGCTGGGGGCGTCCATGTCGGACATGAGGGCGGCGCTGCTGGGGGATGCCATGGCGGGCGGCGTGCGGGAGGGCCTTAAGGGTATTTATCGTCACGCGGCGGGTTGGCTGGATGATGGGATGGAAGCAGGGCAGCAGGGAGATGGCTATAGCTGACGCTGAGCCCCGACGCACTGAGCGGCTTCCGTTTGGCTGTTTCAAAGAACGTTGCGCATGTGCATGGATCAGCTGTGGCCGGTGGCCTGTCCAGGTGTGGCCGCACACAGTAACAGTTACGAGTTACGGATGCCGCTTGCGGTTGTGGTAATAAGTAATGGATGTAAAATGTACCTATGGATGGCGTGTTGGTCCCCGTCGTGGCGCTCGACCGGTCGGTTATCCGTTGTCGTGCTGATGCCGACTGCGACTGCTGCAAGCGATTAGGGTTCGAGACGACGGCGATGGCGATGGAGTAATTACCAAATGCCGGTTGCGGGCGCGTGACTCGAAAATTATTTCAAACAATTATTCTTTGTTATGGCCGGCAGTCGCACGTCGGGCTGTACTGGGATGGGGGGCAAGTCGGCCGTGATTGCTTGGAAGAAGGAAAGAAATGGGCAGTGAAAACTGAAAGCTCGGATCGAGGCGGATGCCTGCCGCACTCTCGCAGCTGCAATCTCGCGCAGCACGCAGGAGGTAGGTGCTGGCCCAGAACTCTTCGACTCCAGGCGCCAGGAGCGATACCACCGCGTCGCAGGCGTTGCCAATTTACGCGGTGGACCCTGGTGGCGCTAGTGACCTGTGCGTTGTCAGCCGGCAAGCAGTGACAGTCTTTGCATCTTGATGCCTCGTTTGATGCATTTAGTCATAAACGGGGCATGGCCCCCATTGCGGGGTGTCGCGGGTTAAGGGGAGAAACACGCCACACTGCTTGAAGGGCAAAAATTCGAGGACTGATAGATAATCGTGATAGAATGTGTTGTGACACTGTTTGAGCCAATCGAGTTGTTGTTTTAGGTCATGCTTGTAGTTAGACATCGGACAGCTGTATCATCGTGTGATCCTGCCTTCGAGCCCCGCCTTGATAAAGAGCGTGCTTAGCCTCCGAGGGGCAGCACTACCAGAATGTGTTAAAGCACTTAAATCCTACACATTGGCTCTTTTCTCAACCAGAGCCTGAACCTGCGTCGTACGTTTGAATTAATACGCTCAACTCCAATTGAGTATGGCCAACACTGCCAAGATTCCCGTCGTCGACATTTCAGACGAGCGAAACCAGCAAGAGGTTGCCCGGGAACTTGTCGACGCTGCTATCAAGCATGGCTTTGTGTACATTAAGAACACTGGAAAAGACATACCGGTGGAAGCAATCGATGAGGCTTTCGAAATCGTATGCTACGATAAAGAATGCTATTTTCCAGTCATCTCAAAACTGACAGTTGATTCAGTCTAAGCGCTTGTTCAAGGCTCCTTTGAGCGAGAAGCAGGCCTGCTCTATCCAGCAGAACAACAGAGGAGTGAGTCAGAGTCAACATCAGACAACTTTCAGGAGATATATTGATGGTTACTAGTGGTCTGCTATGCACTACGAGACCCTGGATCCTGCGACTCAGCGGGTAGGTGTTCTTATTAAGCTTGGTGTTCTTTGACTAACCCTCTCCAGGTTGGTGACTACAAGGAGTGAGTCTACCGGACCATGTTGACCTTGACTCCGAAGCTCACTCTCCAGGGCTTTCAACTTCGGTGACTTCGTCGACGGCAAGGCTCAGCAGCCTATTCCCCCAACAATTGCCCCCGACGAGGCCCGCATCTCTTACTTTCGTGACCTCTGCTATAACCTGACCCTGAAGCTCAACACCCTGTTGGGCATTGGCCTCGAGGTACCTCTTCCCGTCATCCCTTTATATTCTTTGCACTAACCAGCCAGGTTGACCCCTTCGACTTCTTCACCCGTGCCCATCTCCGCTCAGCCGGTCCCTCCGGCAGCATTCTGCGCTTCCTGTACTACCCCCCTCCTGCGCCCGACACGCCCACGGACAACCACGCAAACATTCGTGCGGGCGCTCACTCCGACTACGGTTCGTTGACTCTGCTCTTCCGTCTGCGCGGCCAGCCCGGCCTTGAGATCTGCACCGGCACCACGACCATGACCAACCCCGATGGCACTACCATTGAAGTGCAAAACTGGGCTCCTGTGCCTGTTGTCCCTCCAGGAACGGAGAACGATCCGGCGCCGCCGATCTTGATTAACATTGGTGACTTGCTCTCTTACTGGACTGGTGGCTTGCTCAGGAGCACTGTGCACCGGGTTGTCTTCCCCAAGGGGGGCAACGGCATCGAAGGGGAGCAGGACGCTGGGCCGCGGTATTCGATCGCGTACTTTTGTCATCCCTACGGCGGGACCAAGCTGGGTGTTGTGCCGAGCGAGAAAGTCAAGGAGTATGTCGAACGCAAGGAAAGGGATCAGACGGCCAAGGGGTTGGCTGTGGTGAATCCGTATGCTGAGAGAAAGGTCATGACCGCGGATGAGCATCTGCGGATGAGGTATGTCCGCTTGTTCGGGAAAGATGATGCAGCCACTGACGATGACAGACTGCGCGCGAGCTATTTGCAATTGTACGAAGCCAAGGCGTAACTTGGGCAAGTAGGTAGGATAGGGACTTAACCTTGGTTTATCTTGATTCGGTGAGGTAGCACAGCCATCTACAGTAATATATACCCATTTCATCATCCCCGGGGTATCATCGTTCCGTGAACCAATAACGACAATCAGCAACCTAACTCTCCTCTGCCATCGGGGCACACTCCTGCCCAATCTTCTCGTCCCTCTGCTTCCGTCTCTCCTTACGACTGTTCCCGCCTGATTTCTGCTGAAGCTGTTCGCGCCGCTCCTGCTTGCGCAGCTGCTTGTCCACGGCGCCAATCACCTTCTGCTCCTTGCCCAGCGGGTACATGGCCGCAGCAGCGGCCTCATCCTCTTCAGTCCATTCCCGCGGCAGCACTGCAAAGACGAGGTATGACGTGTGCGTCTTGATCTCAGGCTCGCCGCGCGTGATGAGCCGGCCTTCTAGCCATGGGGCCACACTAGACGAGGATGACTCTTGCGGCTGTTCGGCCGCGGTGTCTTCCAGCTTGACAGCGACGTCGCCCTCGTCGCCTGACTCCATTTCCACATCACCATCACCTCCCTCCCGAGCCCGAGCCGCATGTTGTCTTGTGCGCTCCTCAATCTCAGTCAACCGCTTCAGCGCCTCTTCAACATCCTTGGGCGAGTTATTCACGCCACGGTCAAAGTTGAGATGCAGCCCAACCCGATCGCGCGACGCATGGTACTTGCGGTTCGCAATCTCCACCATATCAATATCAACCCACCCCAGCCGGCGCATCATCGACACTGTCTTCTGCACCTGCTCAATGCAAGGCGAGAACGTGCATAGATAAACACTCTTCTTCGGGTTCAAAGGCGACACCCACTTCTTGCCCTCCTCACCAACATCGAATCCCCGTGGCTTACGCCGTGACAAATGAGGCAGCGCCTCCCACGGCGCCGGCAAATCCAAGAAGACAGCATCTGCCTCAGGACTCTTTCCCTCATCCACCAAGAACCCCCCCTTATACACATCTCGATGCGTAAGCTGCACCAGCCCCGTCAACCCATGATCTTTAATCTCCTGCTTCATCTTGTGGTACCGTTCCTCATGGTACTCAAAGCTGTAGACTTTGCCCCTCCTGCGCTTCTCCCCTTCACGGGGATACCCATTATACACGGCGCGCACAGCGGCATGCGTGAAGCTGCCGCTGCCGGCACCTGCCTCAATCAGGACTGTACCGGGTCGCGCCCGGATCCTGTGCAGGATGTAGCTGTAGTCGGGTGTGTAGACGACTTGTGTGCGATGGGGGAGACTACTGGTCCAAACTTCGGGGGTTGGCGGCAGGATGTGGATAAAGCCACTAGTGTCGGCGATAGCTTGCTTGACCGTCGGTGCCACAGACGCAGGCGTCGCGCTCCCGCTGTTATTCGCCGTCACGCTGGCCTCATTATCCTGTTCATTTGTCGCGCCGGCGGCAGTCCCTTCCCGCGAAACGCCCTCCACATCCGTGGTCGCCTCGCGCTTTCTCTTACGCCCGCGCGAGCCGGTATCAACCTTGGACGCGCGGATCTGCGAGCCCCATGGGACGTCGATCATGGTGGAGTGCGGGAACGAGCCATAGCGCGTGTTGACGACGGCGCCTTCGGCATAGCCGTCGACCTCGCCTGTCGGTGGCTGCAAGTACACGGGGAGCAGGTTGTCGCGGGAGAGTTGGAGGATGGCAAGGGAATTCGCCTTAGTCCGCGGACCGGGGTCCAGGAAGGGGGAAATTTCATGTTGGATTGTTTGCGCCATTTCCGTTGTGCTTTGGGTGGGATTGTTGAAGGGGGAGCTTGGGAAGTGTTTACGACGGCGGGGGCGCGGTGTTGATGAAAAGTCAAAAAATATGTCGAGGGGTATCTCTGGGACCCACTTGCAGTAGCGTAATTTTTGGATGGTGTTGCAAAGTTACCGTTCTGCGATACTTAATTGCCACTCAGCCTTGCCCCTCAGCTACAGAATCTCCACAATGTTTCCTGGCTTACGGTTTGTCCTCGGAATCTCCTTGGGGGGCCAAAGGATACTTCCACAAGTTTCTCAGACGGGAATCCACATCATATAACTGCAATTCGTCGCTTTCAATGGTATCAATGACTTGTAAACCAACTCTGTCATCTCATTTGAACTCTGGCTTACATGACGCGAGAAGATTTGGGATTGCTCGTTAGACTTATAACCTCCCAAATGGGTTGCCTGACTTTCAACATACGAGCACGGATCGCTATCAGGCATATGGGTCAAAGCAGACCCGAGCAAATAGCAAACAAATCCTATCTGAGTGCGAGCAAGTGCTCATGGTGAATGTCTCCACGCTTTGAAGATACCAGTCATCTATCAGCAATATATCCCAATCTTAGCTTTCAAGTCATCAAGGACATCAACTTCCTGGTCCTCTATCTTTACTCAGAAAATGACTGGCTTAATCACTCACGTTGAGACTGCTCTTGGGAAGTTGGAGAATGGCCCTCAGATGCTGAGCACTTTCCTCAAGGCCCCCTCGGGCAGACGGCAAATCAGATCGACAAGAGAGACCTCAAAGCAACGATTAACAACATAGAGGTCGATGTCAATGCTCAGAGATTCAAGGCCGATGGAGTGTTTAAGGAGATGGAGAAGCGCCAAGAGGACCTTGAGAGAGAGCTCAAGGTACCCCCCAATGCTGGCACAAGACCTCCCCATGGCGAGTAGAATCTAACTGCATGAATCTCTTCCTGGAGCGGTATATTTTCGGCGGAGATAACACCCGTCGATTTGAATTCTTTGGTTGCTTATTGACACTTCTCACTCAGCAAGCACACATACTCGTTGTCCGAGCATGATCCCAACGTGCTCCTCCAACAACTTGTGCTGATTTTGTTGACGATTCTCGAGATCCTGCTCACCATGAATGTCTCATTGACACGGCAGTCCAAGAAGAAATATCCTTGACAGCCAACATATGAAACACCAGTGACACAAGATGTTAGCTGCAAGTGACCACGGTGTGGTCACCGCTGACCTACCTCGGTCAGCCCGGGCTCCACTGAGGTCAGGTGCGCACTTGACCTAATATAAGAGCCATGCTCATCCACCCTCACACGTGTGTAGTTTAGAAGGTAGAGCATTGTTATTCTCAGCACTCATTGTGCTTGACAGGACCGCGTGTCCTGCAGGGAAACGCCCAAGTAAATACTCCCATCCACACTCACCATTTTCTTATACATCCAACACAAGAGCTAAGGACATGTTTGGTAGAGCCCGGGAAATATAATGGGTGCCAAGAATGAGTTAGGCAACCTTTCCACGCTGAAAAGAGCCCCTGAAGATTGCAGGAGACCGTGAGGTACTCACAAGGGCAAAGGGATTTCATAAGGGGAGCTACTTGGACACGATGAAGGGTTTCTCTTGGGTTTTCCTCCCCCCAGTACAAGGACACTGAGGACCAAGAAAGATTATTACACGTAGTAATTGACTTCGCTGTGCACCCCACATCGTCAGTGGCCATCATCTAACCCATTTGACCCATTGTCGATCCCTGTCTGCACTAGACCAAGTCACCCGTTACACACTGTGACTATTTGTTGGAACAAGAGTGTGGTTGGCTTGGTGAATATTTCACCAGGAGGGAACAAAAAGACATTGAAGGAAATGGTAATAGCACTTCAAGCAGTCACAGGCTTACCAACGTACTCAGATCTCCTTGGGGAACTGGAGGTTAGTATTGGGTGAAACTTTGTTGTCGTTTGCAACTGATTAAAAATCGGTTGCAGAAAGTGCTGCAAAAGCATGAGAGCTGGTGGAATGTAAGAGAGTAAACCCTCGAATTCCACCATGGGAGGGATCTGCAGTGAGTTTGGAATGGATAAAAACTTCCAGTACGAACCATAACGGCTGCATTATAAGAATCATTAGTTGGGCCACTTGGAGAAATACCATACGTGGTCTACATCATAGTCCTGGAACGCCCCGAACTCTTCTTATCTCTGTTCCTCTATTGTAATTACAGTCGCTCCAGTTCTCGCCAAAACCCTGAGATTTCAGATAGCATGTGATAATATGGATGTATAACATATGACGTTCGAATGCGCCACGTACGTGGCTGAGGAGTTTGCACAGTCCCATAGTTCAGGTTAGCCCTTGTTGAGCTGGCTAATTCTCCGGCTACATTGCCCCTAACCGCTGAGTGGAAGCACAAAGCTTCCTTAGCACAAGCCAAAGGCACGTGCTTCACCCTGAGTATAACATATTAGCAATGTCTTCTCGACGTGCGCTTGAGCAACAAAGCTCTTACCTCTGTATCGCTCATCAATGCGCGAGGGCAGCTGTCATGGTCAAGGCAAAGACAACATACCCCAGCCATGACACAGAGCTTCTTCTTGACGCCATAGAATGATACAGAGACGCTGAAGATTCTGAGAAGTCAAGCCCTTCAAGGCGAATACAACGGCGGAATGTCTGTGCAGCCACATCCCGGTCTTCTTTCGGGAGCTCAGAAGAGAGTCGACACCACAGCCAGCAGGGTTTTAGCATGTAGAAGGTTCCATTGATATCTGAACAGCATATTTCAACCTTTGGGGTCGAGTTCGTGATGTTAGTGGTTGGGATGATGACGTAGGGGATATCATTGGGAATCGGAAGCCAGCTAGGATCGGGAATTGTCGTCCGCTCACAGCCATCGGTCGCAGCTTCGTAAAATGTGAAGTTGGCCAATGGGTCGGACATGGTGAACTTCTCTGGCGACTGGCTGAACTTGTGATATCACAGGGTGAAATCTATGAAGAGAACAGATAAGGAAGAGGTGAAAGAATAACAGGATACAAGACCTTCAGAAAGCCCAAATGATTCTAGAGTATCTTGACCTTAAATCATCATCTCTACTCGTAAGCTCGAATTAAGCCTGATTGTCCTTAGTTCCAAGTAGAAACCCACGAGGCGAAGCTCTGCCGAGATTTTCTTAGGTTACGACGAATATTTGCTAGCATAGTCAGCTTACGGTCGTAGTAAGGGCCGAACATCCTTGCGGATTTAGCAAATCAAAAATGCCGCATAGTTTGCACAAGTCCCTCGCAGCTCGTCGGTTCTCCTAACGAAAGGCGAAGCTTCCACGCTAATACTTTTCTCAGTAGATTGTTGCCTAAGTCGATCATATGTATCTTGCAGTTGGTGCTAGTGGGTCATCGTGCCGTTTCTCCGGGGCTGAGACGGTAGAGTTGCAATCGGCAAAACATCTTGGAACCTTAGATTTGTTGTAACGGCTGCCTGGACTGAGGTTGCGCATAAAAGTTGAAAAATTTGGTGTGGCTTGACCAGAAGGAAGGCAGTGAAGGAAAGAAATGACACGAAAGTGCTTCGATAGATAACAGTTCAGCCATGTCAAGTATGCCCAATGTATATCTTCACAAATGGTGGGGCCCTTCTCGAAAACTGTAAGCAACGCTAACGCAACAATTAGCTTTGTATGCCTTACCCAAGGCCTAACTGCGACGTTGATAGCCCCTCTACTGACTGGACAAGCCACGATGATTTAATCTCCAAGCTCATTGATCACCGACTACCCGCAAACACTTGACCTCGCTTCCTTCTACCACCTTACAACGAGTCAACCGTCCTCCTTGAGCATTGAGCCACACGTCTCGCACCTCAGCCCCCGTCGCATCCCAAGATTCACTGCCTCTAGCCACTCCGATCTGCTCAAATGATATGCTAGTGAAGTTGGCCAGCGCCACAGGAACCCCAGGGCCCCCAACCAGAGGAAAATCCTCCACGATCCAGGCAACCTCCAGGCCACATGCCGACTGGCCACTCTCCTCACTTTGCCTTCTCCCAACTCCCTCCTCCATCTTAAACACTTTCTTCACAGCCGAAATAGGCCTCTTCACCTCCCTCTTTCCAACCTCATCCCCATCTTGACCCTCATCCTCTCTCCCCTCCGGCCCCCAATTCTCCACCCCCACAACCGCAAACCCCCCTACCCCGGCATCCACCCAAAACCTAACCACATCCCCCGCGGCAGCCTTGAACCCTGGCATCCCGCCGGCCTGCCCCCTTCCAAACTGACACCACACAAAAGGAGCCAACTCCCCTCCTAATGTCCCATCCCAGAAGATGTCGACCCCGGCTCTCACGGCGGCAAGACAGTCAGGATGCGTGAGGCTGTCCAAGCCGATCCAGAAGGAGGCGGCGTAAAGGCCTACTGTGTTGCCGGCTGTTGGGCCGGTTGTGGGGGGAAACGCGTGGGGGATGCGGAAGGTCGTTCGAAGAGAGAGCGACCTTGATGATGTGGAATTGGTATTATTGGAGGAAAGAGGGGGCAGGGTGAGGGTCGCGCCGCCGGTGGTTGATTCGGGGGGTTGTTGGGAAGATGAGTGGAGTTGGGGGTTGCCTGTGCTGCTGAGAATCGGGTAAGATGAAAAGGTGTGTAAGAGACGCGGTTGGTCGGACGAACGTTGGCAGATTTGGCGAATAGGAAGTGCTGTCGCTGAGTACACGACACTGAGAAAACAAGTCGTTAGGAATGTTGTGCGCTTCATCGTCATTGAGGTGTATCCTGTGTGGAAAGTGACTGCCTTAGAGAACGGGATGAAAGGGTCTGAAGGGAAGTGGTGGTATGACGACCGTTATGAGAGTAACTTATGGTTTTCTAAACCTGACTTGTGGAAGTTAACATTCCTCCGCTAATCATGTATTGATTATCTTTGCCGAGTTGAGCCAGCGGCAAAATCGAGCTGAGCCGCCCGCTAAGCAGAGCAAACAGCAAGAAAGCGAGACACGGTGACCCGAGTCCCTTGGCAGGCCGAACCATAATATATCTCCGGCACTAGTTCATCGCTATGAGTGCCCGATTCCGTGTCTGCGGAAGATAAATGCTCTCAAGATACTGACTTCGCAAATGACCCGGCGATGCCGTGCTATGCTTTACAGGAGCACAAAATTCATGATCCATGGTCAATACGACTTTGTACTGCTTTGTGACTGGTAACACGACTGGCTTATAATTTGATCGACATGGAATGCCGTTGAACATGATGCAAGGGGCGTTTTGGGCCTAGATATTCCGAGGAGTATGGGAATTTGACCTCCCAAACGTGCAGCTGCCCCTGAAGACAGGCCAACCTTCGTGTGGGTAGCCGGGCACGAATGCAGCTCATTGCAGTCGAGCACGAACTAGCAAAAGGACGAGATTAATGCACTCAAGAACCTTTGCTTACCAGTGACAGCTTCAAGCAAAGCATAACAACAGCAGAACACCATCTAGAGCGGGCAAGCAACCGCGACAAAAACAAAACTGACATTCTTATATACGCTGCAAGGCATCATCATACGACAGAGCCCGCCCCAACAAGCTCCAGGACGGGGTAACCAACAACAAAAAACTCAACCAAAGACGATCTTAAAATCAGCGCCAACTCTCACACCAACCTTCTTGACCACAGCAAACGCCGCCCGGCTCTTCTCGGCCGGGTTATACTCGATGGCAGCCGCCCAGGTCTTGCCCTCCGACTCAACTGTAACAGTTTTCTTCCCCTTCCAAGCAGCCGGAGCGCCAACGACAATGATCTTCTCCACATTGACGGTGCGCATCTTCTTGAGCCACTCGCCCTCCTTTATGGAAGCGTCATCCCTGCCCTCATAGTCAGCTGAGGTGAGAGTATTCGCGTCAAAGATGAACCTGCGATGGATGTACTGGCCCTTCTCGTAGTCAAACGAGTCGCCATCATCAACATACAGGTCGCCCTCAGCCTTCCTGTCGTTGCCGAGCACAACGACAAGGGTGTACGGATCCCACTTCATCAGCGCACTGCTGCGGCGCGGGATATCCCTGCGCGCAAAGACATGGCCACCGCGCATCAGAAGAGGAATCTTCTCCAGCGGCGCGTCGAGCGTGGCCGTCTTGCTCTTGGCGGCCGAGATGATATCGTAGGTGAAGTAGTCGTAGTAGACCTCGGAGTCGGGAATCCAGATATCGACAGAGGTTCGGTCCTTGTCCGTGACAGGCTTGGCAAGCAAACCCGTATTGCCAATAAAGAACTGATCATCGATGGGTAGACCAGCCTCCTCAGACGGGTGGGTGTAGAACATGGGCTTGATGATGGGTGTGCCGTCGAGGTGAGCATGTCGGAAGGCAGTGTACCACGAGGGCAGCAGGCTGTAGCGAAGGCGCAAGGCCGCCGCGATGATGGTATTATAGGGCTCGCCCGTGAGGTAGGGCTCGCGACGGCGGGCATCGATGTGGGCGTGGGCGCGGAAAAAGGGGTAGAAGATGCCGGTCTGGTACCAGCGTGTGAGGAGGTCCTTGTCGGGGTTGCCGAAGAAGCCGCCAACGTCGGCGCCCGCGAAGGGGAAGCCGGCGATACCTTGGCTGAGGACCATGGGGATGGAGGCCTTCAGGTAGCCCCAGTCGGCCGTGTTATCACCAGTCCACATAGCACCAAGACGCTGAGAACCAGCGAAAAAGGCGCGAGTCAGCACGAACGGGCGACGATGCTCGCCCGGTTTCCGTGACAAAAGGGCGTGGTAGGTAGCGTTCTGGAAGGTCATGCCGTTCAGGTTGTGAACATCACGGTGCTCCCAATTGCCGTGGTGCAGGTTGTCCTTCGGCATAGTAACCTCCGGGCCGTTAAAGACAGACGGCTCGTTCATGTCATTCCAGATGAACGTGTTCTCCATCGTGCCCTTGAACTTGTCGTATTTGAAGAGACCCTTCCACCACTCACGAGCTGCGGGATTGAAGGCGTCGATCCAGTGCGACGAACCCGGCCAGCACCAACCCTCGAAGATGCTGCCATCCTTGGTCTTGACGGCAAGGTCCTTAGACTTGAGCTCGTCAACAACAGGGTAGTTGTTGGTGTTCTTGATGTGCGGGTCAATGATAGTGACCAACTTGCGACCGTGGGCCTCGAGTTGCTTGCCCATGCCAATCGGGTCTTTGAAGCTGTGCTTATCCCAGGTGAAGTATTTTTTCTCGTCGGTGTACTCAATATCCAGCCAAATGACGTCGTACGGCATGTTGAACTTGTCCATCTTGCGGTCGACATCCTTGACGTCCTCGTCGGAGACGTAGTTCCAGCGGCACTGATGGTAGCCCAAGGAGAACTCTTGAGGCATCGCCGTGGTACCCGTCAGCTCAGCATACTTGGAAATGATGTCCTTCGGAGTCGGGCCAAGGAAGACGAAGACATCCAAAAGACCGCTTTCGGAGAACCAGTGAGTGCGAGTTGTGATCTTGGACTTGACCCCAAGCGCCAGAGGGTTCTTGGAATCCTTGCCCTTGGTGATGTCAACCCAAGTCTCAGCAGCGTTCAGCCAAAAGATGCCAACACTGGAATCTTTGCGATGAGCCTGCATGAAGGGAATCGAGCCGTAGAGAGTCATGGGGCTGTCGAGGATGTACTCAAACACGTCGGCATTGTACATGCGATAGGGCTCGTTGTAATTACCTTCGCCACCACGTGTCTGCTTGAGAGAGAGAGGGCTAGCATGAGACGGGATACCAAAGACGTGCTCGTACCCGACAAAGGAGATGTCGAGACCAACGCTTTCGGGGCCACGAGGCTTCGAGTCAGTGTTGCCGCCGAAGCTCTCCTCCCACCAAGTGCTGTCATCCTCGCGCGGGGCCTCCTCTTTCTTGTCAGGCTGTTGTTCGCCTTCCTTTTTCTCCGGCTCCGGCGGAGGATCAATCTTGGGCCTCCAGTGCTCGATGTTCAACAGGCCTTGGTCATTGAACTTGATATGGCTGGCGCCGTCACGCTTGAAGTCGATGCTGAAGGGCGCAAACTTAATGGTAGCCTCGAACTTCGACGACGGACCATACTTGACAGTCATCTGAGTCTTATCCTCGTAGTCAACCTTGGCCCCCTTGTCCAGGGTCATGCCGCCAACAATGACCCATTGTTCGGCCTCATTGTACCGCTCTTTCCTCGCCTTACTATCGTGGCGCAGCTCAATCTCACCCTTTTGACGCTTCTCCTCGTCGATGGTGACTCGGGCAGTTCCAGACTCGAGGAACGAAACAGTAAGCGGCAGCCGAACAGTCTCGCCGTGGTCGTTGATGGTCTTCAAAATAATGGCCTGGTATTGACCATCTTTGAACGAGCCAGTCTCCGGGGCAATCTTGTATGGGGATTCCCATGAGATCGCTGACAGGGCGTGGTCCGCGTAGGCGCGGTTACGCCTGCAGAAGCCGGACTGGTCGCATTTCTTCCAATCATGCTCCTTGACGGCAACTAAAAAGGTCAAGTCAGCTGGCGCTTTTGGGTAATATTCTGGATTTGGGATTGCACCTACAGACCGGGGAAAATGCAGTTGAAAGTACTGACAGGAGGCCAAGGTATGTTGTCCACTTGGTGGACAGCGAGCCCGAGCCGAGCATCTCGAATCCGCCGTTCCTGCAGCTGTGTCTGTGTGTGGGCTGGAAAGGGAAACAGGAAAACAAACGGAACGATCAAGGGGAAAGCAAGATTGCGTTATCCCGCCAGCGTATTCATCGAGGGACAGCCAGGGCCCTAGAACAACGCGGTTTTCTGAGACCTGGCCAGGTTTTATTATGTTTCAAAGGACATCGACGTCGATGCCGCCCTCTGCTTTGGACTTCAAAACCAAGCTGTCGTCTTCTGGGATTGGCCACCTTGCTTCTGAAACAGGGGCTATTGGTCCTTGGCATTGGCCCCGCACTTCTGCAGCCAAGAAACGGGCATCGATTGTCCAATAAATCGGATATCTCTTTAGCCTCGATACTGCCAAATCAAAACGGGAACAGCCAGCTCCTGAACAGTGCCGGTGTTCTTCACTCGCAGCGAGATGTCGTTGAGGACTTCTGGAGCATCGGAATAAGACAGGTTAACCTAATTTGCATTTTGTTTGAGTCGTAAGCTGGTAATACTTCTGTCAACTGGGCAACCGTTTTGATCCCGAAATAACGATGCAGGCCCAAAGTTTTTAGTTGACAAAAACTGGCAGAGATCGAGGGGTTGGACATTTAGGGCATCAATTCACTTAAGCTAGTAATTGAGCTTTCCAAGTGATAAAGAACGTCCTTAAAAGAAGATATCATATCACATTTCATCGTTATCTTTTCGTGCGAAGATCCCAGTCCATTTGTTGTTGTAGTCATTGTTGTCGACGTGAGCTAGCCGCGACCACCTTGCTGAGCAGCTCAGCAGCTTTCAAAGCTTTAGTCCTGTAACAATCCGGCTTGAGTTCAAGACGAGAGATGGACAAAAATGAAAAGAAGAGAAGATCCTCAATCACCGAAGATCAACGGTCTCAGGTGCCGCATCAGGCTTTTGAGGCTGAGCTCCGGTGGCATGAGTCTCTGTTCGAGATGAAGCTATCCTTCTTGATGGTAATTTTCTTTTTGACTCTGGTTGTGTTATGGCATTTTTTCAGCAACCCCACTTCGCTACCCCTCCCCTCATTCCGCGGGGCCGGGTCAGCCTCGACTGATCTCACACAAATTCCTCACTCTTCTCCTCCTACCGTTTCTTCTCGGCTCCCAACCTCTCAGAACCAGTTTGCTGCAATTCCACCAGTATTAGCTCCAGAATCAGCCAACATGCCTGCCATCGAGAGGACGTGAGTGCATCTCCCTAACAGTTCTATCGTTACGCGCTGTTTTTCTACCCTCCGATTACCCCGCCATTCTGCTCGTCCCATCCTTCGTCTGCCCCGCTATCTCCTGGATGACCATGCGCTGACTTCAAGCAGCTTCATTGCCGTCAAGCCTGATGGCGTTCAGGTACGAATGACTTGTGCGACGCTCCAATCGTTAGTTCCATGCTGACACTCCCGGCAGCGCGGCCTTGTTGGCAACATTATTGCCCGCTTCGAAGCTCGTGGGTATGTGGTTGGGCACCCAACATCCCGACAGTTCATAACCCGATTTGCTTGAGGACGATCCCGCTTACATGACAACATAGCTTTCGCCTCGTTGCCCTGAAGCTCGTCCGCCCTGGCAAGGAGCACCTTGAGCAGCACTGTATGTCTTCACATCCATGAGCTTCCCTCAAATGTTTGTACAGAGAGCTAACCTCCCTCCAGATGCTGAGCTCAAGGACAAGCCCTTCTTCCCCGGCCTCATCGAGTGTATGTCGATCAAAATCACTTTCAGAAAAACCCCAAGCTCACAATATCTGCAGACATGAACAGCGGTCCCATTGTCGCCATGGTTTGGGAGGGTCTCGACGTTGTCAAGACTGGCCGCGGTAAGCCTAATCTCCCCACCCTACTCTTCTCCCACTCTTCTGAGATTGCCCCACTTCTCTCGGCCCACCCCACTTTTCTGCTCCTTTTTCTTGTGCCTTGGAACATTGAATACTAACATCACGAACTCTTACAGCCATGCTTGGTGCCACCAATCCTCTTGCTTCTGCTCCAGGAACCATTAGGGGCGACTATGCCATCGCTGTGGGGCGTAATGTGGCACATGGTTCTGACAGCGTTGAGAACGCTGAGAGAGAAATTGCGTTGTGGTTCAAGCCGGAGGAGCTTGTTGACTGGGAGCAGTCCCAGAAGGCCTGGATCTATGAGTAAGCCAATCAGCTCACTCAAATGATGGAAGTCTAGCCCGTGATGTAATCGGGTAAGAATCTGATAAAATGAGATCCTTTGTACCAACCACCGAAAGACTTGCCACACGATTGTGATTGTGATGCACAACAAGACTTGTGAGTGAGATGGATTTTAGTTTTACACCACTTTTAGGACTACAAAAGGTTAGGACTACAAAAGGTCTCGTTATTGTCCTCACCTGGCTTAGATAACAGTTTTTACCATAAGCTTCCTATGTTTAGATAAAGGCAAAGAACTCCTGTGATTGCATGCGCCTTCCCTGTTTCGAAAATGAGGTGGTCTCTTCATGCTAAGATTCCAGGTGACCAAAGCATTCCGGTGAATCCTGGCCTTCCCTCCAGACAGTTTCTGGGTAATTTGAAGTTAACTCTTAAACACTGGGTTTGGAGTAATAAGTCGCCAACGTCTTGGTCAGCATACTATTTGAGGTTCTGGAGGTCATTGTGAGGAGAGACTGATTCCGTGAGACCTGTAGTACTTGATTCATCTGAACTTGATCAATGCTTAAAAGGAGATTTTCAGTTCTCCTATAAATCAGGGAAACACCCCTCCGAAAACATCTTTTTCCAGGAACCATCGGAAGGATTTATCAACCTGGTTCTTTTTTCTCCAACTATGACCTAACCGATTCACCATCAAACCAGGTTTACCATTATGAACAAAATCCTTCTGCACGTAAGTGTTACTGTTTCATTAGTAACCTAGTTATAATTCTCTGCTAACCATCCTGAATTAGACCAGTGATTTCCTAGCATTCAAGCCGATACAATGGCCACTATTGGCAATCTGGCCGCTGCGTTAGCTGCAGATCAGTCGCAGTATGAGGTGTCTGCCTTCAGCATTGCGGGCTGGGATATTTGAATCTCTCATGGCTTCAAAGTCGATGATTTCACCTTTATCAAGGCCTAAAAGCCTTCCACAATCCCTTGGGAGGAAGAGGTTGCCGCCATGGTGGCTGCTGGCAAGTAACTTTGGCAGTCGGAGCTGGCCTTGACCACCTAAGAGACCGATCTAAAAAGCGACGCTGGCGTTTTGATCTACCTTTCCGTTGGCTACTTGTTACACTCGACGTGGACTCAGCCTACCCCTCAGCCCAACTTCAACTACTCAAAGAGATCCTAATGGACCAGGGATGGCCCCCAAACATCTGCGAGGTGGTAACCCCTTTCTGCGAGAGGCATCGCTTCTCCTTTAGGTAGGCACAATCTATCTCTCACTCGGACACTGGGCTGCCCCAAAGATCCTCATGGTCATTAATACTCTTTGTGTTATACTCTTTACCCATCATTACTACGTCACCACAAGGTGCATCGTTCATGTACATGGATGACCATGAGCGACTCTCTTGGAGCTGGGACCCAACTCAACTAGCACTCTACGCTGTCCTCCGTGTCCAATTGCTGCGTCAAAAAGGAGGAGGCCTTGGTCTTGGGTAGATCCCAACAAAATAGAGGTCCTGTACATCCCCCCACGTGGAGCAGGCTCAAAACGGCACAAGACGGACTCAGATCGGCTTATTCTTCGATCTGGGGATCCGACAGTTCCCCCCAAGATCTCAGTGAAGTGGCTCGGGGTAGTTCTAGATGGCAAACTGAGCCCCTTAGCCCAAGCATCCTCGAGAGCATCCGCTACGGCCTCCATGGTAGGCCTAATTAAGAAACTTTCCATTACTAAAGTTAAAGGTCTCCCTCCCAAATCTGGACCTACCATCTTCAACATGACAGTAGCCATCACTAATGTATGGCTTAGCTCAACTCAACATAGGCCTTTCCCGGGTCGGGGCTAGGGTCGGCTGATACCCGTCGGCCTCGGTCCTGTTGAGGCAGTCCTGTCCAAAACTGCCCACGCGGCTCTCAGGGTTCTCTTTCCGGTTTGGCGTACAATCCCAACGCCGCGGCTGTGGTGGCTTGCCGGACTGTACCCGCGGTACCTACTGGATCGGGAGAGATACAGATGGCGGAATCGAGTTCAAACTCTACCTCCGGACCACCCACTTGGATAAGGTTACAGACTCCGCGCACAAAAGCTGGCCTCGTCTGCATCAGGCAGCTCAAGGCATTCAACCAGGCCCTCTCTGAGAGCCACGCCGTCCGGGGCCTAGAGCTTGGCTCAGGTTCTCCCCAGCCTCGCTAGGCCGCGTAAGGTCCCTCCCCCGGATATGGCGTCATGGTGGAGGGCCAATAAACCATAATCCAGCCTCTGGGAGGGCTCTTTGGACAAACTTTCCTCTGCCTGCTCGTTAAGAGGTGCCTCGCTAGGTGACTTGCCGAGGGATCAGGACATGGTGACTTCCTCGAGTACCACGTCCGGTTCAACCACCCGCCAAGTGCGATCAAAACTTGCTCTTGCGGCGAGACGGTATCCAGAAGTCACCTCCTCCAGTGCCCCCTCTCCTCCCTTGACAACCCTCTTGTTGGCCGCCTAGACCCCAGAGCGTTTTGGCACTCGTATCAACTGTTCGAGAATAGAAAATCACAACTCGAACTCTACAGCTCAACCAGTGACCATCAAACAGGACAAGCCATCTCTACTTCACGCCCTCCCCACTCTCCCTCACGCATGACTTTACAATCTCGATCGATACACACCCCTAACAACGAAGAATCAGAATCTGAACGGTCTAGTTTGGCATCCACATACCTCACACTTGCCCTCCTAACCCATTTTCTTTTTCTTTTTCCTACTTCTCTCCCCTTTCCACACCACTCATCTACCCCACGGATACGCACCGGTTTTTCCCTCTCGGTTTTTTTTCCCGCGTGTACGTAACTCAGACTAGCGAGTGCATATGTACCTTTTGCCCGCCGGCGTCATGGGCACGACCGGGCATTCTCATGGGTAATACGGGTCGGAAATGCAATTCAATTCAATTTAATCTACCTTTCCGTTGGTTTACCCGGTTTGAAGCCCGAGACCTTCAAACTACTCTTCGCAGCTCAAGCACAAGTCGATAGGCACCGAGGTGGACAAGGCTCGCGTCATCCAGGTCCGGAGTTCGATGGCAACAGTCCTCATGTGCAAGAGCTGATAGAAGATGAGGCCTTAATGACGTCCAATGCCGAGCTCTTCCTTTCTACAGAACAATTCGTTCTATGCACAGTGCTGGAGGCTTCTTTGTCCTTGACCGTCTCAGGCCAAGGCTTTCGATATCATTGCGATGCTTCATCAAAGTTCTGAGATCGCTATTGCACTGCTTGATTAATTCTAGGCTATAAGTCTCTCGATGACCCCATCCAACGATGGATCATTTCGAAGACGTCCTACAGGAAAATGATTTCAGACATATAATACATGTACATCATATTGTCAGCAATATTTGCTGATTCAGCGTCGGTAGCATTAAGTCTAGTGGTGGGCTTCAGACTGTGCCGACTGGCGCGGGTTAAGAGTACTGTTGTCGTTAATCTATTGATAACAGTGACCTCCACAGGAAGCAGAGAGAGGTTAATGGAGAACGTCTGTTGAATTCATCATTAAAGTATTTGAGTCAATGTTGCTCCAGTCAAAAATATCACGATCAAGAAGTTGTCGTATATAAGCCCACTGATCGAGCCTTAGAAGCTCGTTGTCGACCAACTTCAGCAACTCCTCAAAATGCCAAGCGTCTTGCGACAGGGTGTAAGCATTCAGAAGTAGGCAACGTGTTCCTTCTTCTTGCCAGACCGGCTTCCCATGAAATCCTCCAGGTTAGTGCTGCTAATTTCCGAATTGGTTTGGGCTCATATGTAGCAGAACCGCCGCCATCGGTCAACATAATCATAGGTCGATGTGCAGCAAAAGAATGGGTGATCTGATTGAGAGATTGTTATGAGCGATACATTCAGAGTTTGCATTCACAATGGAAGCAACTGAAGCAAACGTGCCGAAATGACTAGAAATGACTCAACAATGATTATGGGGTCCGGAAGTTTGGCATTTTATCTGATCTTGTCTAGAACCGGGAGAGTTTGTTGCCTACAACGGGCAATATCTCCACCACAGGGGTGCGAATGTAGTGTGTCATTACGGCTTATATAGCATTCACGATTTTGACCTCATTACCATCCCTATTGACTAATTAAATCGGGTCGGTCGGCGACCAAGTCCTTGCAGACATAAATTGGGGCGCCTGATTTTCCCGAACCCCAATATCTTCTAATTTACTGCTGCCTTGTAGCAACTATCTTAATAGGTACAGTTCAGCAGGATCAGGTCGACAAAATAAACTGGATCGACTCTTCTGATCCCGAATAGTCCATGAATTGCTGAGTAGTGAGTTTAGATATCGGTAGTCTTGCTCACATAGCAGACTTGGTTTGACAGGTTTGCTTCTAAATAATGATAAAGATGCGTCAAACAATCATCTAGGAATACCTGAAGCCTAACACCCAGCCTGAATTTTTGGAAAATACTGATGATAGAAGCAATATAATCTTCTTGATCTTTTGGTACGTGAAGACTATGGCTCCTATGAGTAAGCCATTAATCAATTTTATCCTAACTATCTTAGACCGATTATTCAAGAGCACTCAACCAGCTACCGAATGTCTGCCAGTGATAGTTCTACAGTTCTGATGGATGCAGTTAAGTCTCAGTTCAATGACTACGCCTTCAACGATGTAGGCTGGGCTCTTAAAATTCCCAGATGGACTGAGGTGGATAACTTACCTTCGTCAAGGTCTACGAGCCCCAGCAGATCCGTATTTTTACACTGCCAGACACAAATCAGGAGTTCAGAACACTCTCCTTGTGGCCCTTTGGGCTTACTTACATTCCTATGCTTCGTGATTCTACTACTGATCACCGACTCTGTCATTTTGCATGGATGAACTGATTGAGGCCGGTTGCATACGCGCCTTCAACTCCATTCCTTTCAAGGCCGATAGAAGATCAAGTTGAGACAGGCTAAGGCCTCAACTGACATTCGCGGAATCCTTGTCAACGAGCAGATGGCTGAAGCGGAGCTACCTTTCCTGCGCCAGGTGTTCCAGATTCAAAGAAGCCCTAGCTCATCCAGGAGATATAGCAAGGCTTCGATCAGTGGGCTACAGACATTAAGCTACCTCCTTTGGCTTCGTGAAGTGCCATGCGCAAGTCTGTCAACATTGATACTGTTGACAGGGATGAAGACGAATCGAAAACGTTGATCCTAGAGTTTGAACACCGTTGGCCATAGGATCGCGTGCATAATTCCGTCTTATTGCATCGGTTATCACGCTCATCAAACGGCGGGTTGTCAGGTCACTTAGGACTGCCTCCAAATTAAACAAGGACTGTTGTCACTTTGTGCACAAGTGCCAAAAGTATATATATTGCTTTAGAGATACAGGGAACGAAAGCCTGGCGGAAATGAACGGTTCTGCCACCAAATATGGAGTAAACTCAGCATGCACTTGGATCAGTGGTTTGGGTGTTCGGGAGACTGAGGGCACTCCTTTCCATGGAGCCATGGAGATGTACTGCGTTGCGCAGGGCTGTAACGATGAGCAGGCAATGGAGGGCGCAAAGCGCTGGATGTGAGACTTTGATCAAGGAGAATTTCTAGGTTCTCTATATATCGTCGTGTAAGTTCACAGTTTTACTTATCGATCGTCAAATCTAACCACTAACTGTGTTTGCGATGTAGCTCTTAGGCCCTCTCAGGAACAAGAAGGGTTGGCCCAAGGGTTGAGCATTGCCTCCCCGATTACGGAACGCAAAGTATCAGGACAGAGCATTCTGTAGAACGATAGAAAAGTGATCAAAATTCTGGTTGACCAAGCAATAAATTCCCAAATATGCGTGATGATGCAAATAGCCGCCAGTCTTATGACTATGTAGATAACAAGAAAGGAAGCCAAAGCAAGGATAGCCAATAAACGGGAACAATATAAAGAGAGTGAGGGATGGAGAAAACAAGTTTACAAACTCAGCCTCACAATAGGGACTCAATGGTATGTACACGAAAACCCCTATCCAAACTTGACACTAGTTTCCAAACACTTGAACATAACACCCTAAACAACAATCTCCCCCTGCAGTCTAATATCCCTCGAACTAGCCCCCACAAGCACGCCAAACCTCCCTGACGGCACAACCCAATTCTGCCTCCTCACATCCCAATAAGCCAAATCCCTCTTCCTCAACCTAAATGTAGCCGTTCGGCTCTGACCAGGCGCCAACTTAAGCTTAGCGAACCCACGGAGCTGCTTCGGCGGGGTTGCGGGCGCCGATGACGGCAGGGAGATGTACAGCTGGGCGACCTCGGCGCCTTCGACGCCACCTGTGTTGGTAATGGTCGCTGTGACGGTCGCGACGTAGTCCCAGAGGTCGGCTGGGCCACCAGGGATAGTGGGCCCCGTGGCTGGGCCGGCGGTCGCGGACGAAGAGATGCCCAGGTTGGAGTAGCTGAAGTTGGTGTATGCTATGGAATGTTAGCAACTGTGTGGCCAAACGGGAGGGATAAGAGACTTACAGAGACCAAAGCCAAACTCGAAACGAGGTTCGATCCGGGCGTTATCGAAGTGCCTGTAGTCGATGAATAGACCCTCGCGGAAGTTATCATCGCCACGGACAACGCTAGTCGGGTAGTCGTTCGGGTTCTTCGCAATGGTGTAGACAAGCTTACCCGACGGCGAAACAAGGCCGTAGAGCACATCAACCAGAGCGTTACCGCTTTCTTGGCTCGGCAAGCCAGCCCAAACAATAGCCCTCACACCCGGAGTGTTGAGGATCGTCTCGAGAATAATTGGCCCAACGCTGTGCACAACCACAATGACGTTTTTATTCGCCTGCGCAACAGCCTGCACAAGCTGGTTACCGTTATGCCAAGGATCCAGATGATTCCGGTCGCCAGCATGACCTTCAACGGTAATGTACCCTTCGCCGGAGTCAGCTGTGATGAACACAAACGCCGCGTCAGCGCCTTGCACTACGTTGTTAACTCCATTCGTATTGTCCGACGCATGTAGGCTAATCTGAGTGCCATCGCGCTGGGCGCGTTCGTGTAGAGCATCGTAGGGAGCAACAAAGTAGGGATACTCGACAGTACCGGAGCCCCAGCCCATACCAAGGGCACCCTCGTTGCAGCCACGGTCAACGCAGGCATTCATGCCTCGAGGGTTGACGACTGCGGCGGAGCCGACAAGAGCAATCTTGTTGGGGCGCTGAAGAGGCAAAATGCCGTCGTTCTTGAGCAGCACGATACCATCGCGGGCGACGGCACGCACATTCTCTTTGTGGTTAGCCTGGACATTGGCGCGGAGGTTGATGGGTGGATAGCCGGAATTCTGGCCGAGGAGGTACCAGGCAGCAAGAATGCGCTGGACCATGTCATTGAGGCGGGATTGCGAGACCTGGCCGCTGTTGACGGCGTTGTTGAGCTGCGGGCCCCAGAGGACGTTCCAGCCATTGAAGTCGCTGCCAGGCATGGTCATGTCCATGCCACTGTTGGCCGAGCCCACGGTGGTGTGCTGCGCGTTCCAGTCGCTCACAATGTAGCCGCGGAAGCCGAGTTCCTTCTTTAGCAGCTGGTTCTGTGCCCTGTCGTTCTCGCAGAGCCAGGTGCCGTTGAGCTTGTTGTAGCTGCACATGACGCTGGCCACGTTGGAGTGCACGGCGTCGGCGAACGGCCAGAGGTACAGCTCGTGCATGGTGCGGTCGTCGACGTTGCTGCTCATTGTCTCGCGGTTGAATTCCTGCTCATTGGCGATGTAGTGCTTAGCACAAGCCTGCACACCTTCCGACTGAATGCCCTCGATGGTCTCGGACATAGCGATACCGGTCAAGTAGGGGTCCGAGCCGAAGGCTTCCCAGTTACGGCCTCCGTGTGGGATCTTGCCAAGAGCACCGGCCACGGGGCCGAGCAGGACGTGGACGCCAGTTCCCCGGGCTTCCTGTCCCAGGTAGACACCACGCTGCCGGATTAACTCAACATCCCAGGTTGACGCGGCTTGAATGCCTGGCGTGAAGGCCGTGACGCTGGTGGCGGAGCGGATACCCAGGGGGCCATCCTGCAGGCAGAGTTGTGGGTAGTTGATGCTGTAGACAGGGTTCGTATTGCCGACGCAAGGACCCTTGCCCCAGCCAACGCCGGTGACGATGTTGATTTTGTCTTGCTGTGATAATCTCGACACGGCGGCAGCAGCCTGTGAGTAAGCGGCATCCCAGGCGGCCGGCCCGGTCGGAGCAGCGCGACGGACGTTGTCAGGTTGGCTTAGGGCACCCCGGGCCAGTAGTGCTGAGGCCAGCAACAAGAAGGTTTGAAGAACCATGACGGAAGATATCGAGCGCCAGTTCCAGCGCGCTATGTCTCACGGCGAGGGTTGATGATTGCACTTGCGAGAATAAACGGCACATGGCTACAGCCCGCGATATATAACGGCAGTCCGACACTTTTTACTAAGGACTCCCGAACGCACTCGGATGACGGCTCCGAGAAAAGGACCGGTTCCCCCGTAAAGCATCTCGACCCCCTACCTGCCGCCGAGTCCCGCAACGCCGAGAGACCTTTGGCCTTTGCAGGGCACGCAATGGTCGTCCAAGATCTGATCATGAATGTGTTTGTGGGGCCGAAGGACACCTCAATGGCCACAAAGTGCCAACGAGCAGGCCAGCACATGTCTTTAAGAGCAGCATGGGCAATTTAACTGGTGGGAAAGATTGCTGTGCGCGAGATAAATGAGACGGGCTGGGGTGCAGATGGCGATCGGCAGTGGGGAGCAGGCGGAAGAAAAACCGGAGCGCTTCATGCCGTTGCAACGTGCTGGCATGGTGCCGAGTGGACGTGGCGGAGGCCAGACTTGAGCTCCGGGCCGTTTTGCCAGTTATTAATTAAGTCGCAGCAACCCCGCAAAAGATGACTGGCGCGCGAAGGCTAAACCGCAACACCAAAATCTTGTAAAGGGCCTCCACAGACGCTATTCGGATGTGCTAGTCCCGCCGCGTCTTGGCCAGCGGGAATGCACCGTCAGCGGACCCGTTTCATGCGCCGAGGCCAAGAGATTGATAAAGTAATAGATGTTTTCCAAAGAGCTCTTTTCGTAAGATGTGATGTCGGACATGACGAGCCATGCCGAGAGAGCAGTTCCGCCATGAGGGAAGACAAACTGAGAACGAAAATGACAGATCTAAATTGGTGACGTGCTACGCCGAAGGCTTTCGAAATATGCTACAGCCAAATCAGCATGCCACGGATTGAACGAGAACACGAGTCACCCCAGAGCTTCCCAAAAACTGATATCAGAGTCTTTGATCCTCGTCCTGTAGACACCACCATCATTGATCAGGAAATCTGGAAGAGTCGCGTCGCAGGGAAATGTCACGCTGCCACCTAAGCCGGCCCTCCGTGCTCCAGGAACATGGCTTGTGGTAGGCAAGTAACAATTGTCTCAGGGACAAGAATGAAAGTGGCGCCAGTGCCGACAATAACTGGAGAGGATGGAGTGGTTGCCAACTCCTGGTGCCTACATTGACAGCAAAGCAGGAGGCTGACACCTCCCAGAAGCCATGGGTAGTGCTGACGGGCATCCAGATCAAGCTTCTGGTGAACTCGGAGCGGTCGATGTGGCCAAACTCGTAGATCCTAGCTGCATCATTGCGTAGGTTAGCCATAAAGACAGGCTCAGAGATGGAATAATGTTCTCGAAGAACGTATTCTGTTGGATTGGCTCAACAGTGTTAACCTTTGAAAATGCTTGCCCTAGGATGTCTTTTAGGTGTCACGGTTTTCGCCATCTGGACAGCCTGGTTGGTAACAGCAACTCCCCGCACGTTGACAATATCTGTGCCAAGGTGTCTGACTATGCTGGGGCCGTCCTCATAAGCTAAGGCGAAGGTTGCCCCTCGCATTTGTGTAAAAGATGATGACTTGGACGGATCATAAACGCGATGGCCGACCTTGGCGTAGGGAGGAAGTTGGCTGCTGAATGCCCAGAAGCCTGCAGATCCAGAGTCGAGAGCGACATAGACAGTCTGCCAACCAATGCGAATGGGGTTATGTACTCAACCCCTCCTTTTGCTAAAGCTGCCTGAACACTAGCCGATCCAATTCTTAAGACAGTTCCTGTGTGAGGGCTTGCTGCTGGAGTTGTTTGGTTCTAAGCCTGCCTACAAACTAGCGTTTTCGGCTGTCTTAAGTTCATCTAAAGCAGCTTGGGAGATGGCATTCGGCACTTCCTGTAAGCCTTGAGAAGTGCCCTTGGGCCATTGCATCCTTGAACGTCGAGTTCCTGACACGATCAACTCTGAGCATGCGTTTCTGTAGCAGGCTGGCAAAGACTGAAGGTCAAAATGAGCAAAAGAAACCAGTTAGAGCGAATGATACGGTTGAAGTGGGCAAAGAAACGGGCCCTAAAAGAGTGATTAAGTTGGAGTCAAAGCTGAGTTGACGGGCTGGGGACAGGAGAGAAAGAACAGATGAGAGAACAGAACCCAGAAGCTGAAAGAAGCAAGCGAGCAAACATATTGCATTGTCTTGACGGAGAGAAAGCCGTGATGAAACCGAAAGCATTCCTGTTGTCGCGACAGCATTGGTGTTGCAAGGACAAAGAGGCTCCAGCAGAATCCCTCTTGCAGCTGGCATGTTTAATCCAGAAGAGTGAAAGCATCCTAAGGTACTCTCCGACGAAATGAGCCACATTGATAGGAACAACGTTCTCAAATCTCTCCTTGAGAGCCTGGGGTGAAGGGCAGCCTTTCTCAAACCCCCAAACAGTCAGAGAAAGGGCGTTCTTGTCAGGGACTCAGGGAGGAAACGCGACTCTTTGGGTCGGCTCACAGTGACAGTTCACATCAGAGGAAAATACAGCTATGACAGAAATTCCACAAGTTGAGTCCAAACTTAGTCCAACCAAAGCTTTTGGTTCTCATATCTTCGAGGTTGTTAGGAAAGCTAACTAGAATTTCAAGTCTGCCTGGAGCATTGGCTGATCGGGAGAAAGTGCACCCACAGCATCGAGGTCCGCCAGTCGGTGCCACCTGTGCCAAGAAGTACACCCTTCGCGACAGCTGTCAGACACGTGATCAGTGTCAAGTCTGCTTTCAAATTCCGTTTTCTCAGCCGACAGTTGCAGTCCCCGCTCCACCGTCACAACTAGTCATCACTGGACTGCCCAGTCCTTGCAGCAGCCCACAGCGCTTGTCAACGAGTATCTGGCTTCTGGGCTTCTGCCCTGCGCCTCTGCCATCCGCGCCATCCTGCAGTCTCACGACGGCGTCGCGTGCACGACGCCCATCGACGGCGAAATCCCCCGATATCAGCACGCTCATTCTGAGTCATTTCTGACGATTGTTCGACGAGAATCGCGCCGCATTTCGTCTCAACCGCTCTGTTTACGCCTGCTCGGATGTGTTGACCCGGGCTCCCCACGCTCCTAGGTCCGTCTTCCTGGCCCCGGACCGCCTGGACGCGCATCCTGGAGATCTCCACTCGTGTGACCCAAAAACCGCAAAACCGCAGCGCAACCCGTCCAGCCGCTCACGGTTCACCCCCGGATCGCCCTCCGTTTCGCCTGCTCGGTGCCGGCTGCTCCTGACTCTGTTGTCCCGTCATCGACGCCGCATCGTCCCCGTGTTGCCGGCCCCATCTCATTATCACCGTACTTCCCCGGCTGGCTGGCCGCTGGCGTGCTCCGCCCGTGTCCGTGCAAGCCGCCGGTCGGCGCCTGTTCCTCCGTTCTGACTCCATCTTCGACCTTGCTGCCGTCCTGACGGTTCCACCGTTCCAGCTACCGTCCACATACCCGATACGGCGGCCTCTGTGACTGTAACCAACCATGTCCAACGAAAGCTTCGCCAACAACAACGCCCAAGCCAACGGCAACGGTGCAACGACCACGACCAAGGGCAAGCATCGTGGACCTCGCTTCACCTGGAACTCTGCCTACGAGGCGACTTTCTTCCGCTCGCTGTGTGAATCCGTCGCCTGCGGTCTACGAGACGGAAGCACATTCAAGCCTGAGGCGTGGGATCGAGCCATCCGCGCCCTGATCGAGAACCACAATGCTTACGCCAACAAGGCCCATTTGATCAACAAGACCGACAATGCCCGTAAGAAGTACCGCTTATGGCGTGGTCTGCGCGAGGACCCCGAGTTCTACTACAACCCCCAGACTCGCACCGTGAGTGCGTCCGAGGAAGCGTGGATGCGCCATCTTCAAGTAAGCATAGCATGTCCAGCAATGAACTCCCTATCCTCGTTTAGCGTGAGCCAACACTAACCAGTCCTCTCTTAACCTTACTGCAGAAAGAGCCGCTCGCTCGATCACTCCGAGCTCGTCCGTTCGAGCATGAAGAGTACTACGAAATCCTCTTTCCAGACGTGATCGGGTCAGGCGGTGCGCCAAAGCGCGTGACGAAGAAGAAGAAACAGCAGCAGCAAGACCAGCAACAACAGGATCAGCAACAAAACGGCGTGGAGTCATCTGTCGAGCCTGAGCAACAACAGCAGCCAGCTGCCATCATGGATCTTGTTCCCAGCCAGGCCTACATCGATCCGACGCAGACACATCTAGCCGCTGCCATACCCCAAACGCTCACATCTCCTATGACGGCCCACGTCGCGCAAATTCAACAGCATGCCCATCCTGCAAATGGCAGGCCTGCGTTGCCCCCAGCCCCCACAGCATCTGCTTTGACACCTCCCGAGGACACTGCGGCTGCTACTGCTCAGACTACAGCTGCAACATCTGCGATGCAAACTCGCAAGAGAACACAGGCTCCAGATAACGCCGCGAGCAACCAACACGCAGATAAGCGGCGACGAACCGGCCAGCCCATGCAGAATGGTGGCTTTGGCGACCTCACCCAGCAACAACAACTCCCCGTTGCTACCTCCTCGGGAGCAAATGCCATGCCCACGGCTCCTACCCTCCCCAGCCAAGCCAATCACGCATCGCCCTCCCATGCTGCCCCATCTCCCTCGTCAAATACGACAACATCCCCCGCCATAACAGAAGCCCTCCACCTCCTAACCGAAGCTATCCGCCTCGTCGCCACAAGCACACATCCCCTTCCCCCTGCCCCAAACTCCCGCCTGTCCCGACTCCCAACCCTCTCCGGTCATCCTTCATGGCAGGAACGCGCCATGGATATCTTTTTCGCCGAGTTCTCTAATGAAGACAATGACTTGCAGCTCAAGATTGCAGAGAAAGTGTTGGCGGATGAGACTAAAGCGATGGTGTTTTGCAAGATGCCGGATGCACTGAGAAGGCATTGGGTCAAGAGACTGAGGGAGTTGCATAATCGGAGTACGTGACTATCTTCGGGAAGGAGTGTCCTACAGGGGGGTTAAGGGGATATTTATGGGTGCCTCTATGGTTGGGAAACTGTTGAGGGGATGGACGGTTGAGAGGGGACGGATCGTCGGGGAGCTGAAGAGGATGAACAAATGACATGGAAATGGAATGATTGCTGGCCAATTTGGGGTTGATATTTTGGGATGGATGATGGTTGATTTGGCTGGAATGGAAAGGATATTTGTGTCTGGATGGATGGATGTGTTTGTGTCTGTGTCTTGCATGACGGCGTTGGGGTGTCTGCTGGGGTTTCCTCTTGTCCTCGAGTTTCCTTCTGCCCTCAGCCATTGGTGTTGCTGACACCACTTCTATTTGGCTTTTGTTTCCGGAATGGGGCATCAATTACATAGCCTGGCTTCGTACAGATACCACTGTATGCATAATGTGTTTCTGGTTCTGGGGCCGGGACGGTTTCATTGGTTGGTTGGTGGTTGGTTGGGAGGGGTTGTCTGTCTGTCTGTTTATGATTGAATGCAGCTTGGCAGTTTTAGTACACAGTCACATTTGCTGCAATTTCTTCTCCTTTCCAATTCTTTTCGCAGTGGAATGAATGGATGGATGGAACGGTATGTTGGATCCCGTTGTTCACTTTTATGTAGTGCATTTGGGTGATGATGACGGCTATGCCAAGTTAATTCTCGAGGGCTCCTCCACACACAATACATAGGGCATACGTGATCACAACTACACTAGACCAAACCAAGTCGGGCGTCAACAATTTGAATTGGTTGATGCTAGCTTCTTGAGCAAAAGACTTCGACAGAAACAGCCGCCCACATCAACGCTCAAACGACATTGTTAAAGAATCTTATAACCCATTGCTTTCCCCAATCATTCCATCTTCACCACGAGAGAGTCAATTGTCAGACTCATACTACTCCCCAAGGTCAAGTCAGCGTGTGTCAAGGGAATGGCCGCTTAGAGTCGATCACATACATGTTGGTTGAGTCACGGAGGAAGTGGTGTGATGTGGATAGCGGTGACCATATCAAACTATTTATTTGCCGTGCTTGGGGCAGTTGGGGCAGGTGCAGTTGGCGCAAGAGCAGTCGTTTCCGCACATTTTGATGGATGAACTTTTGTCCTTTCGAAGTGTTTTTGGCTGAGATTTGGTTTGGTGTGTGTGTGTCTTGGGGACATAAAGAAAAGAAGGGAGCAAGAACAACAAGAGGGGTCGTTACTGGGGGTATTTATCTTATCTGTCGTCTGCCAAGACCACACCTTTCTCCCACCTCCATCATGTGCCTGCCCTCCTTTGGACAAGTTCCAGCTGACCTCCCCTCCTTCCTTTCCTCATTGTCTTCCTCCTGCTGACAGGCAAACTTTTCGATTCGCCCGCCTGCTAGCCATCCCGACCAGCCACGGAATCTCCGCCTGTGTCCATGCTTCTCCATCTCCTCTTCCATCCACTCATGGACAGTCCACCCTCTGCGCGGGGAGAACTGAGACACGCACAACAGAGTACTTGGACGCTAGTGGTGGATCCCCGCACTTTTAGGCCCTCCAACAAGCCTGGGAACGTGGGATGACTCCCCCAAGAAAATGGAGCCCTCTGGGAGTTGTTTTTGAGTGAGCTCATTATGCGCAGGTTCTTCTAGCACGGCCAAGACTTTTTAGAGACGGCACTCCACGGCATGCAGTTTAGTTTTCCCAGCTAACCAGAAGACAGCCATACAAAAAGCCAGACATCCCAAACAGCCACTACAGCGGATGAACTTGGATTTGGTCCTGAAGTTGTGCGACATGACGCAAATCATGGTCCTACAAACTAACACATACATGCTTCCACTCAGGTCAGCGCTGCTGCGGCATGTAGGTTAAAGTGGACTCATGGAGTGGGGGGGCAAGCTGATTTGACAATGCCAGGTGTGTATCGCGTCCTGGCGTTGCATTTAGTATGTCCGCTCCAATACTATCCGCGTGTTAGCTTTCCTGTTTGAGTGGTCAAGAGCCAGCTTTTTCCCACTGAGCGACGCCCGTGCCTGGACAACTGGCTCCAGACGAGTCAAAAGCCGGCATAACCGAGATGCAGGCGAAGGCAGAGATCGAGTGATGGGATTCCTGAGGTGCTACCCCTCAGTTCTCCCTTTTAACACCATGAAGATGGATGGCAGACATCATGGCTTTTTTACCATCAGATGACACTCCATCAGACTTAAAGTGTATCGCGATCGCTTGTATCACCCGGGATATGGTTAAGCTCGTTACATGGCAGCAGGGGCTGTGTTCTAGAGCGATTTGACACTGCCCAAGCTACCTAGAACACAGCAGTCGACAACCCCTCGGGCCGGCAGATCGATTTTCATCCCTCTGCTCCCAACAAAACAAAGTCACGTCGTCACAGTTGCATTAGCATCAATAGTTCACCTGTCTGCCCTGATCCCAGCGGCTTGGGATGCCTACACTTACGTAACACTGCGGCGTGGAAGAGCGTGCCTAGCCCTTGGGAACCGCGATGGTATCTTATACCCAGATTTTGAACCGGGCCGTGGTATCAGACATGAATACCTTAGGAACTTCTTGATGCTGTGAGAGACTAATGACTCGAAAATCCGGGATAAGTCAATACCGAAGATGTGGAGATGCGTCTTGTGTTACTTCGAGCAGGAGGAGGATCAGGAGATGTGGCGGTCGAGTTGGCCAGTAAGAGCGATCTCTTTTCCAGGGGCTCAGCTCAAGTGGTTATAGAATCGACTTGGTGATGCGGGGATAGTCTGGAGGATCAGATTCTGCTCTAACAATGATCGAAGGTCTGGCTATTCTTAGCTGATGGCAAATGGGCCGGGTTTCGACAATCATGCTGCTTGGAACCCAAGATTGGGTTAGGTAAGCATCTTGAAGTTTACTACGTGCCAATTCCTGTAATAGCACATGACTATTAAGGGAAATGCATCGAATTTTAGAGTCATCAATCGCATTTGCCGCTTCCCTTAAATGGTCAGAGTTTAACACCATCACTAGGGTCTAGTCAGCCTGTTCCGACCCTCTTCCCTGCACTCTATCTACTGTTCTTATACCACTCATTTTTCATTCTTTCTTCTATCCCTTCTATTCTCCTCGCTCTCTTATTTCTTTCCTCCGTTTCCTTTATTTTACTTTCTTCCTTCTTTTCTTCCCTTCTCACCTTCTCTCCTTCTTTCCTTTTCCCAATCGTGAACCGAATCGGCTATATCTTTGTATTTTAGTACAAACTCACAGATTCCAGACCCTTCATCAACTGGAGGATTCGGCAGGAGAGTGAATGTCATGATATTATGGATGATGTGACAAGTCGAGACACTTTCGAAGCTCCAACGTGCTTAAATGATGAGACATATATCACTCAAGCACGAAACGCGCTTGCGTTTTGCCTCTTTGCTTAGATTTGATTCCCAAGCTAGCCGGTTCTCGACCCAGATCTTGACCTTAGAAAGGAGCTTCCATTCAGGAACTTTGTTATGTACGTTAAAGCTGAGCATCGAATAACAGCGTACCTTTAAACAGTGGGTACCGTTGAGTATAGATTCTCGGTAAGTATTCGTGACTTATGGTTGCTGATATAGACGTTACTGACCAAATTATCGGCAACCTATACTCAGAATCGATGCACGAGTCTCATATCAGACGTGGCTCTCCTGCTTTGAAGAAGTCAACACTATCAGTGCGATTGAGCACCGATGACCAGAGCAGAGGATGACTTATGATGCTAAGAACCAGTTACGAGTAACTCAGAAGCATCCTAGCTGTGCGCTTGATATCATTGGAAGATACAGACAGATGATATTAAAACACTATCTAGCAACCAGCTAACCAGTGATAGACTCAATATAAGTACTTGGAAAGCTCGGATCACATAGTATTCCCGGCTATCTGATTAGATGGAGAGGATTTCTGTCACGACCAACAAGGTCTCCACCTGGAAGAGTGGGTTCCGTGCAGCCAACTGATGAGGAACAGGAGTCCGCAGGGACATTTTTTGACAGCCTCCGGCTGGTGGTTGAAGTGCATACAGTACTCTAAGAAGTCGCCGTGGCCCAAGGCTTTAGCCAACCAGCGCAAGAGGCATTGACGGGAGAACTTCTCAAGGAATGGTTTAGCACTGTGCCCAGCCCAACAGGCCGAGGGGGGTTTGTTAGCGCGCCACCAGCTACGCATATTCGGGGAAGGCACATGTCGTTTCTTGGGGGTACAGAGGGGAGGCCGAGCTACGCCCTGATCCCTAGGTATTTTTGGTGATTTGTTTTTGGGAAAGGAAGATAAAGATTCGCTGGGGCCTCTTTGGGTTGACTAGGAAGCGGTTTATAAACCAAAGAGTTTCACCATATATTTGCCGAGAAACATTCCGTAAGTCACCTTGATCTTAGGATTAATTTAAAAGCGCGCATTTCAATTAAAGCTATATAGAGAGAGGTTTCAGAAGGTTGACGCGTATAGCATACAATAACCCTGCAGTCACTTTGATTAACGAGCTCTTTCAGGTAAGAAAGTAGTAAAGTGTGAAAGGAGAAAAGAGGAAGGAAAGAAAGAAACAACGGAAAGAAGAGGGATGAAAAAGGCGATGGAGGAAGGGAGGATGGAGGGGAGAGAGATAGAAGGAAAGATTGACACAAGAGTACAATTTGGTGTTTGAATTGACTAGACAGCAGAGCTTCGAAGCGACTTACGGCATACTGTTAGAACATCCTGTCCAAAAAAGTAGAGCAGATAGTATGCAACTAGATTATGCCCGCCTCTGATGGAGATGTTCTCCATTTAAACATTTCTATACAATATCGCCATCCACATGAGAAGGCGGGAAGATGGAAAGAAGAGAGAAACCACTAAACTCTTAAGGACTGAAAACTGGATAGATGGGATATTGATCAGAACATCACGATAACCTAATCACCATTGAATACCTACTTCACCATCTCCCCTCCCGTCCCCCTCCACACATCCATCTCAACATTCTCCCCCAACTGCCCCTCCCCCTGAACCAGACCTCTCCCCTCCCTCAACCATACCTGAACACTAACAACCCTTTCCAACCCCATAACCGCCCCCTCCCAATCCCACAACGCCAAGTTCATTATCCCCGCCAAAACCATCAACCTCGCTACACAACACACCCACTGTGGCATCGCCTGCGCAGTCGGTAACACCACGGCCAACGCGAACACCAGAGTCCGCAGCATCGACGGACTTTGGCTCCATACCTCTGGCGGGACTTTATACACTGCGTCGGCGAGTTGGAGGACATCGTCGGTGGCGATTACTGAAGAGAAAGGTTTACGTGTGGAGATTGCGCGACAGTACAGTAACGAGGAGAGTCGAATGACGTGGTGAACAAGGGTTGAGGTTGGCACCGTCGGAATAGAACACGTAGGCAAGAGAAACTGTGTTTGGGTAATCGGTGCAGGCGGGGTTGCACAAGAAAGACGGCCGTGAACCCATCTGGAGACTTCCTGGAGTTTTTGGAGTTCTCGCGAGGAAGGGGAGGCAGACAAGGTGAGGACTCTGTCGAGAAGGAAGGTGATGTCTGTGAGCATAGCGTGTATGGAGGAGTCCAGGGGAAGTTGGGAGATTATGGGGCTTTGTTGGGAGAGAAGGTTCGAGGGGTTGGAGAGCGTTAGAGACTGCGAAAGCATTTTGATGTCCTGTTGTGAGTGGGTTGGGGGCGTTTCAAGGGTTATGGCAATGATTAAGTCCGTTATGAGAGGTTGTTAGTCTCAACTTTTCATCTTGTTGCGAAGAAAGACTCACATAGCAACTATCTTGCCTAATATCCCATCCATTCCAAGCATCGAGAGCCCACCCTTCTCTTTGACTATCTTATGAACTGCATGCATGTGCAACTGAAGATCCCGCAGCTCACCATAGCAGAGTGCACTGGTGGTAAGTTTGAGCACAGAAGCTATTGCCTCGTCGCTTGCGCCAGTTGTCGAGGCAACTTGAAGCATTTGTTGAGCTTCTTGGATTGCTCTTAGTCGACTTTGAGTAACCGATGCGGTGTCCCTGTACGCTAATATTCGCATTCCCTGACAAAATATCTCCACGACTGCGTTATTGGCATGTCAGAACGGTCCAAGTTTACCACGTACAACAGTGAAGGATCTGGTATCATACAAGATGATGGAATTTGGATATTTGGTACGAGAACTCCGTTTGTTTGGTGAAATGGAAGCAAGACGTTGTCCGTGTAGAGGTTCTCGGGCTCTGGCTTGGCAATCCCAGGGCTTCCTTGATAGAAAACTGGGCTTCCAACTGGAGATTGGTGTGTCAGTAGCATGGGGAAGACTGTCAGTGGTGCAGGTGGGCAACTCACATTGATACGAATCAACAGGGAGATACGAATTGCTGAGATAGTTGCTGTCAACACTTGCAGCAGGGCAATGGGTCCACTGGTTTGGATTGGGAGCATTATAGACTTGGGGTAGCGTTGTGCGTAGGGGCGGACACGGGTTTGCAGAGAGAATCGGAAGCGGCTGGGTGCTTGATGTGCTGGTCGAATCGTTAGAGACCAAGACCTACCAACAAAACACAGCAAGACAGTGAAAAAGATGGCTTTACCTTGGTGATGGAGATCCCTCGTATATACAAAGAGGTTGCGGCATACGACGCACGCAGTTTCGACATGGTTGCCGCTGGTCGCACTGAGGGAAAGAGTTTGTGGTCAACTCAACGGTCATTCAGTAGGACGCGTGCTTGTTTGTCTCACTTTCTGTTTTCTTCTTCGACATTCGCCACACGAGCGTTTTCTCCTCTCGACCAGCGGCCTTAGCGGGGGTTGCAGGCTGGCCAGTCGCGACATAATGGTCCTGGACCTGCCAGATCGTTCTTTGGGGGAGCTCATCGTAGTAACTAGGGATGCTTTTGACGGGAGAACGTTGAATGAACAACTGCTGACACGCCAAACGTAGGATAGCCCTGGTGAGCAAAGTCTAGTCGGCCAGGAGCCAGGATAAGGACATGGATGGTATTAATCACTTTTACGCTGCCACCCAACCACCGCAGAGACATTGTCTAAGCAGACAATGCCAGCGAAAGACACCACTCATTTGCTCGGTTTGCCTACCATTCATCTGCATCTTCTGACTCGCCCGTCCTATCGATCTTGCCCAAAGTGTATACCGTAGGCCGCATTACTCTCCAGTCAGCATCAGCACACCCTGCACGGCTCCAGGCCAGAGTTCAAGCAACCTCCGCGTAGGGCTGAAAATGCCAGGACAAAACGGGCCCGCCAATTTGGCAACATCCCCTATACCAACGGAAACATACCGGTCCCGACTCTGGGGGCAGTGCCGAGCAGGGCGATGATTCGTCCGGGGACGCCTCCTGAAACTCTTAGGGCAGAAGAATAGGGGAGCCAGCACACCCCCTCAACGTTTGCATGTAGTGGCCGTGGTTGTGGCATAGTTTATCTGCGGCATGCTGTCCAAGATCCGTTGATGACTCGGCTACGCGTAGGTAGCCGTAGACCAGTCGGTTCGCGTGAAGGCGCGGGGTCACACCATTTGCAGGACTTTTTGCTAGCTTGCTTAGGACACTAACGCCGCCGGACGCGACGGGCTCTGGATACCAAGTTTGTTTCGCGGACATCCCAATAAGAATGATGTCTGGATGCTGCTGGGTGCCGGAAGTGGTCATGAACGCCATTGTGTGCATATGTCTCTTGGCGATTTGCCAACAAATGAGCTCAAAGAATTCCGGCGTTGGTCAATGAGCTGCCGCCTACAAAAGCCCCCAAGCTTTCAGGAGCTTCTGGTCTGTAGACCAGTTACCTTGCTGTCTCCATCCCTATACACTGCCACATCAGAGGAGATGAAGACCCGGGGAAGGAAACTGGAATGGGATCGTAAGCAACGCTTCGGCGTTAGCCTGCCATTCAGCCAATGACGACGCCATTTGACACAGCGATGCTGTCAAGAGTCAGAAGAACCACTCAACTGCAAGCCCTGTAGGGCTGCAGCAGGCAGGGTGCCACCATCCAATGTCTCTAGCCGCATTTCGCGAGGGAATCATTGGCCGTGTCAAATATGCCATCCTAAGTCGGTAGTCCCGGATGTAAAAAGGATCACACACCAGAACGTCTCCCACAAATGGCGCCAGCAGCAGTGCCGGGCGCATCAGACCACAACGCCATCAATGGCATTCTTTCTCAGAGTCCAGCCTGTATACAAAACGTTCTAGGTCGCGAGCCTGGTCACGTACATGCGTCAATCCAGAGCCTATCACCAAATTTTGAGCTCTTCCGATCCATGGTAGCTGGAACCCCTCACAAGCCGATGACCTATCCTTAAGCCATCTTGTTCTGTCAGTTGCATGTAACGTAACTGAGCACGGTTCTTCAGCTCGCGAGAGGCACGCCGAGTCTGCAATCCTGAGGTGAGCATATTTGCGATTAAGTAACCGCGCGGTCGAAAAACCAGTCTTCAATGTCCACTAAGAACCGGAATTTGCCTGCTAATTTGCTTACCTATGCTTTCTTCCGCTGCCGAGCAGGCTGCAGCTCTGCAAGTATCTGCATGTTCCAGAACCAAGCCACCGCTCTCAAGCTTGGCATTCACCCTTATGTATCCCTTTAGGGCAGGTGGCTCTGAAGGTCCGGGGCTTCGTTTCTCAGCCGGTAACTGGAGTCACGGGAAAGAAAGCAAAAACAGGGTTAGTTCAGTCTTGCGACGGGCGGCTTGGCCCATGCGCAACGGCTTCCGTGCCATGATACCCCAATACCCCGTACTGTATGACTTCCATAAGGCTGATGTAACATTGATATCCGTAAGGTGGGGTTGATAGCTGTTCTCAGACGAGCTAAGGTTGCGGTCTACCGGAAAAGGGCAAACTGAGCCAGAAATGAATAGGCCTTTGTCAAGCATTATGTCATGGGCTCTCTGTGTTTTAATCTGGGCAATGCTGTATGCATCGTGATCAGTGAAAAGTGCAGATTGCCAGCCTGTTAAACCATTTGAACGTTTAGATACATGAACCAAAACAAGGGGACATCTCAGAGGTGGCTCAGCCGTGCCGTTACCCGGTTGCAGCACAACAACACAAATCGTCGACTAGACGCCAGCCGCTATCATACATACTGTGCAACCTCAGCCCAATCTTTCTGTCCTTGTCCTGCATCTATGGATCGATCTTTCGGGACTTTTGGAGATAGCTGTACCATGCGTCAGCGAGAACCTCACCGGCGTTCCTGGCTCATGCATGCAATCAAAGAAAACAGAGTGATGGAAAATGTCTCCGAAACGACCCATCCCCTCTCGTAAACAGACATCATATAAGAGTTATCCGAGAAACGTTAAAAAACAACTCACTTACCTCACCCAAAGACTCTCCACAACACCTGTAATCCCAATAACACCAAGACCGAGTCCAACCTCCTTGGAACTGAGCCGACCGCGATCATATAAGCCCCAAGCACGATAGCCCAGCCATCCGCTGAGTCCGACCACCGCAGCAAGGTTGACGACCGCCATGGCTCTGACGGCACCCGGACGTCCAAGGCCAACTGTTTCCCGCCAGTACCGGCAGCTCTTCATCCAGCCGTTTTCGCCCTCCACTGAGGGGGGGACAGCCTCTACTATTTGCTCCTCTTCCTCAGTCTGTTCCTCCTTCTGGACTTTCTTCTCTTCTTCCTTCTGGGAAACCTCCTCTTGGCGTTTCTTCTTTCCTTTCTCTTTCTCCTTATTTTTCTCTTTGCGTTCCTTCTTGGCTCTGTCGGCTGCTGCTTCAGCAGCTAACTCTTGTTGCTCAGCCTCGACGTCGATGCGCATAGCCTGTGTCTCGGTCTTGACAGGCTGCGAGGGGAAGTCCGCTGGCACGGCGCGCACCGAGGGTCCATCGACGTCGATTAGGGTTAAGGATTCGGTTCCTGTAGCTGCTCCAGTAGTGGTGGTGCTGCTCGCCAAAAAGGCAGCGGCCTCAGCGCCAGGGTTAGGGGCTGTGATGTTGGGTTCGACTTCGGGTTGTTGGGGAGCCGCAGCCTTAAGAGATAGGTTAAGTCAGACCTAAGTTTATTATCGAGATAAAAACGGACTTCTGTGCGAAATACCTCCTCGGGAGCTTGCTTGGGGCCTTTTGAGGCGACCTCGGCATAAGACTCGGCCACTGCAAGATATCAGCAAAGGCCCGTAGTGACTCTCTGTATCATTCTCCTTACTGTTAACTGGTACGTTCTTATCGGATACAAATGTCTGGATAGTTCAAATGCTATTCTGATATCGTCGTTGTCAAAGTGGACGAGGCGGAAAGATAAAACTTAAGTCATCTAGGACAAATGAGCAGATGACGAACGATGCGCTCGGGGCATGAGATGACAAAAACGGTCAACACACACTATGGACGGCATGACCAGTACCTTGCTATCAGCAGGACGGCACAAGCACGGTTGATGGAGGGTCAGTGGTGACCTCAGAGGCTCAGGAGACCCAGGAAAGCTGTGGTTGGAAGGCGGCGCAAGAGAATGGTGGGTGACGTCACTGGCTCCACCTGGCAGGGCCAGTGCCAAGCCAGGAGCCGAGGGACTTGGGCGAGGCAATCTACAGTCAACGTTTAACTCGGGGAGACTCATCTCGAAAAATAAATGTCGAAATGGAAGATGATCTAAGGATATGTAATGCTCCATCTGTTAGACTCTAAATTGTCTCAAGTAACTGGTTCTCAGTTGCCAAGAGCCATCGACATATTGTGACTTCTCCAATATCTTCAAGCCCCTGAGCCTCAAGTCCTTCAACCTCAAACACCTCCAAGATGACAGGAGCGCAAAAAAGATCTATTCCACCTCTAAGCTATTTACACGATATACATAAGAGTCGTACAAACCCAGGCTGGCCCTTGATAACCCATTACCCCAACACCATCCTCTCTTATGCTCCCCTTATTGCTGCTCCTCCTTCTTCTCCTTAACTTCGCTCACCTCCTTCACAGCCTCGGTCACACTCGGCATCTTCTCACCATCAGCAGCATTAGCCCGCGGTTCAGCGGCAGCATCCTCAGTCGGGACAGCCGCATCATCCTCCTCCTGATCGTCCGCTAGCTCAGCGGCATACACATCTGGGTACTTCCGGAAGCAGTCCTGCATGGCCCTGCACAGAGTGTCAGTCATCTATTCCACCATCATCCAATCCTTTTTGAAGCAGTGGTCACATACTGGAATTTCTCAATACAATCCATCCCCTTCGGTTCCTCCTTCGAGTACACAAAGCAGCTAAATGCCGCTTTGAATTCCTCGCCGCACGGTCCGTGCGCCATGCCGCCCAGGCACGGGCAGTCCCAGTTGATTTCGCCGGTCTCAGGGTCGAAAGCGCCTTGCTCCTTAGCCTCATGTTCCAGGGCCTCAGGCGACCCGGGCTCGAGCTCCTTCTGCTCGGTTGACTCCGATTTAGACCCAGTCTTGGTCTCAGTCTCGGAAAAAGGTTGCTCAATGGCCTTTACGGCCTCGGCTGGGACAGCTTCTGACGGTGCCGGTACAGGGGGTTGCGGCTTCTCGGCGGGTTGTTTCTTGGGAGCGGCGGCGGCTTGCTTGCGCTTCTGCTCGATCAAGGCATCGATAGTGGGAAGGTCGGATTCAGAGAACTGGGAGGGCGCGGGGCCTGCTGTCGCTGTTGTTCGACGATAGAACACGTATTAGTCCCCTTACTCTATCACCATCACCTCAGGGACCCCAGATGTGGGGCATTGCAGCAGGTGGTCACCCACCGGGAATCTCATCGGCAAAGAGCGGACTGGTATTGTAGAAGTAGACGGCGGCAATTGCCAGACCCCAGCGCAGGGCCGTCCCCTTCCAAGTCCCCTTTTTTTTGGCCACCTTCGCGGCAACAGCATCCGAAGAAGTCGAGGCAAACCGGCGAGAAGCAGCAGCAGCGAGGGTAGTCGGACGGATGGCGGCGTGCAGCGCGCTGGCGGGCGCTGCTGATGACCTGAGCGCGGCGCGGTACATGGTGAAAGACTGGAGCTGTCGTAGAAGGAACTTGAAATGGGCGTATGATGGCCTCGACGGCGACGGGGCGCTCCAAGCGAGTGTGGGTGGCCGCACACTGAAGATCGGTTTGTTAGCAATGTCGATATGCGTCCAAAAATTTGGCGATGTCGCTCAGTCTCCCGCTACTGGGCCTGTCGCTCACCCGCGATCCGAGCCGGGAATTTCCCGGTAACAATGCTGATTGGTCAATTGGATTTATGGAATCTGTTGCATAATGGTGGGTCCAGGGATCTTATCGTTATCAGGGTCCTGCGGTCAGAGCATCACATAAAGATGGTGCCCTGCGTCCTCGACTCTTCGTTGACTAGATAGGACATTTGTAAACTGTTCAGCTCTTTTTTTAAGGGTTAATAATTCGTGTCAGTTACCAAGAAGATCTCTCATGCATGATAGTTTTGTTTATCCGAAATGTTGATAAGTGGGCCAGCAAAGTATACCCCGCGCTGATTCCTCTGGCTTCGGAAACTCAAACATCACACAACCGAGTTGAGATATAAAACCCATTAAATTTGCCTTTTGAGTCCATTCTATAATACGTAGCTTCATTATCCAGTCTAACCAAGATGGAGGGTTTTGGTAGCATTAGGCCTTCATCTCAAAGCGTAAGAGCCGCTTGAATTTCGCACAAGCCCCACTTTACAGGGTGAGAGAAAGCCTTTTTATAAGCGCGGGATGCACCTGGTCCAGAGAAGGGAGGACAAATTGCAAATCTTCTCTCCATTGACGTCCAGAATCCCACGAAATGCTCAGATAGTCTAAAAGATAGCTGCTGGAATCATGAGCACAAATGTTCAGGGTTCTGCGGACAATGTTGTCCCAGACGCCGATGTTATAGAGTGGCGCCCCGCCGACCTATTCATGCCCCGCGATCGGGCGGACGAGAATGGCCGATTCGCCTTGGTAGTGCTGAACCAGCCACTTGACAGTCATTTAAGCTTATTTCGCCAACTTTGGAACAATGGTGTGACGGCCTTAGCCCCCTGGTTAGAATTTTCTCAAGACTGACGGCTTCTAGCATTCGTCCGGGTAGCTGCCGACGGTGGCACGAATTGCTTGTATGAAGCAGCCGGTAAACGAGGGGACACTTCACTTGACGACCTGCGCGCTATCATTGGCGACCTGGACAGTCTAACTCCCGATGCGCGGGCCTACTACGAGAAGCCGGATCCCTTGTCGGGGCGTACTCCCACGCTGGTAATTCAAGACCCAGACCAGGTCTCGACAGACTTTGGGAAGGCTGTAAACTATACGCGCCGAAACTGTCGATCTAGCCCAAGCGAACCTCTAGACATCGTTGCTGCTGGGGGTCTTGGTGGACGGGTTGATCAGGGCCTAGCCCAGCTGCACCATCTGTGTACCTTCCAGACTGATCCGAAGTATGCCGCGGGGAGGATGTACTTGTTCAGCGGGGAGAGCTTGAGCTTCCTGCTAAAGTCGGGGAGACATCATATCGTGGTCAGGGATGAAAAGGGTGAGAGCGTGTTTGGGAAGCACTGCGGAATAGTGCCACTTTGCGCCAGCTGTCAGATCACAACCAAGGGACTGAGATGGGATGTGACGGACTGGGAGACGAGCTTCCAGACACGGATCAGCACGAACAACCATATTCTGCCAGAGACGAAGGTCATCGTAATCGAAACGACCGGGGATGTGTTGTTTACAGCTGAGCTGAGGGACACTTGACTTGGATGATTAGACACATGGACTGAAGCTCTGGATGCCCTCGGAGACCTACGTCTAGCATGCGATTAGTGAATCATACTTAGCATGCCAACCATGGTATACGTATATTACTTTCCAAACACTGCATTCAGACGCCAAACTCCCCGCTGTAAATGACAGCACATTCCCTCCCCTGCTAACCACCATCTCTCCTGCCTCATTACCGCAAGAAATGCAGCACCAACCAGCAAAACGCGAAAAACACCATGACCCCTCCCCAAAAAATCCACTTATCCTGCATCGCTCTCCGTTCGATCATCCGAATCGTATCTCCCGAGATCCCCAGCGTATTCCCCACCGAATACAACTTCCTCTGCGTACTCTTCAGCATCTCCCTCTGCGCCCCCAAATCCCCCAGTACAGCCTGCCCCCGTGCAATGTATTCATCCAGCGCCGAGTGCGCGCTTGCAAAGAATTGCTGCTCCCTTAGCGCATGCGCTTCTCGCGCAGGGTCGCCACTCCCAAAATACCCTCCTGCTCTCCCAGACTCGGCAATACTCGTTGACCTGGCATGTCCACCTCCCCCGCCACCACCGCCTCCATACCCCGACGCCGTCGCTATCGCCGTAGAACTCCCCGCGTAGGGATTCTCTGGCGTCGCAGCCGCAAACGGCCTCCTCCCAAGTAACTCTGCCCTATTAGCCGCGTACGCAGCCTCCTCCCTCTGTGCCTTGAGCGCAGCAAGCTGTGATCGGAACTCAGACAAGTCAGCGCGAAAATCGCGGATGCGTTCGAAGGCCTTTTCTTGTTTTGCGGGATTGATCTCTTGCTTGGCGAGGGACTGGTACTCGTCGATGGTGCGGGCGAAGGCGGTTAGGGCGGCGGAGAGGGAGCCTAGCGCTGCCGGGGAGGGAAGTTGTTGGGAAGAGGGAGAATCGGGGGAGGGGGAGGTCAGGGAGGCGAGGTCTTTGCGAATTGCTGTGCGTTGTTTCAGCGCGGAGTTGAAGGCTGTGTTCTGTAGGGAAGAGGGAGTTAGCGTGAATCGCGATGGGACGGTGGCGGGTCGGCTTACCATCTTGGATGTGACTGCCTCGGCTTGGGGTGGTTTTAAGATGTACTGGGAAGTCGGCAAATCTTCCGATCGGAGATAGAGTAGTCCGATGGCCTCTGACCCGAAACTGTAGGCGATGTGCAATGTTGAAGATTTGGCTTGGAAGTTTGTGATGCGACGGCGACAGGTGGCCCACGGCGTCCCTGCAGTCTGCGGGCAATCTGGCATCATTTGGGGCTGATGCATGCACCCCCGCGTGTGTTTAATACGATCCGGGTACTAGAAAGTGGGGTAAGGATGGGGATATGGATTTTGTGGGTCCAGATAATCGGAATTTTGATTTCATGTGAAACTCTCCTTCGCAATGAATTTGAGCCGCATCAAGAAAAATATCGTAGTCCCCAACATTTGAAAGAAGTGTTCCTCTGAGGGATGAAGGTACCCAAGTAATGGTTGACGGCGTAAGTCCCGACACACAAAAGAACGGCCTAATGATTCCTGAAGTAATAACCTAGCTAATCCCCATCTCTAAGTGCTACTCCCTTAAGTCTTGGAGAGGAGTAATCGTGGATTTCCAACAGTTATCCGATGTGAATAGCCTGGAATGTCCCACCGAGCCTTCTACCATACATCAAGTTACTCCTTTGTCTATGCTTGTATTAATCATGGACCGTTACCTCTATCTGATCCTCCTCCCCAAATGGCCTGAACCCCTGGCCATCCTCAACAACTCCTCCTCGTCAAACTCGATGATCCCATGCTCACATTTGCTCAAACATGAGCTATGAAACCATGTCTCATCAGCATCCTCTCCCAAGGCTTCCAGAAACCTATCCATCCCTGCACTTCTCACTCCTCCTCCCAGAGTCACCTCAATCCCGACGTTCTTTCCTGCTCTGATGATTGTCTTCAGCTTTCCTGCATTGTCAATAGCCGATCCTCTTCCACCAGATGTCAGAATTCCGGAAAACCCGCAGTCCCTGATTTGAATCATGAGATCTGCGACTGTATCAGGAAAAGTCTCAGCGGAAGCAGCGCTCGCAGCCTGGGAGAAGAGGTCGTCCACCGCTCGATGCAATACACAGCGAAATTGTGAAACAAGACGGGTAAGTTCAGTTGTCCTTTGCACATTTAGTGACAGTTTTGCTTCACTGCCAATGGCAGTTTCGTGTTGAAGTAAGCCGAACACGAAGCCATCCCCTTTGGAGGGGTCGAGGAGTCCGCTTTTGACAAAATTGCTGATTGAGCCCTTCATCTCGTCAATTTCGTCATCGGTGTAGATGAAGTCTTGATGGTGATTAAGTTCTTTCGCAGTTTGTACTGACGTTGTGGGTGAAGGAGGGCCGCGCGGCCGGACCATGATGAGAACGGGCGGCCGGTTCCCCATATTGTTACATCCAGCCAAGCTTTCTTCTGAACTGGAAAGGTTTTCAAGAAGAGAGCGCAGCTCATCGACTGTTGGAGTCATGCCGCCTGCGTCTGTGCTTGTGTCAGTCGTTGAGTGAGTCCTCAAGGATTGAGAAGAGCTATGTCCTACCATAAGAACCCTCTCGGTTCTGCTCCAACCTCCTTGCCCCTCCCCGAATAGCTATCGCTCCATAGGCATGACCAAAAATCGGTACTTCGAGTCGTGTCATCTTCAAGAAACTCTACTGAGTCAAGCTAGGGACAAGCAAGTCTCATCTGTAGAGGAAACTGGTGAGTGATGAACTCTGAGATGTAAGATGTACGATGTTGCATAAGCAGATTCACAAATATGGGTTCCGATTTTGTGGTAGGATGCGGGGTTTGTAGATCCCCGCTTCAGCGATCGCCCGGATCCAAAATTGTCCTCATGGCTCCTGACCCCTATTGTTCTCAAAAGCAGGACTGAGGAGGTTTTTTTGGGAAGTGATAGTTGGGATCACAGCACGAGGTCGCTAAATAAAAGATCAAGACTGACCTCATTACATATCACACCGAGCCATTACTCACTTGAGGACCATGTGTAGTTGTTGACAAATACACCGCAAGTTCAATTTCCAGCAATTCTGTTGCCTCTTCTAAGCTTATAGAAAGTTTTCTTGCCTAAGGGCTTCACCCCTCAGGCTGTTTCCCAAATCTTTGACCTTCCTTGCTCACACTTCCAGTTCTCGATCCCTATACCTCTTGTGTGCTATCCATATCCCATGCTGCATCACAGTGACCCCATATCGCTGCTAAAAGACCGTGAAAGAATTGAGATCTACCCTCCTTTAGTAAAACTCTAGCTACGAAAGAAGATTTTTGTTACTATGCAGTTCCTGTGTTTCTCACAGTGTTAGTGGTTATTGATCCGGTGTTTCTTACGTGGGAATGAGAGCAGTACTAACAATGAGCGTTAACCTTGGCATCTGGAGCCGCAGTAGCAGCAGCATGGCTGGTAGAGACTTCAGCAACAGGGGGCTCAGGCTCATGAGGAGACTTGAAGGACTCAGTTGCAGTGGAAGCAGAAGCAGAAGGTTCGGCCTTGTGAGATTTAGAATACATCTCGTTCAGATTATTTTCCATCACCTTTTCAGCCTCCAGCTTCTGCTTCTTGAGCTTTTGTTCGTGGCGCCAGTACTTGACGGCCATGCGGCCGACATTGGGCGAGAAGCGAGCGAGGTAGGTGTTTTGGAAGTAATGCTCAACTTGACTGAGGGTTAGTTCAAGATTGTTTCATGACTGCGAATTATCATGGAGAAAGTTGGTCGACTTGCAAACTCCAAGAGCCGTATACTCACGGCGGGCGTTCTTGCCCATCCTCTCTGTCATCTCCTGGGCGACCCATTCCCACGACTTCTCTTCATTCTCGAGGTCCTTGCCCAAGCGCTTGGGTGAGTGGGGGATCAGCTTCTTCCAGAAGATGACCTCCTCCTGCTTGGACCAGATCCGGCCGCCCATTGCAAGATATCTGGGGGAGGAGTGTTTATTCAAGAGGGAGAAGCCAGCTTCGATGGAAGGACTAGTCAGCTTGTGGGTTGCAAATTTGCACGCTGTGATCAGAAGAGGAGTAAGAAAAGAAAATTTCTAAGAGGGAAAACAGCCTACAGGCTTAGAGTGTGGTGCATGGGAGGAGGAGAAAGGTCGAGATTGCAGGGGGAAAGAAGGCAAATTTATCTTGCAGCGAGTGATTGCAGACCAGCCATCATGGTGCCTTTTCATCTGAAAGTTGGTTATGTCAGCAACGAGGGGCAGTAACGCGCTCAAACAACTTTCGGACCACAGCACTGTGTGCTAAAAGTGAAAGGCTGTATAGGTGAGCAACAATAGCAATGACATGGAGTGAATAGACCATGCCATAACAGATGACGCGAATGCGTGCTCTTTGCGACATGGTAGCCCAGGGAGAAATGAGATCGAATTTGTCCGATTCTTTGAAGGCTCTCAGAAACAACAACAACGTATTATTTATCGCTTAGGGTACTTCTGGAGTCCTGAAGGTTTAGTTTTCGTGGTATGGCCCGGGGTTGAAGTCCACCTTAATAATCTGCCGTCCCAACTCATGACAATGGCCTGATATCAATGGGGCCAAGCGTGAGATTTTCAATGGTGATTGAATTTGTGAATGCGTGTTCCAGAATACAATGTTGGCCCCTATCACATAATCGCCATGAATGAAGTCAATCAACTTAAGAGCGACCCAGATCTTCATAGCCACAATTGCGACAGGATGACCCAAAAAGAATGCCTCAAGATGCCCAATCTTGCTTCAGTTATTGTTCTGAGTCACGTAGGCCTTTATGGTAATGGCGTCTAAAAACTTCGTCCTCCATCACGATACCAACAGCACCCACCCAGCCTCTCCAGCCAGGGCTGTTGGAATACATGGGCATGGAACAAGGCCAGAGGGTTATCTGTCTGACAATGACAGCTAGGTGACTATGCATGCAATTTAGGTCCTATTAAGTTCAAGTTCAGTAATTAATTCACAATTACTTGGAAATCTACCGGCGATTGGAGTTCATTGCGTCCCTTTCCTGGAAATGGATGCAATATCACAGCCATACAGTCCTATTAACAAACCTTAACCCCCTCACAATCTCAGTTGCGGCCACTTCTCCAAGACCACTTCCCCCCAACTAATAAAATTTTAACCTCTGCAACAGTTGGCTCATCCACTAATAAGCTGTAGTCCCCCGGATATAGCACTGTGTCCCCTCTTTCATCATCGCCAGACTCTCGAGCTTCCACTCCAGCATCATCTCCCTCGTTTTTCCGGGCTTAATCCCCTCGGCCCTCTTGTATGTCGCAAACGTCTTAATTGTGCATGGAGGGGGGCCATATGTGCCTGTTAAGAAGGCCAAAGATACATAATCTGATGTTCTATTGCCTGTATCCATGATAATGAGAGAAAGAAGAGGGAAGGGGCATTGATCTAGGTAGTTTACCGTCCCCTTGCACTTATCCATGATCTTAGCAATTGAAAAGTTACAGGTGAAGGATTCCGTAACGGAGATAGAGAAATTAGTGTAGTGAAGCCATATCGAAAAGGGAATACTGCCCCTTTATACCAGCGTTACGTTCGTCCGGAATGGCTATCCACGGGTGAAGCGCCATATTCGTGTATGGAGTCTAGTTCACATATGGCATTGTTGATGCTGAGCAGAGGTGTGTCGTCGACGTGTGTTTCCATGCGAATGAAAATGATGGGTTCGTTGAGGGTTGATAAGCGATGGATTAAGGAAAGTTGACTGGATGGCCAGGCAATGAAGGTGCGGTCGTGGCTTTCTTTCTCGACTGTGTTATCGATGCCACCGAAGAAGAGGATGATATTGGAGCGCCAGGCGGCTGAGATAACGAAGTTCATGTCAAAATTGGATTGAGTGAGCGGCCCGTTGGCATAGTTGACTGTGATTCTCATTGATCGGGCGGCTGTGACGGGGTCATGACGGAAAGGGGGAATCCCGCTGTAACCGCCGAGCATCTTGTCAACGGCGTTGGCCCAGAAGCCGATCGTTGCGACTCTGATGTTGGAGCCATTGAGAGAGACGGGGAAGAAGCGATCATTCTTGAGGAGGGAATGCCCTCTTGGGCTACTTGTAGGGCGAGTTCCCTGGCAGCAGCGGTATTGACGTCGTTGGCCCCGAGGTTACGATACATGCCATTGGATCTGTCAAAGTACCTTACCCGAAATAAGCCCTGTAATTGGCGTAGCATGGCCCTGTCGAGCGTAGTATGGCTGAACTGGCGCTAGTTAAACGCAGATGAGGCATCCGGCTAAGTCCCTCCTCTCGCCCAGCACATGTTATCAGTCCCAGCCTCTACGGCTGCCCGGTGGCAGCGTCGAAGCTCGACTTATACCGATGGCCTCTGTTCGCATTCCCAGCGTAATGCACCGAGTCGCAGTCACTGACAACATACTGGTTCTGGTCAGTCCAGTTCCAATGTTTCCTCAGTGTCGCATCCACCAGATATGAGTCCGCACACGCCAGAACCCCATTAACAGCATTATAACTGCACATCATCGACCCAACCTTCGCATCCCTTGCACACCCCTTAGATGGCGGCAGATAGTACTCAACCAGATTCTGCATCGACACCTTGGCATCAAAGTTGAACCTCGTCGTGCTTCCCGAGTTCTCCAAGTTATACGCAGCGTAGTGTTTGCACGTCGCCACGACCCTGAATGTCGGTCCAGGGCCTTGCTTTCCTCTCACAAACGTCTCCACCCACTTCTATTCCTAAATGCATCCTTCCCAGGTGTCCCACGTCCCCTACCCTAGCGCAGATTTTTCAGCGGATTAACATCAGGTGTTCAAAGATCGAGATGGGTCCTTCACACATTAGCAAATGCTCTCGCCTCGGTCCCAATAGTCTCTCCTATCTTCTCGATGAGTTCATCGTCGAATGCTGCCAACCTGGTAATTGCTTGGGGGAACTGGGTCTCTGCGCTGAAGGGTCTGTTCTGTGCCCAAGTGATGCCCCGGTTGTGGGTGACGACGTGAAGGGCTTCATTCCACCATTGGTAGGGGATAAGCCGAAGCGGGGGATGCCCGGAGAGTTGTTAGTGAGGTTTGCGAGTTTTCGGCGTTTGTGAGAGATAAGACTAGCGCGGCGGCTCTAGAGGAAGGGGGGGGGCGGTTGTATCGCAAACGAGGTTGGACTCGAGGAGGCCGTTAAGGCAGTCAGGATATTGGACTGCTCCTTTGACTGCCTCAATGAGGACAGATAGGATAAAGATATTTGGTGGGAATTGTTTCATCCTGTTTTGGACTTTGATGGTGCAGCGAGTGTCGAGTTCTCATAATATGAATTGAGGGCAGAGCTCGGGAGCTCCTGTTCTTCCATCACGGCCATCCGGAACACTTGAATCGCTCGGTGATCCCTTATATGCAGTACCGTGGATCACTAAATTTGGGGCATCGGGTTCAAAACAGCTGGAATGAGATTAAATGTTAGCTGTGAATAAGTTGTGGTCAGTTACAGTATTAACCAATAATAGCCGGGAACGTGGAAGTTGACCTTTGGAAGAGAGAGTGGCAGGCTCAACCCAGATGAACGTTAGGAATAGAGTGGCTGATTATGATATAGTATTTGGCAGGAAAGGAGAACTAGAAACATTGCCGTGGATCGGGGACTTTGTGCTTCATCCATCGGGTAACAACGTGGTTCATCTGGTGGGGACCATTTTTTGCCTTTACCCTGATCGGATAAACCTAGCTGGACAGCTAGCATGCTTGACTGGTATGAGAAAGCTTGGTGCCGGGGGTAAAATTGGAAAGCGCTCGAAAGAGGGTTTGTTGGCTGTCCCTGACCTCTTTCTTCCAATGCATCGTTAAGGCTTTCTCGAGGGAGAGTGGTCATGACATCTACAGGCAGTGACAAAAGTTGATCCCGATCCACTAGGATGGCTTGCTGTCTGCTCGTCATACTGTGCTAGGACGGTAAGATAACTGTAAAAGGGAGAAAAGGCCCCTCTTCGCTCATCTTGCGTCAACCTGCAGTTGGCCGATGCCCTGCATTCAACACTTGCATAGGCAGCCGAACTCCATTCACGCAAGGACCCGTGTGCCTGGGACGAATGCAGGAAAAGCAGCTAGTGATGTAGCAGCAAAAGCAGCCTGGAAGAAGGGATCATACGTTCTAGGGGGGAGAGAACGATTGGTGTAATTGCACGGAAGATTAGTGCATATCCCCAACTAACGATGAGAATCGAGCTCCAACAGCAGACCTGAGGTATCACGAAATGCATGCCACAAGGTAAAAGGATATTCCCAAGTTCCAACAACCAAGGAGGATTGCCCAAAACCATGATACCTAGTACCACCAGCGCCGTGCTCAGATCCAACCCAACGTGAAGCCAAGCGAGCAAGCAAACGTGAGCCAAAGATGATGATCGATGATAACTTGGTGAGAGGAGGTTTCTTAGCCTCCGAGCCACTGTACGATTCTCTCAATCCTATAAATCATCGGCCTTCTCGATGCTGGACTCATCGACCGTCTGCAGGGCGGAAGAGGTGAAAGGAAGGTAGGTGCCGTCGGGCTGGGGGTTGGAGATGATGATAGTGACCTGGCCGTTGTTCACCGCAATCACTTTGTAGATAGGGGTCTCGCCCTTGATGCGAACTATGTCGCCTTCTGCGAACTGCTGATCCGTTCAGCGCCCGTCAGAACAGAGTTCCGGTACTCCTGCAGTAGCTCAGGGGCTCCTGAGTTTATGACAACCACTCGGTTGCCATAACAACATGGGGTATCCAGCCTGGGAGCAGAGGCGAAGAGACGTCAACCTACAGCCATCTTGAGCTCCGATATGCGGAACAAAGTTCGAGACGGAGCAGGTGGCGGCAATATGATGCAGTCTCGGTGCAGTAGCTTTGCAGTTCTGAGAGCAGTTAGCATCCCATCACACCAATGATGACGATCTGTTATGCTCACCAAGCTACCAGGCCGACCCGGCGCGA